AGCGAGAGAAAGCGATAATGGGGCGGCAAACTGGGAGGAAAGGATTAGCCTCTAGAAGCATCGATAGGCATCTCTCGACATATGTTGGTTAGCCATTTGGATGTTTAGAAGGGGATGAAGTAATAGGAAGGACCATAGTACATATTTTAGGAATACGGGAATACGATCATATTGGAAGAAGAGCAATAACATTTTGGGGATCTCATTTGTTAATGGATTCAGAGAGTTCATATGTGGATTTACACTCTTTCAATACACTTTCAAAACCATCTTCAATAAGGTCAAGTGGGCACTGACACGTGGCAGAAGTGGTCATTGCGTCTTAGAATGACCGTATGGAGACGATGGGAGAGACGGGTGAGCAAACAGTCTGGCATTGCGCCAGAAGGGTAGTTGGTTGACAAGGCATTGCATCTTTTTTAAAGATCCTAGACTACGGTAACTGAAAATCACTGTTGACTTCCTGAAGTATAGGTCTAGACAGATCCCTTTACGAACTTCAGTTGTTGTTTTTGAAATCTAATCCTAGGCCCCAATAAATTTCCGAAATTTAGGTTTTCCCTTGCTTATCTCAAGTTCCAAATCTTTAAACAGTAGGCGTCACCACTGAATCGAATTACTTTAGTCCATATAGATACCGATCTTTTTATTCTTTTCATTTGGTCCGTCACTCTCTGTGTCTTTGTAAATCCCCTAACAGACACCCCACCCATCTGTCGATCTTATGGGGGGAACAGATAATTATGGTGGACGGGTTGGCTGGTAAGGAGGGTTGGAGGAGAAGAGAGAAGGACCTTCTCAAAGCAATGTGGTCGCGACACACCACATTACTTAGCACAAGACAGAGAGTATGTAAATTGGAGAGAGCCATGATGAGAAATATGGAGGAATGACCCCAAGAGATGGGTTGGTGGTGTAATTGGGTGGAGAAGGACGACGAGAGGAAGAACACGGCTACACTGCCCTCCCTTTTTTCTCGACGCTTTCAAAAGAGAATACCTTCGGAGCAAAACAGAGAAAAATTAATACGATGCTTTTTTCGGAACATCAGAAAATGCGCGCAAATTCGAATAACCGTAGTGCATCTGCGGTGCCTGCATTCAATCGGAACAAGCGCGCAAAAAAGTTATTTTTTTTTAAAGTTCCGGAAAACACCGTGGTTAAAGGTGATTCAAATATCGTTTTCCTTATCGTTCCTTTTAATTTTATCGTCAGTTCACCCCCTTTCCATTTTCGAATACTTCTGATTGTTTCTCGAAGGGATCAGTGTCCTTTTCTCAAGGGACAATGATTTGTTATTCATGAAGTAGTGTCCCGTTTTCTTTTAAATTCTCTATTTGTCACAGTTCATTTTTCACCAATCCCCCGCAATGACAATGTAATAGGACTAATGTACTTTATCTTGTCACATTTTGATTTATTGGAACAAAAGTTTTGCTATTTTCCTTATGATGCAGAAGCTGACATATTCTTCATCATGAGTTGTTCGGGAGTGTGTGAGAGGAAATGTTCTGATTGAGGTGAATATTCTCGTTAATGTGTGAATAACAATAACGAGCTAAAGTTCCGGTTGGCTCATTCTTTTTAAGTTCTGTTTCCAAGGCAATGTGGTAAGAATTCAAAATCTGAAAGAAGAACATTCCATCCTATCCATAGATGATTTTTAAAAAATCGAAAATTTCATGGTACACTTGGTTTTTCGAGAATTCCAATTCTCAATATCCATTACCCGAAGCCAGAGAAATTTCAAAAATACTCATATTTTTACCCTTCGTAGCCAATTTGGCCTTGTTGACACCATCCGTTTTTTTTCTAAAAAATTCCAATTTCCATTCGGTTGCGTCACAAAAAAGAGACAATTCCGGACAACTTATATTTTTCTGTGTGCAGTTTTATGCGTTGGCAGAAGAATGCTGTTCTTCATTATCTTATCGCTGAGTCACTCAAACAGTTATCAGTCGTGTTGCATTCTTGCGGACATAGCTATTTTTGTGCTCTAATTTGATAACTCTTGATAAGGCCAGTCGTGGGAACAGCAGACTGGACCTATAGGTGAAAAAACGAAACCACAGAGACAGCACGAAGTCGTACTGCAATTTTTCAGAAAATTGCGTACGACGAATACGATTTTGAAAGTGTTTTCATTCAATTCCAACCGATTTTCGTTTCCGTTTTCCAAGTTCTCATTTTCCCGTTCGGTTTCACAGTCTTGCGTTTTACACCTGGGTTACGGTAGTTGCAAAGTTGTGCACTCTGCATTTAGTGTACTCCGACCAAAGACCGCGCCAGAATTTTTTTCTGGATTGTTTTTCGAGACCGTACAAATCGGAAAGACTTTAAATCCGAAAGAAACGAAAGCGAAAGAAACGAAACCGTAAGAAACGAAACGGAAAAAAATCGAAACGGAAAGAACGCTAAACCGTGCACAGCTTTGCTGAAATGGCGTGCGCAAGCTGCAAATGGGCGGGGTTTTGTCTAAATCTCTTACAGTTCAGAAATCTCTCGTTCAATTCAGATAAACCCCGCCCTTTTTTGCAGCCTGCGCACGCAGTTTGTGCACGGTTTAGCGTTCTTTCCGTTTCGTTTCTTACGGTTTCGTTTCTTCCGCTTTCGTTTCTTTCGGATTTAAAATCTTTCCGATTTGTAGGGTCTCAGTTTTTCGAAACGATTTTCAGCAATTTTTCGGTTTTGAGTTGTTTTCTCCGTCACTAAAACGCCCCTCTACCTTGTGTCAACACCATGAATAATAGCAAAATCTCGTTGTTTTCTATTATTCAGTGTTTTCCAGCTCTGCCTATTCATCCGGTCGTGTTCCGTAGTTTTATTGTTTACAGTTCCGTACTCTGAATTTTCGAATTTTCGTTGTCTCAAAAGAATCCATTTGTCCCTGAGCTTTTTTCAGGTGAAATCTTTCTCGTAAATAATTTTCGCGTCAACGCACACGTCCGCAGACTCGAAGAACTAGGTAAACATAGAATCATGTGAAATCGTACCAAAAATTAACGAAAACAAGTAAAAAGCTACCTACAAATGACCGTTACGTGTTTTTTTGTTTGCTCAATACTAATGAAAACTTCGAGGCTTGTGACTAGTACAAAGAAATGTGTCAAAAAAATTAGAAATCATGTTTGATCATGATTATCGTCTAGGATATCTAGGAAACAGTTTCATGTGACGGGCGGAACTAAGTTTTTCATTTGAAAGCTCCGAGAATGTCGCATTTTCGGTCAGGAGGACAGAAACACCAAGTTCAGACGGCTGTTTTCTAGTCGGTAAACCATAACTGTAATGCTCAAACGTTCTTATTGGAGTTCTTAATCTGAATTGGTCGTCATTCTAAAAATATTCATGGTTCCCTTCGAAGATTCCTGACTAGAAGAAAATCATGATTCATCATTTAGGGATTTTTAGGTCGCACAATCTTTTCGACTAATATCTCTCATAGTCAGTTACAATGCGGTAATCTGCCTCATTTTTTATACCCCTAAGATTGGTTGTTGATACTTCGGTTGGCTCGTTTTCATCACCCGTACACGCAAACATACATCCAGCGTGGACGCCGCCCCATCAGGCAGAAGGCTCCGCCCACTTTTCCGTCCGCTATGAGAGGCGGGAGAGAGGACGCATTTGCCGCTTCTGCAGCGATAGGAGGGACGTTTCGACGGCTGCTGCTGGCTGCCACTGTGTGTATCATTGCGGTTGGCGTTGTGGTGATGGTGGTAAGGGTGACGGGACCACTATTCTGGTGTCCTTGCCCTCTTCTACCCCTACACAATGTGCAAGACACTGCTCACATATTCATTCATTTCGTTGTCCCTACATCCATCCTATTCGTTTTTTCCCCGGATCGTTTCTCTTTTGATACTTCTCGTTCTCTTTTTGGCTCCACCTCCTCCTCTCTATTTCGTAATCCATGTTTCTTCATTCTTCATTTCGAAATCAAGAATGACTCATACTGGACTTCTGTTCATTTTAATTCTCGTTGTTATGTTTGTCTCGTTTCCAATTTTTAGTGTAGGTCAAAACCGGGGACGGTTGAATCAGAATTGAGAGCAAATAGGGGGCGGGCGGGCGGCCCCCCTCTACAGATCAAATGACACAGATAGACCATTCAAAAAGGTAAATGGTGCTAGTGGCCCGCTCTTTCCCAACACCCATCTCGTCTCCTCTTCTCTCTCCGACAGTCTTTTCGACACACTTATTGTCGTTATGAATTGTATGTGTAGGATGAAAAACGAGGATTGAATGTTCTATTTTTGTCACCTCACCTGGCTGAGAGACTGGTTCTTCTAGAAGAATCGGAGAATGCTCTCATGAATTCGAACAAATCGTTTTACTCCTCTGTTCTTGTCTGGGTTTAAATATTCTTTTGTAAAAATCAATTGAAAAATCTTATTCAATCAATAGACTACATTTGACCTTTCCCAGAAGAAATATTGCTGATCAAACCCTTCCCCTAATCCCACCTGGTTGGCTAACAGTCCTCTTTTTCGCTCATTCAACGTCGTTCGCTCTGTGCCCTTCTCCACTCCCCTATTGTCTTCAATTGTTTTATGTCTCACTCCAATTTTCTCATTATTGAGTTCTTTTCTACTCTTTTCCCGTCAGAAGTCAATTCGTTAAGACGGTTCTAGAATAGAAAATGAGCTTCTCTTTTTGAAGCTGAGTACAATTAGTGCTCTTTTCTGACAAGAGATGTGCCTTTGTGTGCTCATTTCAGTTTTGTCTTTTGCCTACCAAAATGTGCTTGGCGAGCTAGTGGTGGGCTCTCTATTCGATTACCCCCGTAATTGAGTTGACTTTCATGGCAGTCGTCTTTCCTTCTGTTTTCCTATTTTCATTCCGGAATTTTTTCTTCTTCTGTCCTTCCACTTCTACCAGTATCTTTTTCGGTTCTATTTTTATCCCGTTGTTTCTCGTTCGATTTGAAATTCATCCTAATCCATTTAAATTTTTCAGTTTTCACTCTCTACTCGTCACTAACCACCACCAGAACAATCATGTCTGAGGAAATCAAGAAGATCGAGGAGGTCGCCGAAGAGAAGGCTCCAGAGGTACCAACCACCGAGCCACCAGTCGAGGCTGCAGCTCCTGTTTCCGAAGAAGCTCAAAAGGTCGAGGAAGGAGCTGCTGAAGCTACTCCAGCTGCAGAAGGTGAAGCTGCTGCTGCTGCTCCAGAGGAGAAGAAGAAGTCTGGTGGCGTCGCTCGGCGTTTCACTTTCAACAAGCGCTGGGGAAAGCATCGTGATGCTGAGGCTGCTGCACCAAAAGAGCCAGAGGCACCAAAGGATCCAAAGGAGGACGTCCTTGGATGGATCGCTCAGCAGATCCCTCAAGCTGTTCACAAGGTGAGATTCGGGAGAGAATGAATTAGGAATAATTATGCCATGTTGGTGGGAGGTAGAGAACAACAGATGGTATATTTGACAGGGAAGAGGTGAACGCAGTTTCAGTGTTTTCTAGCATATAACAGATGCTTCGGATTGGGGCTCAACATTAACATTTCTAGATCGAATTTCTAGTTAAGATAGTTTTCGTATTTCAAAAAGGGAACCCTCCTAAATTTTAGAATTATCCCAGAACAAGTAAAATCTTCACTGTTAGCTGAAGTGAATAGCCTTCTAACTAACATACCATTGAAACCTGATCCTAAACAAAATGTTTTTTTATAACTTTCGCAACAGATTGTGCAGGGATATACTCTTCTCAAGTTCATTAAGTCCCCTATTCATCATCGTTTGCGCGTTGTATCACCATTTGCAAGAGTCTCGATTTGTTTGATCGCGTCGGCAAGATAGACGGCCTGTGTGTGTCGGTACTCTGTAAAAGGGCAGCTGTGCCAATCTCCCCTTCTATCTTCTTTTTGCAAAAACGCGTACACTGTTGTAATGTAACTAACTGCGCAACACAAGTTAACTCTTGCGCAACTCTTTAGTATGAAGACCCCCAGAGAAGACGAACGAGATTCGTTTACAGCCGTAGTCGAAGGTGTCCAATTGCAAAATTGACCTCTAAGGATTTGAAGAATAGATGATGTAATTGCTCTCTTAAATTTCGGAAAAATGAAAGATTTCAACGAAACACAATGACATCGTCATTTTTCGAACTCATGGAGGACGTTTCCGGAGCATGTCGTCTATCTCGTTGTCTACTCTGATGCAAACGTCCTCTTCTCGTCTAGAAACAATGGGAATGAGCTCTCATTTGAAACAAAGATGGTTGCAAAACTAAGGGTTCCCAAGAGAAAATGATAGAAGAGACATTCTATGCGCCTTTTTGGGAGAACTTTGTTCAACATATCAGAAAAAATGAACATAGTACTAATACCTACAACTTCTAAATTATGTTTCAGGCTAACTTCCAAGTGATCGACTGGGTTCAGAAGACTGCTATCCCAGAAGAGGGAGATCGCAAGACTATCCCAGGAAAGGATCAGGCCACCACTCGTAATCAATTCCTCGGATTCTTCAAAGACGGAGATGTTCTTGTTAAGCTGGCCAACGCTCTTGAGGTACGTTCATAACGGATGGATACATATAATATTTTGAGTGAAGATGATACAATGTGATAATGATATGTATATAGGTCGTAAGAATATCAAAGTCGATTAGTGAAATGAAATTATCGGGATGAATGATATAAATTCCGAACGAAGGAATTTCGTTTAGCATTGGTCAATTTTTTAAAATCTAAAATTGGTTTTTTTTTTCAGCCAGGAGCAGTTGAAGTCGCCACCGCTGAAGAAAATGCTGATGCTGCCGCTCAGAAGGAGGTCCAGAAGAAGAACATCGACTCCTTCGGAGCCTGGGCTCAGAAGACTCTCGGAACAGAGACTGCCCCAGTCACCAGCGATGATCTTCTTGAGAAAGGAAAGGCTGGATATTCAGCTGTCTTCCAAACTCTCTGGCAACTCGGAGTCCAAGCCAAGGAAAAGTTCGACAAAGAGGGCTTCAATGTCGAGACGATTGTTCAACTCGCTAACACTGTCGTTAAGAGTGGGCTCTTGAACACAATTCTCGGATTCTTCAGAGTAAGTAACTAGGGTAAATTGCTGGTACATCGAATTAATTTTCAGAGAAACCGTCAGGCTGCCGCTGCCGCTGAAGAGCCAAAAGACGATGCCGCTCCTGCTGCTGTTGAAGGAACTGGAGAGGCCGCCAAAGAAGAGGGAGCTACCGGAGAAGTCACAGATACCGCCGATGAGCCAGTTGCAGTGAAACAGGAGACCAGCGCCCCAGCTGCTGTTGCTGCCAACTAGAAATCTGGAAAAGGCGTTTTTCTTTTTCTGTTATTTCTAGTCAGCATCTCTCTTCCACTATCGTGTTCCGGTATCTCAACTGTTTCCTCCGCCTCTTCATTCCATATATTCAATATCTTCTCCTCGAAATCATAATGACTGCGATGATGATTCAAATATGGAATGTGCTCTCTCAAAAGTAAGTGTAGTACAAAAGAGGTGACCGTCTGATGTGTGCGTGTTTGAGCAACGGATTTATATGCATAAAGAGTCCTTATTTGGTTTTGGTTTTGGACCGTTTAGTGTAGCGCGGAAATGGAAAAGTGTACAATTAGACTCGTTCTGGAGACGCGTGTGCTCCTTGCATTCCATTGGTCGGTGCGCTCTTAATGAGAATACAAGTGTTGGTTTTGTTTTGGAACCGGGCCAAGTCTCATCTTTCTATTTTATCCTCCAATGAGGGAAAATTGTTCGACTGAGAGAGGAGAGAACTATAATTAGGAAGCGGTATAGTATAATAACGGGTCACTGAGCAGAAAAAAAAAGACCGAACGTGTAGTAATTAGAAAGGTGCCAGTGTGGTATGAGATTTTCTTTGAGAATCATAATGCTTCAACGCTTTCGCCATGCTATCTTGTTCCGTAGAATTCACCCATTAAAACTTCTTGCCCTCTTGGGTTCTTTACGTCCAGTTGTTTTTACGGCTATCTCTTTTTTCCGTTCTCTTTTTCCTTCTGTGTAGCGCAAAGAGGGGATTCTAAAGATCAGATTATACTTCGTCTCATACATAGTTTCTGCGATGTAATACAAAAAATCGAGAGACCTTGACTCGGTGACGGTCCTCCTCTTTCTGGTGTCTCTTCTCTGGTCCCTTATGTCTTATTTCCTGTCTCCTCATCATACAGGTCAACCTAGCCAACCGATCCACAGTAATTTGAGTCGGAATGAGGAAACAAGAACAGTTGGTAGAAAAGCGTGTCTGGTTCAATAAGGAAGAACTGCTTATACTCCGGAAGGGATGAAGAATGACCTTGAGAATATAATTGTTTATACTAAAAAGACACGAGCACCAGGAAAAGAGCCGTTTTTGACGTAATTGCTCATCAATTTCTGATCTCTAATAGACGTCCAAAACGCGCATGTGTGAGGGACTCATAATTGGAATGGAAAATTGAAGAAGTCTCGCTATTTAGCTATTGACTGTACAATTCACATTCAGTTTATACTCCTATAACCAATTTTTATCATTTCAGGTCTTCTATATCATCAGATCAATCATCTTGGTTTCGAGTGTCGGCCAGGCAGCAACAATCAACTATTTCATCTTTTCTCTCTTGAAAAGCAACGTTTTATCTATTATACCTTAACCCACCCGCTTCCCCCATTTTTCACACCCCTAATAAGTGTTATTATTTATCAGGCATCTGAAAAAGCTAATAACTGTCTCTTGTCCCCTTCCCCCACAAATTCTGTCCAATCTCTCGATTCACCATTTCTTTCGTCTTTTGATAATTATTGATATTGCTTTTTGCTTTTTCCTGTTTTTTTTTCAAAAATCAAGCTCATGAAATGAGGTTGTATTTTGAGGTTTTGCTTGTTGTTTCACAGTCGAATCTCTCCTTTTTCGCTTTTGACCGATTTCAGTTTTTCTCATTTTTTTGAAATAAATAATGGCACAAATGCATCGATTTCGTTAACTTATCGAAGTTCCAGTTACTGTTGGTTCTAGATTTACTTTGAAAAGCGAAAATTGTCAACGGTCTTTTTGGAATTTCAGATGGCCTCAGTACATGAAATAGAGGAAGGAGAAACATGGAGAACTCATAGGTGAACTTAAAAGTTTAATGTTCTCGATGGGGATCAGAATCTAATTATTTAAAGAAAGTTCAAAAAGAAATCTGGATCGTTTTCAGGAAAAGTGCATTTATGCGAAGTCCTGATCCATCAGCTGACGAAGAAGAAGTGAACTTAACAAAGGTAATTTCAGGGAGCAGCATGGCATATTTATTTTGGAAATATTGAGAATTTTAGGTTATCGTGCAAACATGACCTGAAACAAAATTTTTTTTTTCACTTTTTGCCAAAACTGAAAACTCCGAAAAATTAGCGATTTTTTCGAGAGAAAAATGTATTTTTTTATTAGATTTTCGCAAAAATTCTTTCTCGACTTTTCCGGTTTTATGTCTGAAATTTGACAGGATGGTGTTCGGAAAGATTACTGTAGATTTCTGTAGAAAACTCATTTCCTTTTGTAGTTTTTCACACAATCACGTCAAAATGCAGAAAAACTGATTCTGGTGATTGTGTTTGACAAAATAAAAGGTTTTCTACAGTAGTCTACAGTAATCTTCACGAGAGCCGTTACATCAAATTTCAGACAAAAAAACCAGAAAAATCAAAAAAGAATAATCAGAAATAGCTGAAAAACCTAAAACGATCTAAAAATTTTGCAAAAAATCGAAGAAAAAATCAAGTTTTTTTTCTCGAGAATTTGCTTTAAATTGAGAATCCAGGCCTCAAAAAGAGTGGTAAAGAGCGACGGGTCCACCCTTATGTGATTTTTTTTGTTGAAAAACTGGAAAAATCACAAAAGGGGGTGGGGGGTTTATGTGATTTTTTATCTACTGATATTTCGGCGCCCAGATTTTCAGTTCCAGGGCCTGTCGTGCAATGGTTTTGATAAATACCGTATTCCCTCTAGTCCAACCCAAACTGTCAATTTTGAGTTCTATTATCTCGGTTCCTGTGAAAGATATGGAAAATTTTTCAACTGATAAGTGATATACCATAATATCACCAATATTTTATCAGTTTACAAGATTTTAATATCTCTCATAATCACCGAGATAATTGAGCTCAAAGTAGACAGTTCAAGTGGCCTTCTATCAGAGAAAATGCAGTAATTTTGTGGAGATCATTGCTTCATGTTTTTTTATATTCCAGACGAAATCTGTGCACGAAATCGAAGAAAGTCCATATCGGTAAGATCTACATTCCTGAACTTTTCTTTGAAATTACGTTTCTTCCCTCTTGGTGTTACAATATCCTGATCACAACATGTCTTCAAAAGCGTATTTCTGTTTTCTCCAAAAAGACTTTGAACCTGAACCGATCAATAGATCATATACAGTCAACAAAAACATTTTTCTTCTTCACATCATTCTTTTACTTGTCTTTTTTTGCCCCATTTCATTCATTCTTCCCTCTAACTTCTTATTTCTCTATCTGCACTCTTAAAAGCGCAAAGTCTCTCATTCATATTCTCCCCTCGTTTTCTCTGTGTCTTCTAAACCACGTTTTTCCCTTTTATTTTATTCCCCCCTAACTATGTCATTGAGCAGCAGTTTCAAATGTTTTTTCGAAGTTTTTCAAAATTCAAAAACATGATTTTTCAGTCACCCATCAAAGCCAAACATGACTCTTCTTTCCGACGAGGAAGAAGAAGGACAAGTCAGCGTGGTAGTTTTTAGAATATTTTTCCTGAATAATCTTCAAAAAAAAAGTTTCAGTCAAACTCTCCAAAAAAGAAAGAGAAAAATTCGGATCCACTGAAAATCGATTTCAAATCATGGAAAGACAAAGCCGGCAAACTCATACAATCGGAAAACGTAAAAAATATTTTTTATTTTGAAATTATTCAAGATTTGCTTTACAGCACGTTATGATGCACAGCGACGAAGAGCTTCGTGACGCCATTTCTCAAGCGATGTTTCTCGAAGTGGCTTCTGAAAACCTAATCAGCAAGAGAAAACGACAATTAGAGTGAGAATTTGTCTATTCTTCATGAAGCACATTTGGTTTTTTTTCCAGACTCATTGACAAGTGTCGCTCTGAAGAAATAGCATCAGCTAAGAGGTTATTCGAGGAAAACATCGATGTTTATCAAAGAACATTAGGTCCACTTTGTATGCCACTCTTTTCCGCCTATTTCTATTTCAGTAAAGATTTTCAGTTCATGAATTCTCAAATGAGCTAACGACAACTCTGGAAAAAGCAAGTCGCCCAATCGATGTTCCCGACGTCACCCGTCCACCACCAGCATTCCTTCCGATGCCTTCTATGAATGTTCCTCCACCTCCGTTTCAACCATCTTATAATCCAGTATGTGCATCTGCTACACCTTCCATGAATGCAGTTACCAATGAGATGGCGAAGACCTTGGTGAGCCTTTCTGTCCATTTCATTATTTCTAGGGTAATGGGCACCTGCGTTTCAATGGAACATCATCATTATAGTGGCAGGTGTTCCAACTTTTCATAAGAGGATTACTGAAATATTTGAATCATCCATTTTCATGCACCTCCAATCTAAATAATGTCAAACGAATCCCCAGTTTTCAAATGACAAGACAGTTATTACTCTTGAATCTAACCTGATATTATTCACAGATTGCTCCAACACCACGTGTTCCACCTCCACTCATGTCTCAGCATCTACTTCCTCCTCCGGTCAACCAGCAAGAGAGATCCCCTGTTTCTAGGTCAGATAACGAAAAGAATCCTTCGATCAAGCATGAAGATACGAAAACGCACGAGCATGAGCATGATTCGAAGCCGATTAAATCACTGGGTATGCATGAAGCTTCAAGAGTTGAAGACCCGTTATTTTCTGGTTTGGTAAACGAGAAAATTGCATGTTTGTCGTTCTTACGTTTTTCTATCAAGTCTCCCAACTTGATGTTCGTTTCACCCAGTTTTCATATTAAAAAATTATTCTGGTACAAAAAAATTGGAGCTGGTCTCACAACGAAAACTATAGTAGCCAGAAAATATGTTTATTTTCAAGATTTATTTCTCGATTTTACTGTTTTTTCCGCCAAACAGGTTGGAAATTATAACTTTTCAATAGTGATAATTTTCACTGAAAACGTAGGGATAAAACTCTGAAAATAAAATATTTCTAGGTTACTGTAGTTATCGTTGTGAGACCTTCGACCACGACCACAGCTTCATTTTTTATACTAGCAGCACAATATTCCGCACAGTTTCTAGCGTTTTTACTCTTGTTATATTGATGATTATACTTATTCAATACATAAAAATTTCAGAACCTGGGTCAACACATGGGTTTCTCAGTTCCTCGTGGCGAACTCCGTACCACCCAGTCCCAGTTCCACCGCCCAAACCGTTTCTCTTCTCTCCCAGCGTTCCACCCCCACCGCCCATTCGAAGAAACCCAAGCATCGCTCGGAAAAATTTCATCGGAATTAATATCAGGTTAGTTGTCCATGAACTTCATTGCTCTAGTCAGTCTAGTTAAGCATAATTTCATAATATCTTGTTCAATATTCTTTGAGGATATCAAACAAATCTGTAGGCTACATTATGTAGAGGCGTTTCGTACCGATTTTAAACTGATTGAATTCCTTTCCATGACTCATATTTCTTTTTTGTAAGAAGCTTTTACATCCAGCGATACCGTTTGCTGATTCTATTCTTTTGAAGATTTTCCGCTTTCTCATGCTTTATATTCTTCTATTGTGTATCTTTGCTGAGTTTTTTTATTTTTTTTCTTATTTCTATTCAAAAATAGGTGACGATGCAGGGCGATCTACCCCTTTCCATTTATCGTAGATTGGAATCTCGGTTCTTTTTGTCATCATTCTCGGACGTCTCCACCATTTTTGAGACAGTCTATGTAGCCTCATAAGCTCAAGTTTTCGTTTTTTTCAGCTCTTCATCTCCTCGCCCTTCGAATAGTGGATCTTCTGGTGTCGTTGGTATCAATGTGCGGGGTGTATTCGTCGGAAATCGACCTCGTCCAATTCCAGCCTTCGAAGATTCTCCGAACAGCAGCGATGGATTCTGACAGATTTCTGACCAGCTGAGCTAAAGAGGGTTCCTTGTTTTCTTTTTGTTATTTTTTTAGGTTTTATTTTTTGTCGAGCTTTACTATTCATATTTGTATTAGATATCTACTGGTTATCAGTTGGAAAAGGGTTTAGAGATGAGAACTCCAAGTATATATGACTTCTCCATTCCTCCAAAAACCAAAGAACCATTCATTTTCTATACTCAGCGAGCAACCAATTTCGCTGCGTCTCCATTTCACTCCTATGTTGTCTTGTCTCTTTATCACCATAAACAGTTTCATGTGAGCATCTAGTAATTCACGTGGACAACTCCAAACATCGTACGATCGTACCATAGGCAAACATCTGCAAACTTATCAGCAGCAGCTGATGGGAAATTTGTTTGTGCTTTGGGGTTTTGATTAGTCTTTCGGTATATTTAAACATTTTTTTCTCCAAAAGACAGTCATTCCGGTCTTGATTTTTGACTTACTGAAAGTGACAACGACATATTTCGACGGTTCTTTTTTGTTCTTCTCTTTAATGATAAGGGTGAAATATGGCGTGTTTAATTTTAGTATGTGTTTGGAGTCTTCATTCAACAGAATTAGTCAGGATTGTTCAGTATTATAGTGGGGGTTTCCGGTTCTGTGTAGACTATTAAAAATGTTAAGATGTTAAAAGTTATGGCAGTTTCTAATAGAAAACTAGATTACCATCTGATCAGTGATATGTATTTTCTCAGACTTGATACAAGTCCATTTCCTTGTGATATGGAGAACGGTTGCACTTTAAATCACCTTATTTCAACAGTACATCTCTTTTTTTGCAGTTTGTTTACTTCTTTTCTTTTCGATTCCCAAAAGTTCTCTCATCGAACCTAACACTTTTAATACAAAAAGGTGTCTCCCCCAATGTTAAAATGATAACAAGAACTGGTGTGATTTTTGCTTTTTTTTTCTCTCCAAAAATTCTCCATCCTCCGCCTCCTTTTCCCAACTGATAACCAAGTAGAAAATTTGAAGCATCTCTCTTTCTGATTTTGCCTATTTAATTTGATCGTCATCTCAAAATATTGTCGACCTCACTTTTTTTATTCTCTGCTTTTTTTCAATGAATCTTCACCGTTATTTTTACCACAAATGTTATTTTTTTCCCTCATCGTATAGTTTATAATCTATACTCATATATTTCTTTTTCGATCTTCAACTCTCAAAATGGGACACACATCTGTGACGTCACCCAGACGCATTTCACCACGGGGTAGTCCGCCACACTTGAGGCGAACTCCACCAAAGTTTCGAAAAGTTTTGGTGCTCAAAGAAAAGGTTTCTAATTGATTTATGTTTCATTAAATCTAATTAATAGTTCATTTTTGAAATAACCAGTTTTCAGAGATCGGCCGAACCAGAAAACCCAGTGATGGATGAGCTACTGTTGTCATCGAAATTAAAGTGAGTTTCCGATTTCGAACATTTTCTGATTTCTTCTCGACATGTAGTAGGTTTCTTCAGACAAGCACTTCTCGTAAATGGTAGAAAATTTCGCCAGTTGACCGGCCCATAAGACTGTTTGTATTTTTCAAATGTAGCCGTTCCTGAACAAGAAACAATAAGATTTTTCTATGATTTCGAATATTCTGAAACTCTGTCTCATTTTCATACTCCCTGAACTTAATCATCCTTTATCAAAAAATGACTTAGTACTTTAGGAAACGAGATAACTAGAAATTCCAAAAACTTTACCTCTTCTCAAAAAGTGATTTTCAGACGGGTAGATTCAGCGACCGGATGTGTATCCCCACGTGTTCCTGCTGGAGATGCTCTTCCATCCGCCGTCTCTGTTCCACGTCCAGCTCAAAAGGCGCCAAAAACCCCCTATGTCATTCTGCCAGCATGTGATGCTTTCGAAAAATTCCGGAAGATCAGTAGAGTGTCTGTGGATATTGGTTAGTACCACGGACTAGATGAACATCCATGAGGTCTAAATTCTTCAGGAGGGACTCTCATAAAAGTGGTATATTCATCGGTGATGGATGATGAACTTCCGGAAGAATCACTGAATGGACATGCTCGGAAGTACGCATATGAAGATGGAAAGAGAGTTCTTGTTAATTTCAAAAAGTTCACAGATCTTGATAGATTGATCGCTTTTCTCAAAGAGGTAAAATCCTCAATTCGGTTCGAATTTTCCATAGAGAAACTGAATTTTTAGATTTGGACAGACCGTAAAAGTGGGGATGTGATTCATTGTACTGGAGGAGGATCCTACAAGTATTCGGAAATCATTATGAAAGAATTGGGTGTTCGTCTCCAAAGAACCGATGAAATGCGGTCGCTCATCTTTGGCGTCAACTTCCTATTGAGCACAAATGTCGACGAAAGTTTCACTTATCATCATGACGCTATTGGAATTAATAAGTAAGAGTTTCAAAAAATTGGGAGAAACGTTCTTAATGACAACGTCTTCTTCAGATTCCAATATCGTCCAATCGCTGCCGATCTAATTTATCCATTCCTTCTTGTGAATATCGGAACTGGAATCAGTATTCTGAAAGTGGATTCACCAACGAGTTACGAACGAGTTGGTGGAAGTTCAATGGGTGGAGGAACATTCATGGGACTCGGAAGCTTATTGACTCCAGCTCAAAGTCAGTTTCCGATTCACTGTTATGGGCTCAACAAAACCACTTTCCAGATTTCGACGAACTACTTGAAATGGCGAATCGGGGAGACCACAGAAACGTTGATAAGTTGGTATGTGATATTTATGGAGGAGCTTACGATGAGCTCGGATTGAAAGCGGATCTTATTGCTGGATCAATGGCGAAGTGTAATCGATTTGGTGAAGCGCCAATGAAGCAGACACATAAACCAGAAGACATTGCTAAATCACTTCTTTTGATGGTCAGCAACAATATTGGACAGGTAGCTTTTTAATGCTCATATTTTGACCCAGTTATCTTACTTTCCAGATGGCCTATCTCTACGGAACCAGATACAATTTGAAGAGGATATACTTTGGAGGTTATTTCATTCGTCAAGATCCAATTACAATGAGAACTCTTTCGTTTGCCATCAACTATTGGAGCAAGGTACACAGTATATTGAAATTGAACGGTCAATTCATAATCTACTTTTTAGGGAGAAATTGAAGCATTGTATTTGAAGCACGAAGGATATTTGGGTGCTATGGGTTCATTTTTAGACGAGGATGGTAAATTGGACGATTGAATAATTTTCTTATATTCCGTCTTTTATTTTTCCGAGCTTTTATTCCAGTCATAATCGATTCCTTAATATATTATTGCTTCGCTTTTCTTTTGTATGTTCAACCATTTTGTTTCTCGTGTCGAGACCCAATAATCAACAGATAATTTTTGGCACATTTCTTGAGACGGTCAAGAGTTGTATTTATTTTTATATGAGGTCAAAGAATTCTATACATGAATAAATATATAATAATAATGATAATACTATTGCAAGTTCAAATGACCTGAGGCACGAGCTCCACATTTTGAAATCATTTAACCAGAAAACATCATAATCAGAATCATTCCCTTCCTACTTCACTTTTTACTTCACTTCCAATGTCCTTACCGACGACCCTTCTAGAATATTACAACACAAATTACACAAAATGCTCCAAATCTTTTTCTATTTTCTCGTCTCCGGAATTCCTATCGATTGGTGCGAAATCTCAATTTTTTATAATTGTACCAATCAATTTATTTGGTTTCTATTGTATCATATTCCAAACTCCGAAATATATGAAAGAGTTTCAGTTTCATCTGTTCAATATGCAATTCTGGTAAGATAACACTTTTCACTATTATTCTGTTTCAGAGCTGTGGAAGAGAAACGAGAGGTGGCCGTGGAAGAAGGTCCCACAACGACAACTACCGTAACAAAAACAATTTTATTTTCAGAGTTTCTTCTCGATTTCCGTACGTTTTCAGTAAATTTTTCACTATTAAAATTTCAATTTTCCCTTTTTTTTTGGGTAAAATCATAAAAATTGACAAAACAGCTTTAAAAATCGAGATAAAAAATCCGGAAAATTGAAACATTTTTAGGTTAAAGTATTTTTTAAAAAACCATTTTTAACTTGACTTGACAATTTTTGAGAAATTTGTAATTGAAAAAATTGACTGAAAACGCACGAAAATCGAGAGAATAAATCCGGAAAATTGCAATTTTTTAGAGAGCACACCAACTGGGAGGAAAACAAAAAGTGGGAGGAACCATCTGGGAGGAAAAATGGACGGAGCCTAATTTGCAACCCTGTCACGGTTTTGCCGCATGGTTTTTTTCTTGACCAGGCACCAAATGGTAAAAATAAACCATGGGTTGCATGCCAGGGTTGCAAATTAGGCTCCGCCCATTTTTCCTCCCAGATGGTTCTTCCCACTTTTTGTTTTCCTCCCAGTTGGTGTGCTCTCATTTTTTAGATTACGGTATTTGTCTTTGTGTGATCTTCGACCACGGCCCCAATCATTTCTCTTCCACAGCTCTGATTGTCTGAACTAGAAAAATACCTATCGAGGAAAATGAAATTGTTAAGGTTTTTGATGATAACAATATTCTACACAATTCTCACCACTCCTTATCATTTTTATCCGGCTGAAGTCCGTTGCTCCGTTGGCTTGTTTCATGAATTGGGAATCAGTTCGAGGTATCAGCTCTATCTTATCAATGTGGTTTACGGTGGAATAGTTTCTGCGGTGATTCTTCTTTTTGAAAATAGACATCGACATTTGATTCCATCCACTGAAACATTTTATAAAACAAATAGAACTCATCGATTTCTCCTTGGCCTTCTTAATTTTTTAATTGGTAGCTCAAATTTCTGGACGATATTTTTACAAGATGTGATTCAAGAACGGCAGAAACTAGAATATCTGAAACTAGTTCCATGTCCGACTGAACTTTATTTCGATTCTTGTTCAAGTGCATTTTTTCGAACTCCATCGATTTGGAATAATATTATCCTGGTTTCAAGTCTCATTGTTCCAATTCAAATCGTATTTTTTATTGCTCACAGTATGATGTATTTACGGAAAAGTCACAACATGAATGCGTTCTCCAAACGGACTAAAAAACTTCAAAAAGCTTTCTTTCAAGCAGCTCTTGCTCAAGTTTCTTCACCTATTTCTGCATTGCTCATTCCATTATCTCTGTTGATCTTTATTTTGCGAACAAAGCAATATTTACCAGGTATTTTCAAACTTCTTTAGAGTTCAATTCTCCAAGAAATCAAAAGTAAAGCAGAACATGTTTTCCCACGATCTTCATGAGAACCTCTAAAAACATATGACTTTCAGTTCTTCGGTATATTCTTTTGATATTGAAAGTGAATAAAAAATGTTATGAAACATACAAAAGTTTAAAAACTTTCATTTTCAGGACTCATCAATGCATGCATCTTATTTATCCCATCTCATAGTGTATTTTCTACTGCTGCTCTCATTATTTTCAATGTTCCTTATCGAGTTTTTGTGAAGAAAATGTTGAATATGGGAACAGATACAACCAATCGTGTGGCTACAGTTTCTAGTTAATGAAGCTTTGAAATTTGTATTTTGAAATGTTATTACTCGAACCGGAATCAAAATATTCGAGTCATACATAACTGGAAGCAAAAACAGAGATCTTGCAAACTAGAAAGAAGCTCAAAAGTTTTTGATGCATGAAATCTGTGTCTGGTCTGATTCAAAACGTGGGAACCACCTGACTAGTATCACTCCTCCATATACTTTTTGCAATTTTCCCATTTGTCCTATTTATTCTCATGTCTTCCAGACCTACAACTTTGACTGAATATTATTTGACTAATTATACAAGATGCAATGAAAGATTTTCTTTTGTTGCTTCTCCTGATTTTTTATTAATAGCAGCCAGAATCGAATTTCTTGTGATTTTCCCGATCAATCTACTTGGATTCTATTGTATTGTTTTCAAATCTCCAAAATATATGAGGGAGTTTCAATGGCATTTGTTACATTTGCAGTTTTGGTTTCTTCTACTTTCCATTTTCTATTCTATTCTAACAACTCCTGTACACTTCTTTCCTGCTCAAGTTCGTTGTTCAATTGGTTTACTTCGAACATGGAATGTCCCACCTGAATATCAAGTATACGTGGTTCATTTCGTTTTTGCTGGAATCCTTTCTGCAGTGGTTCTTCTTTTTGAAAGCCGACATCGTCGCTTAGCACCAACCACTGATTTTACCTATAAAATTCACAAAAGTCCCCGGATTCTTCTGGGTCTTTTGAATTTTTCGGTTGGAATCACGAATACAATTCCAGTCGTTTTACAAGAAGAATCGCAAGAGGAACTTAAACTAAAAAATCTTGAAATTCTTCCATGTCCTATGGATTTATATTTTGATTCTTGTTCATTTGCATCTTCTAAAAAAATCACAGGATGGAGTGTTCTGGCATATGCTACCAATGTGGTTTTTACTTTGGAAATTGCTTTTTTCATAATTCATTGTTGGATTTGCCTACGAAGAAGTCAGCTGATGGAAACCTTCTCAGAGCGAACAAAACGTCTTCAAGTTGCATTTTTTCGTGCGGCAATTGCTCAGGTTGCAGCTCCTCTTATCGTGCTTTTTGTGCCCTTTATTATGCTTTTCTACCTCATTGCAACGTCATCCAATTTGCAAGGTAAGAAGGAAAAAAAATATTAGGAAAGGTTCAAAAAGTGCAGAATTTATTCGAGCATTGTGTTATGTTCTAAAAAAGAAGGAAAAAAATTCTACAAACATTGTGTTTTGTTCATTCTACAAAGGTTGTCATGGAAACTATATTTTTGCAGGGTTAATCAACATTTGTGTTCTATTTATTCCTGCGAATAGTGCTTTCTCAACAATCTCACTTCTTATCTACAATGCAGCTTATAGAAAATTTATCGTTGGACTTTGGAGAGTGATCCCAATGACTGAGAGTTCTCTCAACCGAATAGCAGTTGCATCAAGTGTATGAATCATTTCTCGTTTGCAAACATTTTTTCTTCGTCAATTCACATAATTCTATACCATAGTGTATCTTTTTAAATTATACGGGACGGCGCAAAATTGCCCGGACTAAAGTTTGTCTAGCATAACACTAGAGTTAAGCGTTGTATTGGGCTTAAATTTGAGGCGAAAAAAGTCCAAAAATTCATCAGTAAACTGGCCAAATTTCAAATTATTTGTTCAACTTTGAGATGAGTTATCGCTGGTCCAAATTACTTCATCTCATGAAAATCACAAGAAATATTACGTCGTTCATCTTTGGACGATCATAACAGTACCTAGACTTGAGGAATCACTTTGAAAATATCAGTAGTTTTGAATCAAACAAAAAAGCCAAATTCTACCAATTTTCGTGCTTCCAGGATGTTTATGTCTAAAGATATACCATTTTAATCAGTCCGGGTGATTGTGCGCCACCCTGTAAGTTTGCACTTTTGATATTCTCGTTGCTGAAGCTCTCTATTTCTCAATTAATGTTTTTTTTTGTTTTCTCGATATCGAAATTGTCCAACTCTTTCCAGTTTGTATCCTAGAAAATTCCATTCGCTGTCAACCCATTTTTCATTCAGTCCATTTTTTCTTCTTCTTCTTTGCGTGCGTCACAAAAGAGCATCTAATTAAAAAGAGGACAAGTCGTTGGGTTGAAAAAGGACGAAAAACTGCCATAAAATTCTTTATTTTTCGGCTTCGAGAGCAGATAAATGAATTATTTGTGGTATCTTTTGGAGCCCCAGAATAACAATTGAGTGAAATGGAAAATTGGAATAACGGGGGACTGAAAATGGAGGGGAACGAAGATAGTGATTAAGAATAGATATGATAATCGATATTGTATACTGCTATGGTGCAAAAAATCGGAACTATGGAAGAGAGACGAGAAAACTACCGTAACCTAAAACAGCATGATTCCCGGATTTTAAAACCTGTTACAAGTTGGAAGACAATTTTCGATTGTGAAAAAAATTGACAATTGAGAAAAAAATCATAAAAATAGAAATATATTTTTAGGTTACGGTAGTTTTCGTTACGAGACCTTCGGCTGCGGCCACTGGCTTTTCTCTTCCACACCTTCGTTTAATAATATCCGTGATAGTGAGACATATATGATTTTAAAGCAGGATTCTGTTTTCTCCATGCGGCTCGTCGATTTTTGAACCAAATTTTGACCGTTTTCTGTTCCAGCTCGGTGTCTTTTGCCAGTTTATTCAATTCAAATCCAGTGGGGTTTTGATTTATCATGAATTGATCACACAACATTTTCAACTGCTTTTCACTGAATGCAGTTCTTCTTCTTCTCTCGAATGTTTCTTTTCGAGGCTTCCTAGATGGAACAGCTTTTGGTGTATTCGAAGGGACACAGTTGGCGGTGTATGAGTTCTGATGGATAGATTGTGACGTCATTGGAGGCAGATAGAATTCTGGATTGAACTGTGGATATGGGAACGATTCGTTAGAAGCAACATTTTTAAGTGGGAATCTGAAAAAAATTATGATGAAATAGAAGAACTATTGAACAAAATAAGCTTACCTCATCTGGAGTTTTGACATGTCCATTTGGATTACATTCTGAGGCATCATTGGAGTGGGAGTAACCGAAGGACTGTGTGACAGACGAGAATTTTCAGAGGGAGTCAATATGTGGAACAATGAGTTCTGGGGTACAGTCTTACTCGGCTCAGACATCGGATAAGCAAAATACCAATCCGAAATATAACCGGAGAGAGGATTCATCCTGAATGGAATGAGGAATAAAAATTGACAATGAACAATGTATACAGCAATATAGATTGTACGAAAAAAAAAGGCGGATCTTCCCAAAGGAACAGAGTTCTGGCAGTGGAGTGTGAGAACTCGAATAGAACAATAGAATTGAGGTCTTCAAGATCGGTGATATTGTGACAAGATGGGTCATAAAATTGTCACGAATTGGTATCTAGCACTCTGTTTTTAGATGTTATTGCACATTATTTGGTACAGTCCCAGTTTTTGTTCAAGGTGTGATGCTAAAGATCAGCTCAAGGGAAACATGAATTCGGAGGGACCAAGTTATCAAGGAGAGAGTAATGGGCACAGAACATCATACCCACACTGTCAAGTTTATGCTCAATTATCTCAATTCCTATGTTAGATATAAAAAATATGCCAACTAATAAAACACTTCTGATATTATAGCAAACAATTTACTACTTGACAGATTTTTGGTATCTCTCATAGCAACAGAGATAATTAAGCTCAAAGTTGAAATTTAGAGGTCTCTTCTATTACAGGTTTTACAGTAATAACGAATAGAACAAATAATCAGAAACTTCATTTATTCTCAAAGTAATCATTCTTGAGTTTTGCTCTTCGAACTCGACGATTGAGCCGTTTTGAGCATCGACTCTGACTTCTTTTTGGCTGATTGATTAGTGGGTAGATCATCACCACGTGTTATCTCATCTTCCACATTTTGCTTCATTCCTTTCGTGTTCTTCATCTGGATTATACCTACTTTTCCATCGGTTCTCACAGTCAACACTGCTCCCCGATTCTATAAACAAAGTTTCGAGCTGAAAGTCATTTTCAAACAACCCACATCAGTCTCGTTCATGTAACGAGGAGCTGAGAAGATTGTTATGAGTTGCTTGTCAGCGAAAAACTTGAAACCGTCAGGGACCATCTGAAATCTTAATTTTGCTACTATTTTCAAAATAAACGGAATTCACCTGATGAGCACGAACAATCTTTAGGATTTTGAGTTTTTTGCAAGTCTCTCTGACAGCAGCTTCATTAAAAGTGCATGAAAGACCACGAACACCATTCTTGTTGTAAAGTGGATCTCTGGAAAAGAAACATCGATTTATGATAACTTATTGATCAATTTTTACTTGTGCAATGTTGCCAAAGTTTGATCTGGAGTCGGATCAGACCAGAGAAGATCTTGAGCCAAACGATTCGTTGCTACGTCAACAATGGGACGCACGATCTGATATAGAATTAGCCTTCATCAAAATTATGGATTTAATTACCTTTTTGATGTCATCCAATGAGTTCAAATCGGGACTGAGTCCTCCATGCATACAAAGAATCTTTCCACCGACCAGTGCAGCTAACGGCATATATGAGAAGGTTTCATTGAGTTTCTCCCACACTTCAGCTCCATCGGCTTCTCCCAATTTGATAGTGAGCTCTTCTTTGAATCCGTATGCAAAATTGATGGCTCTTGTCTCATGATTTCCACGAAGAAGAATGTAGTTTTTTGGATAATGGATTTTCAAAGCAAACATCAACGCAATGCATTCAATTGAATGGCTACCACGGTCAACATAATCTCCGAGAAAGACAAAACTGAAATTTAGACTCGAGTTTTCAAAAAGAATAACTTCTAAAAATTACCGATTCGATGAGAACCCAGTTTTCTTTTGTTTCGTTTCTTCTTTTGTCAAACGCATGTTGAGAAGTCTCACGAGATCAACATATTGTCCATGGATGTCCCCAACGATTGTGCATGGAGGAGACATCGTTTCCAGAGTCGATTCGTCGCGGAAAATTTCTCGAACCATTTCAGCCAGATGAACGAGTTCCCATTTCTCATAGGTTTGCTAAAAATAAGACTCTCGTTTTTCCATAGCTGTAAAATTTGGGAACCTCTCGGTAATTGATCCAGTTTTTAGCATGCAGATGTCTCTTTAGAAAATCAAGAACTTCAAATTGTCTTTCTTCGGCCATTTTCAATCTAAAACTACGGTTGTTATATGCATCCAGACGGATCTGAACCTACCGTGCCAGTTAGTGAGATTTATGTTGTTTTTTCTCAAGTAAAATTGAATTGAATACTAATTTATGACTGTGAGAAGTTTCCCAATAATGAAACAAGAACTGAAACACGTTTTGGAGGATTCAAATTATGGAAACATATTTTTGGGAGCAGTTTTTTTGTGATCCAATTCGAATCCCTTCTTGACTGTCGGCTTGTAACTTCTGGCCAAGTTGAGAGGGTTCTTCTTTTGTGCGGATATTGACCGGGTTCTAGCCGGAAGCTGCCCAAAAACGGCTGTACAGCGGGCCATGTTCAAATTTTGGTCGGAAGTTGAAAGCCGGCGATGCCCAAGTTACAGACAATAAATCAAGTGTCTGATAAATTGTTCCATACTTTTTTATCAACAAAACCACATTTTTATAGTTTTTTGTGTAAATTACACTCGCGAGTATCAATTGATACCGTAAAACCTGTAATAAGAGATCCTCCCAACTGTTTACTTTGAGCCAGTGTTTCTCGGTTCCTGTCCAAGTTATCAAATATGTGTCAAATAACAAAATGTGTGTTATATTGTAATGAACAAATTATCGGTTGACCCCATTGTGATATCTTTCACAGGAATCGAGATATATTTTCTCAAAGTTGAGACCTTCTGTTACAGGTTAAGCAGTAACTCCGTTTCTAAACCAATCTTTGAGAGATTAGCTGATTCTTTATGTTTTTCTGAATTCACATTTATCAATCTACCTAAGACTTGTTTTCATCTTATTGTAACCTTTTCTTATTTGACATTTCAAGTTTCTCTAACATGCATTACACCTTCATTACACTTTATCACCTCAATAAGCCAACCTCTTTCTCTTCATTCCTCCTATCTATTAATCACTTATCGTCGTCATTCTCTTTTCCAAAGAAAGTACATGGCGTCTTCTTCGAAATGGGATCATGTAGCTTTTGGTTTATCAGCTGCCTGTCTATCCACTGCTATCATTCTTCTTGTTTCAATTGCAACTTGGCAGAGTGAAATCTCGAGAATCACCGAAGAAGCTATAGTTGAAACTCAACTGTTCCAGGTAAATGAAAAAATTGAATCTTTAAACTAAATCAATGTTTTAATAGGAAACATCGGAAAAGATTTGGGATGACTTAGTTTTTGTGGCAACAGGAGAAACTGATAGGCACAAAAGACATGCATGTGAGTGAAGTTTTCTGGCGAAATTAAAATTTCAATCTTTACAATTTTCAGATTTAACACGAGCTCCTATTCTTCCTGTAACTGGAGGGGCAAATCAAGGAAGAATGGCTAGTAGAGGATGTAATTGTCAAGGACCACCAGGACCTCCTGGATTAGATGGAGAAGATGGATGTGAGTTTTTATTTTTGAAAAAGTATGAAAGAACTCAAAAATAAATTTACAGACGACGGAGAACCTGGAGTGCCAGGACAGTCTGGAGATGATGACGTATCGGTTCTCAGGCACGATCCTGGACGTTGTGCTCAGTGTCCAGCAGGACCGATGGGACCACCAGGGCCACGTGGAAACCCAGGACCACCTGGAAGAACGGGAGCACCAGGAATCAACGGAATTCCTGGACGACCAGGAACACCAGGATATCCAGGAGAACCAGGACTTCCAGGACCAGTCGGAGATGCAGGAACTAATGGAAAACCAGGAAATCCAGGAAAGGATGGAGTACGTGTCAGAAGAATTCCGGGACCCCCAGGACCACCGGGAGCCGAAGGAGATTCCGGAGTACCTGGAGGTCCAGGTTCTCCAGGATTGGCTGGAGGATCAGGAGAGTCTGGAGCGCCGGGTCCACAAGGAGCACCAGGAACAAAAGGAATCGATGGGATTGCTGGAGGATTTGGATTGCCAGGTCCACAAGGAGTTGATGGAGAATACTGTCCTTGCCCTAAACAGATTAAGAAAAGTATATAATTTTGTATTTCGAAATAAAGTTCTTTTAAGAATACATATAATTAATCTTTAGAAGACCAGTTCCATTTCTTCGAATTCTCAGACATTGGTTCATTGAACAAAAAGTCAATCCTGTAATTGTTTCTTTGAAGTCTCAAAAATCACACTTCTGCTTGCCGGCAACAGCAACTCAATTTTTGATACTTCAAGAAACTAAAAACTCAATTATGACCTAAGCCCCATATATGTGCGATATTTTTGATGATTAAATAGGATCTCTGGAACGAGCTACACAAGCTAGAACAAGTTTTTTTTTCTCAAAAATGCAAACATTTTTTGTCCCAAATATTTCTGATTCTAACGATCCAATTCATTTCACTTGCGATGATTCGTTTGATGAAACAGTTGAAATTCTGAAATACATGTTTCAATTCGTGTATCTTTCATTTGGGGCCTATTTAAATGCGGCTATCATACATAGTGTTTTGTTTAAAAACCGAAATTTCTACAAGGAAAACTCTTATTTTTTACTTTTCTCGGCGGATTGTTTTGTGGTATGTTAAAAGAAAGGGGACTCCGACCAAACCTCTTTATTGCATCAAATTGTTTGAAGTTAAGTATGTGTTTTTTTCAGTATTATTCGGAGAAAGTTGAGAAAAAAACGAAATCCTAAAGCGCCGTTAAAAAAAAGGCGACGAATATGGACGAAGTTTTAAACTACAGTACAGTGAGAACCCTAGGCCACGGCTGTGTGACGGATGTTTTAAATGACCAACAGTTCCGGAGATAAAATCGGCAAATATCCAGAAACTTTGCTATCGAAATATGGCGTCCTGCAGCTGTGGCCTAGATTTCTCACTGAGTGGGAACTCAAATCTTCATCCCTGTTCGCGTCCCACCTCCTTTTTCTTTCAACGGCGTTTTCAGGGGTTTCGGATTTTTTCCAAACCATTGTCGCAATATTATTAGGAAAATACATACCTTTAAAAAATTTTAATGTGATAAAAGTTTTGTCTCGGAGTCCCCCTTTTTACATTTAGAGTCTGATTCTTTTCCTTATTGATATTTTCTTCGCCCGCCTTTTTATGTACGCCACTGCAATATGTTCCCTGACTCATGAATATTTTGCAACCCCGTTAATATTTTTCAAATTTATCCCAATTTTAATTAATCATATGAGAATATGCAAATCGATTATTCAATCTCTTCTGGTATTAAATCGGATGACAGCCGTTCTTTTTCCAATAAAACAGAACAAGATATGGAAAAAAAACATATTCCATGGATAATTCCAATTGTTTTCTTTATTCCACTATCTGCCGATTGGAATTTAATTATTTCGAAAGCCGGTTTATTGGTTAACTTTCTCAAGATAGTCCCTTGGGTAAGAAATCTAAAAATTTTGTAGAACAAATCGAACTTTAAATTTCAGGCAAGCCAATCTCTTTTCCAATTAGTTTTTATCATTATTGCATTATCATTTATTGCAGTTTGTACTTCTGTTACATTGTATATTCTCATTATGCTGCCAACGAGATTCCGGGATTTAGAAAAGTCTATAACCACTGTATCAGTTGTCATTTCTCTCGCTTTTTCGGCTGTTGAGGTCTTTCATGTATCAAATAGGACCAATCTTGCCTACTGAAAAGTTCCATTTTCAGATTCTCTTCCAATTTTTCTCTTTCAACTCAAAAGTCACATCAGTGTTTCTATTGACAATGCTTGTTTACGACGTTTTGAATGTTGGGTAGGTTGTCATCTACCAAAACTTAGAGTCTTAAAATTTCTTACCATGAATATTTTAGATCACCAATGGTTATGTTATGTATCAGCCGAACTGCTCGAGAGCACGTATTCTCTTGGATATCAAATCAGAAAATAGGAAATTCTCATCAGCTTCCTATTTTTAGGTCACATTGAATCGAAGAACAAATTGAGGTTATGGATTTAATTGGCTCTCGATTTCCAAAAAACGATCTCTCGTTTTTTAAGCAAAAAAAAATATATAATTTTATTTTGAGGAGCTCTAATTGAAACAGACACTTGGAAAATATATTATCGAGTACCGATTGGCACATATTCATCAGCAATTTTATATTTTTTGTAATTGCCAGCCTGTTTGCCGCGCCTCCGGCGCTTCAAACAGCTGGCTGGTGCGCCTCCGGCGCGATTTGACCTTTTTTTATTATTTTTTCGTCGCTTCGCGACTCAATCTTCTTAAAAGGTCACGTCAAATTTTATTCAATTTCAAGCTTTTCAAAATTCGCGGACAGACTGACAGATAGAGAAACAAAGAGACGCAACTTTTTATTTATTATAAGAATGATGATAATATTTTTGGATAATCGTATAATATTTTTTTTATTTATGATGATATTCATAACATTATTTTCTTTTTATTTTTAGAAAATTGAGCAATAATATTGTAGAAGAAACATCAAAGATTTTGTTTTGACTGTCTGCGAACAAACGATTTTATATATGAAAGACCGCGTTTTTTTGAGTACGGTATTCGGGTCAAAATCATCAAAAAATTATCTGCGCCTTTAATTTCTAGCTGGATTTTTGATTGAATGCAGCAAGCAACGTATTTCCTATTCCTGAATGGTTTTTTTGAGTGATTTTTTTATAATTTAAAGTTCATTGGATGGTTCATGACACACATGAATACGTTTAAGCAAACCCCCCCCCCCCCATTTTTATGTCAGGAATAATTCCATATGAATGAACTGATGAACGATATAGACAACATTTCGAATATTGACAAAAATTTGTATTTATTTTATCCAATAGGTATTTTTGCTTGCAACTAAATGTTTTCTATCGCTTATTATTCATCTGCTTTCCAGCAGTTACATGATTTTATTAATTTAATTACAGCACATTTACTTCAGCATGATGATCAAAGTTCCAACGTCTGTAATTGGAACGGACAGCCCCAAGGTAATGCTTCCCAGTGTCTTGAATTTTTGTTGTTATACGTTCTACTTTAATATTCTCCCTCATGACGTCAATACTCACTATTGACCCGGAAAATGTGTTGCACGGAGTATGCGCGACGGTCGCAAACCGCTCTCGCGTGTGCACTCAAACTCTGCGTCTATTGATTGTTCCGTACTCTCTACATTCGCAAAGTCGCATTCTGCCCCCTGTTGCCCTAAAATTTTTTTTCATTGAAATACAGATTTCAGTTTTTGTTGCAGGCAATGAAACGTGAGCACGAGAACGACGAAGGAGATCGTTCTAGTCGTCACAAGCGGCAGAAAACCGATGGGTAAGGATTTTCCAGGTTAATTAACAAAAATGGCTCGTTTTTCAGTTTTACTGAGGCAATTCAGCAGGGAAAGTTCGAAGTTCGTCTTCTAGTGAGCAGCAAGTCCGCGGGAGCTATCATCGGAAAAGGTGGTGAAAATATCAAGCGTCTTCGTGCCGAGGTAAGAAATCGAAAATTCGTTTCAAATTTTTATTATTACTATGCCTTCATGACCCGATAGAGACCCGTCTCCTCACCCCGATTTAATTTTCAGTTCAACGCCCATGTCCAAGTCCCCGACTCGAATACCCCTGAACGGTAAATAAGCCAAAGTCCATCAGCCCTTCACCATCTCCTACCCGATCACACGTCCCACTCTGATCAGATCCCATATTCTCTATCGAGTTAATTGTATATTGAACAGCTTTTTAAAATATTCCATGTTTGGTCCCATTGCAACATTACCCTTGATTTTTATTGTTCTTTCCCTCAAAGTCGTAATTTCAGTGTTTGCACCGTCACCGCCGATGAGAAAACAGTCCTCAACATTTTGAAGGATGTTCTTCCTCGTCTTGAAGATGTAAGTATGTTCTAGGCAACTGTCAGGACATTTTATTCAGCTTCTATTTTCAAATTGTTAGATCGTTTTTCGCAAACAAGCCTTTTCAGAATTTCTCTGAACGAGACCCTTGCGAGGTTCGTGTGCTCATCCATCAATCACATGCAGGAGCCCTCATCGGTCGAAACGGAACTAAAATCAAGGAACTCCGTGAAAAGTGCTCTGCACGTTTGAAGATTTTCACTGGATGTGCCCCTGGATCCACAGATCGTGTTCTCATAACATCTGGAGAACAGAAAAATGTTCTGGCTATAATCGAGGAAGTCATGAAAGAGCTCAAGGAGATTCCAATCAAAGGATCCGCGACTCCATATCTTCCAAGTTTCCATTACGATCCGTCCAACATCTCCGAATATGGAGGTTTCCCCGGAAACGTTTCGGGTGGAGGACCACAAAACAATCGTGGACCAGCTCCCCCCCGTGGAGGACAAGGCCCACCCGGTGGGCCGAGATCGTATGGAGGAGCAATTACTCCAGGAGGAGGCCCAAGATCCTTTGAAGCTGGAGATTTTCATCAATTCCGTGGAGGACCAGTTCCTGGACAATACTCAATGAATGCTCCAGGTTATGCACAAGGCCCACCGCAAGGACAATTTGGTGCACCAGCTAATGCTGGATACGGCTATGGACCAGGAGGCGGTGGACCGGTTACAACTGCTCAGGTAAAAAAAACAGAAACACCCACTATGTTTTATGACTACCAAAAAAATTACAATAGTTTTCACCTATTTTTTGATATCCCGCCACAAGACCGTTAAGACTTTTCAGGTGACGATTCCATCAGATTTGGGAGGCACCATAATTGGACGAGGAGGTGAGCGTATTGCTCGAATTCGTCAAGAGTCGGGTGCGCAAATTACTCTCGAGCCAAGCAACGGGCAGCCCGAACGCATCATAACCATCAAGGGAACAGAACAACAAATTCACAGTGCTCAATATCTTCTTCAACAATGGTTAGAAACAAAATAATAATTCCTGAAAAACGTTGTTATCATTTTCAGTGTCCGTAACTCAACACAAGGTCGCGAGCGGTTTGGAGGAAACGTTTAACTCAAATTTCTTCTTGCACTTCATTGTTCACATCGTTGGTTAACTTGACCAGGCTGAATTATAACAATCTATTCAAAACCCTCAATTCCCCCTTTTGGTTTGGTCATTTACACCTAAAAATGTTAAAGTTACCACATGTTTTCTTTTGTTTTCCTTACATTTTTCTGAATTTGCATTTTTCTTCGAGATTTGCAAATCGGAAACTTTTCTGTTCTTGTTTATCCCCACCCATATTCCACATATTCTCCCACTATAGTCAGATTTGTTTGGAAGTTTCAACCTCCAAATGTTGTTATCAGTCTCGTCCCCGTTTGGGGTTTGATCTCTTTACTACCCTGTTCGTACCACCATCAACCCAAAACCGTCAAGAAATGGCTACGAAAATTTCCGTTTCTAGTAGAAAAACAGATCCCCCAGCACCCTTTCTAATGCTTCTCCCTTCTCTGATGCTGCTAGAAATATTCGCGCATTCCCTGCCGGGGACTTCCAGTATCTTTTCTGGATCTTCGTCAGAGCTTGCGCTGAATTTTATGGCAGCATTTCAGCATGTGCGTATAGATTGCTAGGCACTTTGACTCGCTTCCCCATACAACAATCTGTTCGTCCCAAATCACTGAAGCTGTTTTCCTTATAAATATTTATAATGTATACTCTCCACATACATTGTCCATTAATCACTTTATTTAAGAAAGATAAGGCACTCAGGTTTAAAGAAGCACGCCGACTAATAATTGGAATTGCTCAGAGGTCACCAGTTTCATGCTTCGTGCCTACATCGATGGCAGGTGGCTCGTTGGATAGAAAAGAGGGACTCGCATAGGATCCCGAAGTCATGGCAGTCGAAGAAACTCCGAAGCGCCAGTCGTCCATGAAGTTGGAAGAGTTGATGACTGGTGGATAGAAGTATGGGGACACTTGTGGAGTTATTTGAGGGGTGATTGTTGGTGATGGACTGATTCCATTGAATTCAGAAGAGCACAATCCAATTTGAGGACTGGCATAGTAAGGCCAGTCATACCTAAAAATAGAACGATATTTTATATTCTGAAATATGAAAACGCACGCTGGCGAGGCCCATTGCATTGGGAAATCCGGCGATCCATATCCGAAATAGGCAGCGGCAGTTGGATAGACTGGAGAATGATCTGGTCCAGTCAGGGGAGGCAGAGGAATTGAAGTAGCTAAAGTTTAGAACTCAATCAAAAATCATATCAATCGATGACTCACTCGAGGACACTAAATGATCAGAAATGGAAGATCCACAGTCGTCTCCAATCAAACCATTCTTGATTTCACTATTCAACGAAGATCGATTCGAATCGGTGAATTCAGATGTTGAGCAAGGATAGTCATAGACCTGAAAGACCCATAATTTGTCTCCTTTGGAGAAGAAGAGCCATCATTTGTTTATATAAACTCTGCGCCAAAATGTGGCGTCTTCAATTTCGTTCCGAGTGGCGTTCCCATGTTAGAAGTAGGAGAGAATTATGATACTACGAATCGAATTGCAAAGCAAATGAGTTAGCAAAAAAAGTGATCAAAGGATGGGAATAGTTATGATGAATAAAATGAAATGCATTCAGATTAATCTTGCTGAGAACTCAAGAGCCGATTGTCCCACAACGGCAGCTATCGTAACCTAAAAATTTTTTCAGGGGTTTTTCTCGTTTCTCACTGATTTTTTCCGAGTTTTCTGTCAATTCCCCACAGAAAAGTCGCAAAGTCAAAATTTTAATAAAGAGAAACTGGTTTAGAAATCCGATAATCGGAAAAACAAATTCGGAAAATAAAACTACTCTTCGTTTACAGTAGTTGTTGCTGTGGGAGCTTCGGGTACGGCCACCAGCGTTTCTCTTCCACAACTACAATTTTTTGAAGCAGAATAATAGCAGTTTTAAAACTCTTAAGACTCTCAAAATGAGTAAAATAATGTTAAAAATAGGTTTTGAAACTCTTCAAATTCTCAAATTTGTCGGAAGGTTCTGAAAATTTTCCACTTTACTGAAAAAATCGGATGATTCCAGGTGATCAACAATATATCAGCGTTTGTGCCAATTATTCTCGGTTCCTGTCAAAGATATCGAAAAAGAGCCAAGAAAAATTAGCCCAAACCTGACAGTGCGGGGGTCTTTCTATCACAGTAAAACCTTTACGATATCGAAATTTCAATTTTCTAACCTTTTTAAAGTTTTCTAAATGATTCTCTCCATTTGTCCATTTAAAACATAATAAATCCTGAGTGCCTTGTCTACTTGTCTCAATGTTTTCCTATTAGTGACACCTGGTTGTGTCCATCTTACTCCCCCATTTATCTTGTTCGTTACCATTTGTCCCACTTCACGTGGCTCTTCTTCTTCTTCCACTTCTTTATAACTTACCGCTCCTCCAATCGACAACTCGTTTCCTCCTTCAGAAGCTGGATAATGAGTTCTCTTCCGAGCCTTGTATCCACGTGGACGACGGCGGAATCCATTCTCTTCCAACATGAATTCACAAGAATCACTGATGGTCCACTTGTGACCCTTTCTTCCCCGATAACTGAAATATCAAAGTGAAAGAAGAGGGGCAAAACGATTAGATTTACCTCTCTCCAGTATCCTTCGGAAGCTTAACAAAGCACTCATTCAAGCTCAAGTTATGACGAATCGAGTTCCTCCATCCAGCATATTCCCCTCGGAAGAATTCAAAGTTCTCTTTCAGATATTCATAAATCTCAGCCAATGTAGCTTTCTTATCTGGCCGCTTCTGAAGAGATTTCTTATGATGAGTGTCAGATTTCTAAACTTACAGAAATGGCCATAGCAATCAGAGCAATGTAAGAGTAAGGAGGCTTCTCCTTTCTTTTCTTTGATCTAGATCCAGAATCATCACTATCATCCTTCATATCTTCGTAGTCATCATGCATATTCTCCTCATCATCCTCTTCGCAGTACGGCTCATTTTTGACGTTTGTAGCCATTTTAGTTGAAGAATCATTGCTCAGCTTCAAAGGTCCAAGAGCATCAGCAAGTGAGTACAATGGAGAACTAAAAATATTGGATAGAGTTAGTTATGTATTCTGAACGGGAGCTGCTCTATCTCCTACAGATCGAATTTGATCTCGTTAGGATGTTGGGTAACTCGGGTAACAGAAAATCAACCAGACTCACCCATTCATGTTTCCAACTGATGAAGTTCAGATGATATTGAGCTGAGCTGTAATAATGAGATTCTAAGAAGTTTCAGACGATCAGAAGTCTAGAAAGGTTAAAAAGTATAAAAGATATGACGCAAGAAGAGGTGTCCTCCCCCCAATAAACTTGTCTTCTGGTGGATCAACTTCTCAATGACTCCTGCTGATGACCCCTGAGCAGACTCCGCCCCTACCCCCTCCTTTCCTTCAGCTCCCGGATGGTATACGGTAACTTGTGGATGGTGGAGAGCAGAAGAAGACGAGGAATGGAATGGATTATGGTGGCATAATAGACAAGAGTCGAGAGGAGGGCTATAATATAAACAATTTGAGAAAAATCAAGAGCATAAGAGGAGAAGCTGGTGGGACTGGTTAGGACGACAAATGTGGTGGTATTGGGAATAGGGACAGACATCTGGTAGGATGGGGCAAAGTATAGGAAGAGAGCTCTTGGAAATGGATCGTCGAGAGAAATATGATCGATTCTTCAACGAGCATGGGAAGATACTCTTCCTACTGTTAGATTTCATAAGAAGGCTATGCTGAAACTTCGGTCACTTCGGTCAGAATGTTTTCAGCAATCAGGATAAATATAACAGAAAAGTACACCAATAATGTGCAATGATTATAAGAAAACAATGACGTAGTTATACTAGTCAATTCTCGATCTAGAACCTTCTAAAACAATGAGTCACTTGACATGAAAACATGTTTTTGATTTGAAGCACAATCAGATTTATTCAAATACAGATCATATCAGGTATGAACTGTACTAAAACAATTATCAAATACAAGTTATGAATTGGTATGATGTTCCGCCGTTCGCAGTCAATTGATTCGGCTGAAACCAGCACATATCGGCCAGAAGATTTGCCTGAACACGACTATTTTTGGTGAAATTTGAAAAGTTGCATTTGTTTTGGAGAAAAACTGAAAATTTAAAAAGTTACGGACTTTAGTCGTGTTGAAATTCATTTGGAAGCTCGAACTGTAAGAAATTCAAAACTGCAGCTTTTATCACCTTGAATACTGTATTAGAAGAGCCCACACTCTGTCAAGTTCGAGCTCAATTATCTCAATTCCTTTGAAGATATCAAAAATGTGTCAGCTGACAAAAAATTTTTAAACTTATGAAAAACAATTTATTAGTTATCAACTCTTTCATATCTTTAATAGAAATCGAGAAAACTTGGCTCAAAATTAAAAGTTAGGGGGCCTTCTATTACAGGTTTTACGGTAAGTTGTGCTCGAAGCAAAAGGAATTTAACAATGTAAAGAGTTCCTTATTTTATTTGACCAGTTTTTCTCCAGTGGTAGATATAGTATTAACTATTCATTTCGGTTATCCCATCATTACCGGAAATAATGGTTACGTAACTGTTTACAATCTGCTAAACCTACACTTGACAACGAAGAACATGAGCATAAGCATCGCATCAAGTATCTACTAAGAACTTTTGCACAAACAGACAATGGACCATAACGTTTGGGGGAAGGTGGCAACTGTCATTCCTGTTGGATGGAGGGAAGAGGAAACTGTTACGCAACATTCTCGGAGTGTATCCATCTGAATTTTGGTGTCGATTACCAGAGTTCAGTGCAGAAGGTGTCGAATAGCTAGAGGAGAAATACGGTGATGTGGAAGATGCAATGCTATGACTGTTCTGACTGAAATGATGAACATAGAAAATCTGAAATATCTGAAACTTTGAACCTTAAAAGTAAACTTCTAGTCAATTATCCTTTGTTTCAAATTTGAATACGGAGAATAATCTTCCAATATACATACATATTGATATATGTTCCCTCCTATTCATCTCTTGTAACCCATCCTGCTAATACCACCAAATCTTGTCTCCTCCTGCTCACTTAACGCCTGCGCATTGACCTTGCTCATCAGGTGCAACCGTATCTGGTGACTTTTTACTGTTACTATTCGAATATATAAACACATTACGAGAGAGCATTCAAACTGAAGAGACGCAGAACTGAAGTAATACGATACACGCCAGAGACTTCTCGGGAATAAGTTGAATCGACTCCAGAATCAGAAAATTGTAGATGGATATTGAATGGAATACATGGTGGCGCAGAATACCATGACTGACTAAAGTTTGTAATAGCATAGCATTTGAGCAGAACGTTGTACTGAGTTCAAATTAGAAGTGCAAAAATTCAAATAATACATTAGAAAACTAGCCAAATTTCAAATTGTTTGATTGACTTTGAGCTGAGTTATCGCTTGTCAAAGTTGCTCCATCTCACGAAAATCACAAAAAAACATTAAGCCGTTCATCTTTGGACAATCATAACAATACTTGATTTGGGGGAATCGTTTTGAAATTTGCAGTAGCTTTGAATCAAACGTAAAATTATATTTCTGTCAATGTTCGTTATTCCAAGACATTTATGTATGAAGATAGATCATTTTTTATCAGTCCGAGTAATTGGACGCCACCCTGCAGTTGAAATTGTTGGGTTTTCAGCTGGGCGGATTTTTTCTTTCCCCTTTCGTTTTTTAATGTTAATTAAACGTGGTATATAGACTCTTTGACTGATATTTTGTTTCTATTTTCAATTATTTTTTGGTGCTCAAAACGTTTTGAGCAATGATAATTCAATGGATGATCAACTGGTTATTCAATGGTTGGTGATGAAATTTGTTTCTAATTTTTTATATTAATTTTTCCAGAGAAATTCGTTTTACTTGGTATTTTCCTGTCAACATGTTTGGTTCCATTTTTCGATTGTGCAAAGAAGAACAAAAAAGGTTTCCGGAAAAAGTAATCAGTAGAAAAACCCGTTTATTTCAGGAAAAAATAAGAAAAAGGCAAAAGAAACTGAAACAGATTCAGAACCATCGAAAAAAGGAAAAAAGAAGAAACCAAGTAAAGAAGAAAGTGGCGAAGGGGAAGATGATGAAGAAAATAGTGGGACACAAGTTACAAAAACAAAATCTGTAATTACAAAAAGGGTACAAGAATAAATTTGAATTTCAAAAAAACATCAATTTTTCAGAAGGGGTTGAAGAAGAAGGGAAAACAAATGAATTCTCGAATGCCTAAACAGAACAAATGCCGCTTTGTAAGTCATTTATTGATTTTTGTACTTCATAAAATATCGTCTTCCAGCCTCCGCCTCAAAATCAAAGACCACGACATCCGGGATTCGAAGCTCCGATAGATCCAACAGAAGATACAAACACCTATCGTCAAGTTGAAGGTTTCTCAGATGCTGTGAACTTTTGATTCGCATTATTTTATTTATAAAAATGTTATTTTTCCAATAGATTATCAGTTTTTCGTTATGCAAGGACCGTTTTGTTGATACAATAACAGAAGCTGAGAATCCATTAAAGGCATAATGCTTATGAGAATATTGTGGAAGCTCATAAGAATGCGACAGAAGCTGTCGACTCTACTGCTGAAAGATCCTGGAATATAATAAAAACGAAAGAATTACTGTAGAGGAAAATATTGGAAAATGAAAAGGATTACTGTAGGAAAAATTAATTGAAAATGGAAAGCATTACTATAGGGGAAACACGTTTGAGAATGGAAAGGATTACTGTGGATATATTTGAACATGAAAGCTGGCATATATTTTTCAAATGTAGCTCTTACTATTGTCGGAATTTTGAAACTGACGCCTGCGGGTTTGCAGAATCTCGTTAATGTTAGTGGAAATCTCGTTAATTTTTTTACTGAGTCTGCAAATACGAGGTGTCAGTTTTTTAAATTCAACCAAATTTACACTTGATTTAACTATATAATTTAACTTTGCAAGTATTAAAAAGAAAAAACGTCATTCACATAATTTATTATAGGTTAGTAAGAGTGCTAGTGAGAATATCAGTTATCATCCAAATCATTGAGTCAATGCGAACAGAACGATTGGAGCCACAAAGAAGGATCCAGCCGATCGGAAGGAGACAGAAGTCACGTTGGCAGTAGAGTTGAACAATCCCTCCAAATCGGTGCTCATTTCGATTGGCTCTTCGGTCGTGAAGACTGGACGAGCTGTGGTTTCTGGAGCAGCGGCGGATTCCTCGTTGGTCTCAGCTGGTTTCTCCTCAACTGGAATCTCTTCAACTGTGGTCTCTTCAGCTGGGATCTCCTGTGGAGCTTCGTTTGGAACAGCTGGAACTTCCTCAGCTTGTGGAGCGGCTTCGGTGACCTCTGGAGCAGCAGTTTCAGGAGCAGCAGCCGCAACGGTAGTTTCCTCGGCAGTTGGAGCGTCCGTCACTACTGCTTCGGTGGTCTCAACGACGACGACTTCAGTGACAACTTCTGGGACATCAGTCTCGGCAGGAATCTCAATAGCTGCTCCGGTTGTTGGCCTGAAATCATAATATTTGTCTATATTGATTGAAAATAATATTTTTTACGTTTCGTCACAGAAAGAAGCCGAGATGAGAAGGACGACGAAAACGAAGATGTTGGTCAGCTGCATTGTTGATTGGTTGATGCTGGGTGGCGAGTAGAAGGCTTGGTTAGTACAGAGAGTTAGTGTTCAAGTTAGAACTGATTTTATTAGAGTTTTCTCAACGTTACATCAATTTTTATCGCTGTTTTTGATCGGCCTCCACGTGGAATACGTGAAGGTCGAATTGATAAGCAACTGAGAGTTCACGTCAATATTCTGAAGCTTGGAAAAATTAGGATCTATTTGTGAATGAATCATAAAGGTCACGGGAAAAGTTAAATTTGGGTGTTCGTCTAAACGGAAGCGTTAGGTTCACTAATCTGCACCCTTCTAGAGAAAATTCACTTTTCATTACATTGCTCCAATTTTTGATCCAATAGAATAAAATATCAAATAGAAGTGAATATTAAATTATCCTAATTTTTTCCAGAAACCATTCTGTGACACCTGTAATAGTAGGATTCCATACTGTAAAGTTTGAGCTCAATTATCTCAACTCCCGTGAAAGAAATAGAAAATGTGTCAACGGATAAATGTTTGTGATATATTATGATAAACAAGTTATCAGTTGACAACATTCTAATATCTCTGACAGGTACCGAGATAAATTGGCTCAAAGTTAATAGTTAGAGGAGCCTCCTTTACGGTATCATTTTATTTTCAGAACCATTTTTCTTTTCAATGAAACAGCTTTATAACACCTGGAGTTTTGCACTGACCCTTTTAAAACAGCTGGAACATGTGTGGTATTCATCCCATCCTAAATTTCATGTTCATCTGCTCATCGTGCCACCCTCAAACGTGTCAATAAACCATTCTCCGTTCACTGACCATCTCCCATTCTCTCATACTTCTCTCATCTTGTATTTCATATGTTCATCCTCACTTTCCGATTGTCCACTTGAGTATTATTGCAACTCACTCACCCTTTTCACTCCACTTTTGCTCTGTGAGCCAAGTGCTCATAATTTTCCCACAATATTGTTCGATTTTAGTTGAATCAAACTTTTTCATGGTTCGATTTGGCAACGAGAACTGTGTCCAAAATGGGAACCATACTTTTTTTTATATTCCCAGTTAATTTCAAAACCCAAAAAAATAGTAGTTGAACAAAAAAAATTCCAAAACTACAACATCTGTAGAAATCATTTCAGTAGTTTCAGCAACCAGAATATAGTTCAAAGCCCCCAATAGCTTTTGCAACTTCTTTGCAATTAGAAAAACGTGTGGAGTGGGATGTGACCTTTTCTCGACTAAACCACTTGACGGCTCTTCTCTTCATCTCAATCAAACATTCTTACTTCCTTATCCCTTTCTCTGCTTCCTTTTGATAATAAATAGTTTCACATTTATGATTTCAGATTCAAAAACCATCCACTCCCCCGGATAATAAAACAGTAGTACTGTTTCGTTTTTCGTCATCAATGTCTTTTTTCGTTTTGTAGTTTCCTGTTTTGGTAAATTTTCAGGGATGACCTAACAAATTTAAGTAAGAGTAATGTGTGGCATAGAACAATTCAAGTGGAAATACCTATAATTTGGTTTCTTCTGTCCTCGTCAGGAAAATTTTCGAATCTAAATCTGTCATAAAAACGTTCGTCATTCGTCAATTATGGCGGGCTTGGAATTGAATGACCAGTATTAGTACATTAAAGGTTTTGTAGCCAGTTTCAAGATTACTGTATATTTCTCAAATATGATTTTCTTTGATTTCTTCTAGTCAAATGTTCTAAAAATCAAGAAAACCTTTGAATAGTTCTCTGTCATAGAATCAATCTTTTTATCTTTTCTCTCAAGGTTGTTCTACTTTTTTACTGTAGTTCTGTGATAAATCAACCAGTCACCGTTCATAGATTTTGTTGTACTACATAAAATTGAGACACAAAGTCAAACAAGGAACTTTTCATTAATTTTCTCTGTCTTCTTACTTTCTCTCCTTCCTTTTTTCACATCTTCCGAGGTCATCTGCGATGTTTCCCCTTCGTATCCCCAAGGTCTTCTCGAATCGGTGTTTTGGAGATTTTGTAATATTTTGTAACATTTTTAGTTCAACACCCTTTTTGTATAGTTAAAATATACTTCCCAGAACTTCCCGAAACTGACTTGCTAGTCTTTGGATAAATCTCATAAGTCACAATAATGTAAACGAAGTATAAGCCATTCGGATGTTCTAAAATTTCGAAAGGTGGTAATTAATACATCAAGAAAATGGTTTATTTGAAGAGAGAAATTACAAAATTAGGACAAGTTTTCCGAATGGATATCTGCACTTTATTGCCAGCTGGAAACGTTCAAATGACTTCTTTCCTCTGGTTTAGAACACAGAACCAATTAGTTTTTTTAACAGATGTGCTCAATTCGGCAGTTTTAGTTTCCCAATTTTCAATTGGTACGCAAATCCGAGAACGACCGATTAACTATTTTTCAGAATTGAAGATTTTTTCATATTTCCGTGCAGGCTATTTATTCTATTACAAAAAAAAAAAGAGATGTGGAAGGAAAATGCCGGTGGCCGTGGTCAACGGTCTCACAACGAAAAATACCGTAACCTAAAAATATTTTAATTTTCCGGATTTATTCCCTCGATTTTCGTGAGTTTTCAGTCAATTTTTTCAATATCAAAATTTGAAGAAAATAAATCCGGAAAATAAACAAATATTTTAAGGTTACGGTAGTTGTGGTTGTAGGACCTTCGACCACGGCCACATGCGTTTCTTTTCCACAGCTCCAATTCTTTAATTTAAGAGAATAATAGCTGAAATTATTAGTAGTTCAACAAGCATGTACCAATACGCGTAAGCCTATTATTTCGGAGAACTTCTCACTTTCACCAATTTCGAAAATGATGATCGATGTTGTTGCCTCCTTCACTTATGCTTCTTCTTCTCCTTTTTTTCACTTGATCGTCAAATCTAGATATATTCATTTCAAAAGCTAACGTTGTTCTTATTCGAAAAAGAACTTGTTCCCCCTCTTCTCTCCTTTTTATGTTCGTTTGGCTTTTGATTCTAATTCGAGATTCTGAAAATAAAACCAGGTGGAAATAATAATTATGAGAAATTGGAGATGTAGATAGGGTAAAGAACGTTAATTGGAATTCTCGTTTTTGGTATTGATTCATTGTTCAGTTCAACTACAATGTCTTGTTTGCTCTGGATATTTTTGCACTTCCGCCGACTTGGCGTAGGTCTAGGTGCATATGGATGAGTTTCAGCTGTGTCAACTTCTTGTTATTGTACAAAAATCAAATATAAAAATGTGTTCTTGGTGTCTAGCTGATAACTTTTTTCACTTTTGTTCCGATGGATCTCAGATCCCGATTTCATATTTTAAAGGTGGGGGGACAGGAGATTTTTCGTAGTTTTTTTGTAGCTAGAGTATGCATTCTACCGTCTGTACAACGCTTAATGTCACTCTGCGTACAGCTGTCGTCCTCGCCTTTATGTATGCAATCGCTTTCTCTTTGCCCGCGTGGCACAGCCGGTAGCGGCGCCGCATCCTCAATCATCGCCTTCACAAGTTCAACTCCTCGAGGGGCATCTTTGAACGGAATTTCGAGAACATTATTTTTTTCATGTCCCCCCACCTATAAAAAATTGAAGCTTCATTTTTCGTCAACCATCATACTTTTAACGTTTAATAGAAGAGATAGAACATCAGCCCCCAATAAAAATTGTGTTCTTGTCTTGTTCATGTTAATCAGTAATTATTGTAATACTCGAAGTAAGTAAAGGTGTCCCTCCTCCTCCAACTACTACTCCTCCTACCGCATTGTTTTCTGTCTCAGTGTCAAGATTTACACACGTTTTAGAATGAGTAGACGACAAGACAATGGGCTTCTTCTTCCTCTTCTTCTCATTCTTTTTTCTTTTCATCATCTCTTCGTGTTCGCAGAAGATAATTTGTCAGTGTGACCGAGAGAATTTCAGACAAGTAGAAGGAGGAGTAGTCGATTCGTTTATTACTCTTTGTCATTTCAGTTTTTGTGTGTTCGATTATTCTTCTTCCTCTTCCTCTTCAGTTTGACTATTCTGAAGGAATGCAAAAGTCCAGATGTCCTTTTCACGATTTTTGTTATCTCTAAAGTACGTCCTGGACTTTATACATTTTTGAAAAGTTCAACACTCTGCATAGTACTTCCTTAAATGGTGACGCACAGTTACCCTGATTGGTAAAAACGGGTATCCCTTCAGACATAAGTATCTTGGAAGCATGAAAATTGATAGAAATATAATTATACGTTTGATTCAAAGCTACTGAAATTCTCAAAGCGATTCCTCCAGTCTAGGTGTTGTTATGATTTTCCTTGCACGCCGTTGTGATTTTTATGAGACAAAGCAATTTTGACAAGCGATAACTCAGCTCAAAATTGAGAACATGATTTGAAACTTGATCAGTTTACTGACGAATTATTTGAATTGCTGCACCTCAAATTTTAGCACAGTACAACGCTTTACTCAAGTTTTATGCTAGTACAAACTTTCGTCCAGGTAATTCTACCCTGTAAAGTCTAGTTCGTATGTACTATTTCTAAGTTTAAACCAAAAACAAAACCCAACTTTCTATACCAAAATGTTCGAAATATCACATTTCCCTAAATGCTTTTTGTTGTTCTTTCGCTTTTTCGCACCTTTTAGTCAACACAAAAAAATCCCGCCTGTATTTGTATTGCCTCTTCTTTTCGGTTTTTTTCTAGACATGCTTGTTTTTATTTCGGCATTGAGCCACTGTATTGTTTTTGAAAAGATGAGAAGAGGCGGAGGTGAAAAGGTGAGAAAAACAATGTACGGAATTTTTTGATTTATTGCTCTCTTGAGCTTCAGTGACGCAGCTGATTCTTGTTTTAGTCATGGATTTTTTAGATTTCAAACCAGTGAGTTTTTTTAAGATTGGAATAAATATACCGTAAAACCTGTATTAGAAGGGCCGGCCCTTCTATTTTTCCAAGATACCTCCAGAGGGCCCTTCTATTACAGGGGCCCTTCAATTAGAGGGGGCCCTTCTATTTTTCCGAACCCCTCTAGGAGGGCCCTTTGATTAGAGGAGCCTTCTATTAAAGGGGCCCTTCTAATACAGGTTTTACGGTAACTCCGTGTGAATTATGAGACCTATTCCCAAACATAAACCGTCTTCAAATAAAAAATCATGAAGTTACCGTATTCCCTCTAATAGAATTCCCAGTCATAACATCATATTTGAGCTCAAATACGGTGACCAGATTCGACTATTTCCAAAACTACTAGACGAGTTTTTTATTCATTTTCAAGATAGGTCAAGTAATTTTTAGAAATATTGGACACTTTCTCCATCAAATCCGCAACATCCGATTTTTTCCACTTCCGTCAGCTCCTGTCGATCATGATCTCTACACATATTTTCCTAACTTTTTTCTCCTCCTCCTATTATTTTTTCTTTTCTTTGAAATGCCCCGAAAAGTATGACTGTCTCCATTGAAAATGTGTGAAAACAAAAGAGAGGATTTGAGTGAGAAAGAGAGGAAAAAGTGCGGATGAGGAAAAAAAAATTGACGACGGCACAGTTCCTGGACAATTTTTGACAGATTTCATTTTGCATACAAACACTTCTCGGTTCCACCCTCCACCCCGGTGCAAACAAGATGTTTGCACCCGGAGAAGGCCATTCCTTTCTTGAGCAACAGATCTTTTTGATCCAGAAAACTTCCAATATGAGTGTGTGTTAATTCGAGGGAGTAAATTCTAATCAAATTTTAAGGTTCTTTTCCGTTACCGTAATTCTTGTACACTACCAACAACAGTCACTTTTGAACACCCTAATAGAATTACCCCAACCGTCCACTTTGCGCCCATATATCTCATTTTCTGTAGAAGATATCAAAAAGTGGTCAATTGACAAAATGTTTTGTTAGTTTACTACTATTTTATATCTTTGACAGGAACCGAGATAAATTGGCTCTTAGTTTTTGGTATATCAGATCCCAAAAAATAGTCCTTTTCCTTTAGAAACTACTGTGTTCAATATTCAAAACATTTCCTGATACAACATTTTTTCCGATTGAAGCAAAACCACCGGGAACAATAACATATTCAACATTTCTCACTTTGTCACCAAATATTGAATGGAACAGAAAGAAATGCAAATGTTGTGTTGGACAGTTCTGTGCAGACTTCTTTTTTTGCTTACAATTTTTTCTAAATTTTATAAAAATTCTCCTTCCCAGTTACCAATTTCATGTCTACGTAGAGGTTTTTAGTTCGAAAACTATGACTCTATTCACAGTAAAGCGAACGGTCCGTCGACAAGCCGTCAATGGCCCGCCCACATCGCCAGGGTGGCGACTAGATGGTGTTCACCCGTTCGCGCCTCTCCAGACGGCATATGTTAACGCTTTTGATTAATAAAACTCATCTCTGTATTACCAGAAAAATTAAAATTCAGGTGTTATTTTTAGCCGGAAACTAGATTTTTTGCCTCTTTGGTTAGCAATAATTCACACATGTTCTCGTCGGGATTTGTTGTTGATATGTGCTCCCGAATCCATGTTTTTTCGTCGCCAATTTCCAACCCAATTTTCACTTTTTCCTTCCGATCACCCCGTAAAGGTTCGTTTTTCTACCAAATATTTACACAGTCGGCGGTTCTCCGGCGGGTAGGATATAAGGCTCACAACCACACCGAGCGTGGTTTTTTTAATAGAGTTCTCTACCGATTTTTGTATTTTTCTTTAGGTTTTATTTGGTACAGAAATAGATATTCTTCTCTGGGAAGTTCAGTTTTTGGCGAGCTTTTGAAACTTTCCTACAAATCTATTCAGCTCTCAGCTAGAAAAGAACGTGTCCCAGAAAAACGCCCAAATATGTAAAGTTTGAAAGAAGCTATGTTTCTTGCAAGTGAGCTTAAGACTAGAAGGCTCAAAAAGAGGAGCTTACATTTTGAGCTTAATTATCTCAGTTCCTACGAAAGATATCCAACAATTTTTAATTAATAAAATGTTCATCATAACATCAGCAACATTTATGTAGTTTGCAGATTGTTGATATCGCTTGTGGGAGCTGAGATAATTGAGCTCAAAGTGTGCAAGTCTAATTTTATGAGCAATATTCGAGACCAATCTGGAATAAATGTAGCCCAATAGTGTTTCAGCTGAGCACACTTGCTTCCGAAATCTCTAATCTGGGCAAATGTTTGAACAGAGCCGTTTTTTAGCTGGTTTTCCGTAGATGCTCATAAAATCTCAAGACTAAAAAAATGTTTTTGAAATCTTGGAAATCCGTCTCGTTGACCCTAATATCCGTTCATCAGAAACCACATCTCCTCCTTTCTCCACTCCTTTTTCATCTTGTGATTTGCCCTTTTTATCTTCTTATCACTTTCATGTTTTCACTTTTTCCACTATCAGATGGTCGGTGATTTGTTAATAGAGCGTTTTTTTCAAATTAGCAACTCAATTAAATTTTATGAGTCTAAATTTTAGGAAACCGAAAAAAAGAGAGCCGGAGTTTTTTTCAAAAAGCAAAGACTTTTAAAAGTTTAGAATTGAAGATAGGAGAATAGTTGGTGCCCGGTTTTCAAACTTTTTTACATCTTTTTTCAACTAGATTTCAAAAAAAGAAGAATCAAAATCTGATTGTGAGTTTTTTTTTCTTCTTTTAGGAATTTACTGAAATTTTCACTAGAACATTTTTGAGAAATTCTCTTGCCTTCTTTTCAATCTGGAATGACAATTTTCCAAGTGTCTTCAACACCATGTGAGCCTTTTTTTCTCGAATTGCACATGTGATTAATGTGTCTATGTCTCCCATTTCTCATCTTTGTTTATTTTTTGAGGGTAAAAGAAGAGTAATTGGCACAATTCCCTGTCTTTTTTCTCTATTGAATCCTTCGTTTCTCTTTTTTTCAATAAAAAATGTCTCGAGCCAATGGAACTTCTTGGACATCATGACTCATGGATGTTCTTGTTTATCATCTCTCTTGCTCACCTTTCGTCATAAATCAGGTGCTAGCCCACACACAGGAAAAATTGAAACAATTTTTTTGAGATAAGAAAGTATTAAAAATAAGGAAAAGATAAGAAAAAATATATAAACTGAAGGATGTCTACTTGAAATTTTTTGAAATACTAAGCCATCAGTTAAATTTCTCGGTCACCATACCCCACAACCATCATTAATTCTTTCATTATGGTGGCCAAGAATTCCATAACTCTTCGATTTGGATTTTTGTGATATTTGAGTTCGGTGGCCTAGAAATACAGCGTTTTGAGTTTTCTAGGTCACAGTCTGACTTTTGGAATTCTAGGCCGTCGTTTCATTTCTAGGCTACGGTGATCTAGTTTTTCATAAGATGTGGATTCAGAAGATGTGACGTCTTCCGACGATGACGTTATCTAAATTTCAGGACGACGTCTTCTAAATTTTTAGCATTTTTAGCATTTTTCGTTTTGTCTTCAATTTCTGAGTTTAGCGTTTCAGGAATTTTCTATTTTTAAACTAAAATTTTGCCCAAATCTAATAATTTCGAAATTGAAATTGTCCGATTTCGAAAGTTTCATCATCTTTCTGATACATTATTTTTCTGGAAAGTTGTATTATTTTTCTGGAAAGCTTTAATCGATTCATAAAGAAATGAAAACCCAAAAACCGACATTTTTATATTTTTGTCGAAAGCCTTTCTAGGTATCTCTTCCCCAATCTTGCAACATATTCTTGATATTCCTTTGTTGCCCTCTTTCTTTTTTTCCCGATCCTTTTTGTGATTCTCTAAATTTTTTCTCCCCTATTCGAATCTAACAGGTTCCTTTCTCTCCTTTTTCTCTATTCAAAACTGTTACTACTAACCAAAAACTCTACTATCTGTTCCTTTTCTCTCCTCAACAGTAACATATGGTCTGGGTGTTTTGTTGGCGTTACAGTCAAAGAATCAGCTATCGAGGGATCATATGAAATGAAGAGGGACTAGAGACATAGGGAAAAGCAGACACATGCATGTGTCATATTCACTGCATATTTTATCACTTTTCTCTTCCTTTTCCCTTTTGTCTCTGATACACTTTCTACAGCAAGTCTGGAAGATTTTCAAACCGAGATATCCAAAAAAATTTAATCAAATTTGTTTGTATTTTTTATTCTTCTCAAATGAGTACAGTAACCATCCAAATTCAAAAACCATGATGTCAGGTATTTTTGTCCCTACCTCATCCTTTTTATCTAAAACACCAATCACTAAAATCCAGTTAACCTTGTTCAAAGAATCAAAATCATAATGTAGATCAATCTTGAGATCTGAACCAAAATCATTAATCTTTTCTCTCTGAAAATAAATCACTTTTGAAGCTTCATGTTGTCTGTCTCATCTCATTAATGTGATAAAAGAAATGTAAAGATCTGGAGAATTTAAGAAAGATAGAACCTTTTAGCCATGGATTCTGAAAAATACTCTATTTTTTTCGAATCATTCAACTGTTTAGATACACTCTTTGGTTTTTATCCAAAAATACTTGTATAGTTACTTCCCGTTTATTGTTTTTCAAACAAATCCTTTACTTGCGAGATGGATCGCCAAAAAAACCAAAATCCAATTTCAATCTCTCAACTACCCCAACAACTAAAAATAACCGGTTTTCCTTTTTTTTTTCATCTATAAAAAATTCAGCGAGTGGCGAAGTAAAGATTAGTCATACTGTTTCCCTTTTAAATCTCGACAAAATCTCTCTACCTACACTTCTTCTTTTTCCTCTCTCTCTTATATTTTCTGTTCTGTTCGTCTCTTCCTGTGTGTCCAATGATGATCAAGTTGACCTCGAACTGTGTACCGTTTTTCTGTTGAGAGATCTCACAAGAGTAGTAGTAGTTTCCCCCTCCTTATCCTCTAAAGGTCTGTGTCTGAACGCACTCTCGTTACGGAGATTACCGGCGCATAACTTCCTTTTAAATACCTACATGTCTATCTAACATCATTAGAATTCATGACTTTTTCAATTTTCACTTTCCCCTCTGACTCTGATCTGTCTCCTAGAGCCAAAATTCGATTTTGCGCTTCAAGAACAATTCTAACAAGAACGGTTTGGTTAGAATTCAGAATTAACACAGTTTAAGAAGCTTTATAACAGTTCCTCATTGAACCCTTTTTGGAAGTAGACAATGGTAGGGCAAACAATCGAGCGGAACAATCTCATATTCTGCCCCGTACTTTTTTTTTCGTTAGTCTCGTCGCGAACAAGTCAGGAGACATATTCTTGAGAATAAAAGATGGAGAAGCTGTCGGTGGTGATTTCACTTTTCATTGTTCCTTCTCTTCTCCTCACACGCCTTCAACATCTTCTATTCTCGCTACTAGCTTCTCGCTTTTGAATCGGAGAAATCGTCTTTGACCCTCGGCGTGAAAACCCATAATGTGGATACACCACTCAGTTACAGTGTTGTCTTGTGTTGTCTCCTCGCCTGCTTTTTAGTGATACCTCGTAGCTTCTTGTGTCTACTCTAGAGCACCGTCGTTTCTTTCTAGTGAGTATCTTGTTTGGTTCCAAAAACTCTATTCGTTACCATTTTAGAGAATACTATTGGGATATATAACTGTTACTCTTTGTAGGCGATATTTGGACTTTTTTGGTTAACAAACTTTTTTGTTGAAATCTAAGAATTAGGTTTTTCATTCCGAGGAGCAGCCGTAAATTTTAGTACTATTACATCAGCTAGTGTCTACCTCGGAAAATAAAAGAAAATCCGTATCAAATTGCAATAACAAAAAGTGTCAATCAAACTCTCAAATTTCCTCTCATTTTCTCACAATCAAGCTGATTTCCTAAATTCTTTACACTTGTCCTTTTTTTTCATGAAAATCTGCTTAGCTTCCTTTTCTCGAATTTTTCGTAGAAATTACACAAAAAACCGGTTGCAAGGGCAACATTCGCGATAGCACAAGGCTGAACTAGTAAAACCGAGGTCGAGAAAAGTTTTGAGACTTTTCTATTACATTTTTCTTTTCGTTAATGACGTTTCTGAATCTTTACAACTCCTGACAGTTTTTTTGATCAAGAAAAACGCATTTTTTAACCAAATTCCAATAGAGCGCATTTTCATAGACCCCGTTTTTTCAGTTTTTTCAAACTCCGAATTTCACTTTTTCTCTGCACTCGAACTTCTAATTTTTTCTCGTTCTCTACTTTTCAAATTTTAGTTTCCTAATGGCCAATTTTCTTTTTAGACGTTCGCCTCGGGTCGATGTCAAATTAAACCGAAGAAAAAGAACCCGTTGAGCCCAGCGAATTGTCGAAATTCTTCACTACTCACCCCATATCAGACAGTCAAAACGGATAATTTTATATTATTAGAACATGTAAGTTTCCTTTAACACTGAAATATTAGTAATGACCTATTCAGTTTCAGATCACACCCACTTATTCATAGACGCGTGATGCGTATATCGGTAGGCCGGATAGGATGGCATATTCTGGCAGTTTTGGTTTCAGTTGTAATTAGTATTGAGCATGACTCGGTATGATTGATTATGAATTATCGAAAAAAACTTTTTTTCTAATTTCCAGATTTGTGACGAAAGCACAGGTGCATGTGTGGAGCCGACACATACAGTAATACGACTAGCCAAAAGAGACGACGAGCTTGCTCGTCGAATAGCTGCTGATCATGATATGCATGTAAAGGGAGAACCTTTCCTCGATACTCATTATTTTCTTTACCACTCGGAAACAACTAGAACAAGGAGACATAAAAGAGCAATTGTCGAAAGATTGGATACTCATCCCGCAGTCGAATGGGTTGAAGAGCAGAGGCCCAAGAAGAGAGTCAAGAGAGATTACATCCTTCTAGACAACGTAAGTATTTAATCTCAAACAAGTTTCCAATCGTATTGTTCAAGGATGTGCATCATGCCAATCCATTCCGGAGGTCTGTTCTATCTCGAGATGGCACACGAAGATCTCAACGCCAACAACCACAGTCACCACGGGAAATCCCATCCCTTCCGTTCTCAGACCCTCTTTACAAAGATCAGTGGTATTTGGTAAGTGTTTTGAACTAAAACCTTGTTTTTCATACATTATCTCAGCACGGAGGAGCTGTTGGAGGATATGACATGAATGTTCGTCAAGCTTGGCTTCAAGGATATGCTGGTCGAAATGTCTCTGTCTCCATTCTCGATGACGGAATTCAAAGAGATCATCCCGACTTGGCTGCCAATTATGATCCTCGTGCTTCCACTGACATCAACGATCACGACGATGATCCTACACCACAAAACAATGGAGATAATAAGTGAGAGCATTAGCCATAAATTAAAAAATATTTATGATTTTCAGGCACGGAACAAGATGTGCAGGAGAAGTTGCTGCACTTGCTGGAAACAATCAATGCGGAGTTGGTGTCGCTTTCAAAGCCAAAATAGGAGGAGTTCGTATGCTGGACGGAGCAGTTTCTGATTCAGTTGAAGCTGCTTCCTTGTCATTGAACCAAGATCACATTGATATTTATTCGGCGTCGTGGGGTCCGGAAGACGATGGAAAAACGTTTGATGGCCCGGGACCTCTTGCGAGAGAAGCATTCTATCGTGGAATTAAAAATGGAAGAGGTGGAAAAGGAAATATCTTTGTGTGGGCTAGTGGAAACGGTGGATCAAGACAAGACTCATGCTCAGCAGACGGATACACAACTTCTGTGTACACACTGTCCATTTCATCAGCTACATACGATAATCATCGACCATGGTACTTGGAAGAATGCCCTTCATCTATTGCTACAACATACAGTTCTGCTGACTTCCGACAGCCAGCTATTGTAACCGTTGATGTTCCTGGAGGATGTACTGATAAGCATACTGGAACCTCCGCATCAGCTCCATTGGCAGCTGGAATTATTGCTCTCGCTTTGGAAGCGAATCCGGAATTGACATGGAGAGACATGCAACATCTTGTTCTCCGAACTGCGAACTGGAAACCACTTGAGAATAATCCAGGATGGTCTAGAAACGGTGTTGGAAGAATGGTGAGCAACAAATTTGGATATGGACTGATGGATGGAGGAGCTCTGGTGAACATGGCAAAATCGTGGAAGACTGTACCAGAACAGCACATTTGTACCTACGAGTATAGACTCGCCAATCCAAAGTAAGTGTGTCGTAACTTTATTAATTTATGCTCTTTTTTCCAGTCCTCGTCCGATTGTCGGCCGCTTCCAACTCAACTTCACTCTAGACGTCAATGGCTGTGAAACTGGAACACCAGTTATTTATTTAGAACATGTTCAAGTTCATGCAACTGGTATCTAACTTTAAAAGTGCTCATTTCAATTCATTGATTTTCAGTCCGCTATCTGAAACGTGGAGATCTCAAGTTGACCCTATTCTCTCCATCCGGAACCAGATCGGTTCTTCTGCCACCCCGACCACAAGATTTCAATGCAAATGGGTTCCACAAATGGCCATTCCTCTCGGTTCAACAATGGGGAGAGGATCCACGTGGAACATGGCTTTTGATGGTTGAATCCGTAACCACTAATCCGGCAGCTGCAGGAACCTTCCACGACTGGACTCTTCTTCTCTACGGAACAGCGGATCCAGCTCAGCCTGGAGATCCAGTGTACTCTGCAACTCCACCAACATCACAGGGTGTTCTCTCACGTGTACAACAACTTACTTCTCAGGTACGCACCTTTTTTGAAGGATTCGGTTAGAATTTGGGTTTCTTTTTGGTGTGTGACTGTGTAGTGTTCTGTTGTTTTTTGTTCTGTTTCCGGGGTTACTTTCTACCTCTTCACACGGGTTACGGTGGCAGTGCATCAGCTTTCTTAAAAGCATCTTATATGAAAAACAGTGTGTCTGCTTGAGTGTGAGTGTGAGCGTGTGAGGACATTAATTCAACACAAATTCACAGTTAAAAAAAATCTCACTTTCTAATTTTTTTCTCGTAAATGCAGCTATACATCTATTTCTTCTCTGTTCCTCTCTGTCATCGTTCTCATTTTTCATGTCTTCTGTCTTTTTGTATGTATGTCTCTGTCTTCCATCACTTTGTCGTCGTATATTCGTTTCAGTTTTTATGTGTAAGCTATTAAACTTCAAAGAGAATTGATTTACAATTTATTTTTCTTGTTTTTCATATTTTCTGCTGTGATTCCTTCTTTCAAATTTAGAATTTTCTAATAAACCATATAGCCTTATTTACCTATTTTTTCTTTTTGGTTTCTCTTCTTTCCCTGCACCCATACTCCCGGAATGGCTTAGTTGTTTCTCTTTTCCTGATCTTCACCAACCCTTTATTCTTCACCACTATCATTTCCGCTTTTTTCTTTTCTTTCCACTCATAATATTCAGAATAGATGATAGAAGATACGGTAGAATTGCGCATACTCACGGGTGGTTACAACATAAATTAGTTTAGTTTTCCAACAAAAACTTTTTTGGATTTTACGAATTCTTCAGAACCTATCTCCGTCAAATGCGCAGAGCTACCGTCTTCCTTCTCAATCCACGTCTATTCCTCACCACTCATTTTTCTATCTTTCTAACTCCTATCCAACACCTCCACCTTTGTATCAACCTGCGTTACTAGCCTCTGACAATCGTCCGACTTACACATCGATTTATCTTCCACCACCACCGAAACGTAGAATTTTCCAGTCTAATCCACAAGCATAGTTATTACACCTAGAAATATGGGCTCTAGTATAAAATTCTGGTCCAAAAAAAAAATTCTGGTCCTTAAATAAAAATTCTGGTCCTTAAATAAAAATTCTGGTCCTTAGAAAAAAATTCTGTTCCTTAAGAGGTGTTCCTGTAAATGTATTTTTTTGTCTGAAAATTTCTTAAAATCCTTAAATTTCATCATTTCAGTGTGTTTTTGAAAGATTTCGATGGTAGACGTTCAAACTTTTGTTTATTCGGAAAATCATGAATTGGTGAGATTTTTTGTAAGGACTGTCCATATTTTAATTAGTGAGTAACGCAAAAACAAGATTAATCCAAGATTGACAGTGTGCACCGTTGTGGCCCACAGCAAGTTGCAAACATTCAGGAAACTTTTGGATTCCATTCCTCAAAAAGCCATCTGGTTGCGACTCAAAGTCATCAACAGCGTTTAATTATTTTTCCTCCCGGTGGCGTTGCATAATTCCGAATACTCAATAATGAAAGGACCAAATCAGGAAATTAAGGAAGAGTGAAGAAGAACCGTCCAGCTAAAACGGCTCAGGTCTTACTTGACTTTTCCTGCAACATAGGATTTCGCGTTTTTCAATCAAAGTCAAGTTAGTTCCAAGCCGCTTTGGCTGGACGGCTCTCTACGTTCCTTAAACTCCTAATTGGGTCTTTTCATTCGCGGCCAGTTTTCTTTTGGAAGCATGGTATCCACAAGCTACCTGAACATTGGGGGAATCCCCAGCGTCAAAAAATGCTACAGCGTCCTGCTTAACTTATTTTAGTTGATTAATGATGCGATTCTGATACCCGAAGATTCTCAAACCGAGACTTGAGTAAGTCAGCATTTCAAAAATTTTGAGAATCCGTGATTGCATTTTGTAAGTATTGAAAAACTCTAAATTTTCATAAGTACAGAAGATCAAATATTCGGTGATTTAGAAATTCCTCATCTCAAAGAAAGTTTTCTGAGCTGTGCTTTGAAAAGTAGAACGCACATGTGTACCACCCAACAAAAGTAGATTGCCGCCCATGTGTACCACTTCACAGACTGAAGATTCTTAAAACTCCCGTCAAATCATAAAGAGTCGAAATGTAAATATTTTATATTTTCTTGATTTCAGTTTTGAAGATAGGACATGCGGCCCAATTGACAAACGTTCTCACCAATTCATGATCTTCCGAATATAGAGAAGTTTGAAGTCTACTGTCGAAATCTTTCAAAAAACACATTGAAATGACGAAATTCAAGAATTTAAAGAAATTTTCAGACGAAAAAATACATTTGCAAGAACATCTTTTAAGGACCAGAATTTTTTTCTAAGGACCAGAATTTTTTAAAGACCAGAATTTTTTTAAGGACAAGAATTTTTTTAAGGACCAGAATTTTTTCTAAAGACCAGATTTTTTTCTAAGGACCAGAATTTCATACTAGAGCCGAAATATGTTCAACTAGATTCTAGAACTGCACTGCGTTGATAAAAAGACTAGAAAAATTGAAATTGTATATCTGATCCCCTTATTGTTTTGGAATGTTAGTGTTCTTTCCCATAACGTTATATTGCTGATTTCTTGCCCACATGCTCGTTGTGTTGTGATTACAGAAGCGAACGTTCATAAAACGTCCACAAGCGTTCTCGCGTGTTCGCCAGATGCCGATCCCATCTGGAGTACAAGAGCAACGGCAGTTTGTCCCACGACGACCACAGCCGCAGTCCACATTCCAACAGGCATCGTTTGGCCAATGGGTTTGGGATCCAGTGGCTCAGCGATGGATTTGGTCGCGCCGAATCAGGAAACACGAGCCGACGCCGCCGCCGCCTCATCGTCGACGATACAAGCATTAGAATGTGTTTTGTGTTTCAATATCCTTTATCTTCCTCTTCTTTTTATATGTATCCATATCTTAACTGGTGGTTTTCTTTGTTGGGAATGTCTGGATAGAGGTTTTTGTGTTGTCTGCTGCAATGGGTTGTTATTTGGTTTCCTACTGGTGGTTGGAAAGATGTTACTCACTGCACAAAATGCATGTTTGAAACATTTTTCACTGGGTTCATATAATTCCATTTCTGAAATCTCTAGCCAGACATTCCAGACTGGTTTGTAGTACAAATCCTGTCACTATTGATTTGAACAACTTTCCTTTTCTTATTTCTCTCTCCCGGTTTTTTCCACTCTGGTGCTCTTTATCTCTCCAGCTCTTCCTCCGGTGACTTTTTGTCTCCTTTGAAATGTCTGTACCAAACGTCAAAATTTATTTAATGTTTCCTCCACTTTCTCTCACTTTCTCGGTTTATTTTTCTGGTGTTGGGTAAACGCTGTTTTCTCTGTTTTTTCAATGTCTTTCTGAATGCATTCACATATTTTTCATTCCCGGCTCATCACCCCTCTCCCGGTATCAATCATCACAAATCTTTAAAAAACGGGATTCCCTTGTACACCATCATTCAAAATGATTTGCTCTGTTTGCCTGTATCATAATGCTCATATTATTTTTTATCGAAATTTGTAAAAGAAAAATCAAAAACAAAGAAAAGTTTATGTGAATTGATTCTCTCCTTGTTACATGTTTTTAGGTGTCTTTGGTTTTATGGTTTAGGGTTAGTGGAATATGTTGAATATTGCATTTAAAAGTCATGTTTGAAAAAAATACAGTCTACGTTTCAAAAGTATTGTCCCGCTTTTAGGTATTTGTCACCATTGCAATCGTCGCCGTCTCTCAAATATTCCAGATCTATGCATGAAGATCTCAATGTTTTGCTACTTAGTGAGAAACGAATCTGAAATATTCACTCAATTTGTGTCATCCTCATTTGATCACTAATTCATTTCATTATTCTTTTTTCATAAATGTTTGGAATCCCTATATGATGCATGCTCTTTTCCATATATATCTGACTTACCCCGCTTCCCTTTCCCCCGCTACAGATCGGAATGCCAACGATTCTCGTCGTCGTCCAAGTCATCGTCGTCTGTCTTGTCATCGGAGTCGTTCTTTACGCGTGTCGTCGTCAAAGAATTCGTGATTCCACACCTGGAGCGCCCGTTGCGTCTGCTCCAGAAGACGTTCCAATGACATCATTGTCGTCTGGAGAGTCAGAAGAAGAGCAGCTTCGGAAAGCGATCGCAGCGTCGATTGAAGAAGAAGCAGAGCGAAAAATGATTGAAAGAGCGCTGAAAGATGCGCATAAGCCATAAAAGACTCATTAGTTGTTTTGTTTGATTCATTCTAGACATTTTAGTTTTTCATTTAATTTCGTTAATATCAAATTACTGAAATTTATTTCAGTCGTTTGGATAGTTTTCTCTTTTTATTTATATTACATTCATCACTTATTTTCCCTTTTCCTTACGGTTTCATTTTACCTGCGGGATCAAGTCCTTTTCTTGCTCAAATTCACATAATTCGAAAACTTGCGCCTTTCTCTTGATCCAATTACGGGTTTTCTTTCTGTGCTATTCTTTTTTGAATATCCGAGTCAACATAGTCTTCATTTGAATATTATCTTAATGGTTTGGCATGGTTTTCCCTTTTTGATTCAACCCGAATAACACTGAATGCGTTTGTTTAAATAGATCTTTCCAAGTTTCGTTTTTCCACCTTCCCACTTCTCCGCTCGACTACTCGACCTTTCCCTTCTTTAATTTTTGAACCAGAAATTCTAAAAGCCAAAAAACACTATTTTTCATGTTCTTTTAGTCGACGGAGAATGGTGGAAACGAAACGCTTTTGGTGGATTTTTCGAAAGGAGAAAAACCAGTAACGTCATGGATATTCTCATCGTATCAAACGGGTGTTGCCTCACTCAAAACCTATTTCGATAATTTTTTCCTGAAAATGTTCGGTGAAACACCCGGAGTGAATCGACCATGGCGATGATATGATTATCATTTCTACTAGGGCGTTTTCTTATTTGCTGTTGAATAATTATCTTGCCGTGCTTTGTTTCTTTTATTTCTTCAACTGGGTATCTCTGTTTTGATATAATTTCTAATAGTTTCAATTTTATCATATTTTCATGAGCAAAGAATTTCAGCAAACACACAAATACTCGGCAAGATATATTCAACAAGCTTCCCCTTAAACTAAGAGATACCATGTCAAACCACAATTATTACACAATCTTGTTTGTTTCTCTACAGGTTATATATCAGATACTAAACATTTCCCATTTTCCTAGAGGCCCGATTTCTTTGACATCCCTGTTTTTTTCTAGTCCATTTTTTCGTTTTTTATATGCTTTTAGAAGAATATTTTCAGATTAATTTGCATATCTAAATATTTTTATTATAATTATTTTATGTCTCAATTGTAGGCTGACCAAATAGTCGAAAGAAATCGTAACGATTGGGAAATTACGAAAGAAGAGAGTTCACATTGGAATTGGGAGCATAAAATTCAACAGAAAAAGTCATCAGCAACTTCTTCTTCGAAATTGAACTCTCTTTTTGTTTGTGGTCTCGTAATATTCGTTCAATTTCTTTCAACCATTTACAGCAGCCAATTCTGTCAGTGATTCTTGTCTGTATTTTTGCTGCCATTCATCGCCAATTTGCGATATGAAAATATGAAACTTTTTGGGTGTTTTTTTAATTGTCTTTAAATGTCTTTTATCATTTTCAGGGGCCCTGATTATAACGATCTACCGTAATCCTATCATAATTTCTTTTCTGGTTGTTCGTCGTGGTGTGTGTCTGTGCGTTTGTAATCATGTCGATTCACCCCTTTTTAAAAATTGATTTTTCATAATTCTAAGTTCTCGCTTTTGTCCTGGCATGATGATCGTTTTATATCACTCTTTCCAGTATTTTAATCATTTTTTCAAAAGTTTTAAATCTGAAAGCGAGAGACAGTGAGATACGCAGACATGCAGATACACCCACAATGTCCCAAATTTGTAATGGAACTTTTTTAGAAAGAAGATTACGGTAGATCGTATTTTACAGGTTGAAGAGACGGCACCGATCTCGTTTCCAGATTTAACATCGGCTGGTAATTGTCACGCAGAATGCAATGGAGGTGAGAATAGATACTCGATGATCTATGGTTTAAGAATAAGACATTTCCAGGTTGCACTGAATCAAACTCAGCCACTTCTTGTTTCGCATGCAAACATCTGACCCAAACACTACGGAACAAAGGTGGAAGTGGATTCAAATGTGTTCAAAAATGTGATGATACATACTATTTGGATGGAGACAAATGTAAAATGTGTTCATCGCATTGCCATACTTGTAGTAAATCTGAGGTAAGCTTTTTGAATTTTTACTAGAACTTCTGACAGCTAAGAGCAACCATTTTCATGATAAAATCAGTCTTCAGGTTTGCGAAACTTGTCCAGGCAGTCTACTGCTCATTGATGTCGATAACATGCCTCATTACGACCACGGAAAGTGTGTAGAGTCATGTCCACAAGGACTTGTTGCTGATTGTAAGTTCCATGGTTTCTTTTTAAACAAAATCCTTTATTTATGAACAAAATTACAGCTAAAAAAGAAACACAGTCAAAAAATGGTTTGCATTTTTTTCAACATTTTCTAACATCTAAATAAAGTGTATGAAAAAAATTTCCCAGAATTCCCACTTCTCTTACTTTAATATCTAAAATTCAACCCCTAAAACGAACCTCTACCAATATTTTTCGACTACTATCTAGTGCTAATATGCCTAAATTACAGATGAATCGAATCTCGTTCAAGCAAAATGCATCTGGAGGAAAGACCTTTGTGGTGATGGATACTTTATCAATGCAATTGGAAAATGCGATTTATGTGATTCGGCTTGCGAAACATGCTCGGCTCCCGGTCCAATGAGTTGCGAAAAGTGCGCCGAAGGATATGGAAAAGGCTCGATCGGGTACTGTAGACCATGCTGTACCCCGGGAACTGGAAAAAGTTGGCAGTGCGGTGAGGAAATTAAATTGACTGCTCTCTCATAAATACTGGAATTTTCAGAAGACTGTTCCAAGCCTGATCCCTCTCTTACAGCGTCTACCACACAGTCCTCTGGATTCGGATGGTTGTTTTGGATAACTGTATTTTCTATAGCAATATGTACCGTTTGTGCATGTCAAAAGTGTACCAAAGAGGTGAAAGGGTCGAATGTTGAGTATGCACCGCTTCCACACTACAATGCTACGAACGGTGCTGTTAACCTGGGAGTCAACTCGGAGGATGAAGATGACGACGAAGAAGAGGACGAAGTCTTTGTGAATGTTCCAGCTTCTCAAGCTGTTTAAAAAAATTCCAACTCGTTAAAAAATTTTTGCCAATTTATTTCTGTGTGAATGTTTCGAAATCCGGGTATTCTTCTGGCTGTTGTTGTTTTTATATGTGATAGTTGAATTGTTTTTTTTTCAATAGCCGGGTTCCTATTTTGCTGTGCTGTATTCACTTGTTAATAAATGCTTCCTCTGCCTGTTTGTTTCATTCGATAAATATAACATTCAAACATGTCTATGAAATTACATTGGGTGGAACGCCTGAGGTGCTTGGCCCTTCATTTTGAGTTTCGTCATCCTGAGCATGTTCTTCAAAAGCTTCTAGATGAGAATTGGATGTGGCCATAAAGAGAATATCATCCAGTGTGGGAAAATGAAAATTCTTCTTCTGAGTGTCGATATCTTCATTAGGAACGTAAACAGGGATGAACAGGTTGATTGTGTCTCTGAAAAAAATTGTTTAGAGAGTTCTGAAACCAGAAAAACTGACTTTAAAACTTTCTTAATGTGATGGAGGGATCTTACAGTTCTTCCAGGATTATGAGCATCAAACGGGTCTTCAATATGCACTTCTTTTTGAATCTCGTTTTTGACAGTTGGATGCATCGACTGTTGTCTGTAAAATTTGTTTTTTCTTTAACTTTGAATAACAGTGTTTACTATTACCGGTTTTTAATCATTGCATCTCTCATTGAAATAAAGTACATATGAAAATCAAACTTGAGGTAATAGTGGAGAAATTCGAGAAACAGCTGAGCCAACGATGAATGATTGGCAGACACCGTTGGGAGTGCTCTCGGTAGAGGAGCACCGAAATCTAGTCGCAATGGATACTGTCTGTCGTTTTGAGCAATGAAATTGTCGTCTGAAATTTGAACAGTATAAAAAATAAGAGTTTTTTGTTTTACAACTTACCTTTATACAACTTTGATAGATGAGGTAATATTGGTGGGTAGGCACCACATTGCAAGAAGTGAATTACCAAAATCACCAAAGCATAACTGAAACTCTTATTTGAATTCCAGTCACCACTTTAAAAGCACATACCTGTTGAACCCTCCTTCTTTCGGATTCTTGACACCTGAACTAGCTGCCCACTGCTTCACGACAGCGCACAGTGGAGCAAACCTTGCATCAATACTGAAAAAGGAACTATTTATTAGAGACTGAAACGTTGAACCAACTTTGCAAAATGTCGAATCATAAAAGAATTGTGCATCGAGGATAGAAAAGGATCCATCACGACACTAACATCGCAATCTATTCCATCCACCGTTTCGATTTTCAAAATTTGAATCTGTGCTTGGACCAGTTGAACCCCTTTGTTCCAATCAATCCGTGACTTGATCTGCTCGTCATTTTCCAAGAGGAGACGAACGATTTGGAGTATTTCTAGTTGCATTCTGTCAGTCTTAACTAAATATAACTGGTTTCAAGAAGACCCTCCTACCCTCTCCATAACCGATTCCTCTCTTCCTCAATATGGTATATATCGGAATGCATTTCTTCTAATAGTTTTGCAGCCTGTGGAATATGAATAGCCACATCTAAATCGCTATTTTTGGTAGCCAAGCCGGTTACTGTGCTTCCAGTTGGTACAATATTGAACAGCCAAGTTGAGTTGTGTTTCGAAATGATGTTTTTCAGCTGGTAGCACAGATCCATTTTACGATCGAATTCCTCTGTAGACTGAAAACTTGTTGCAATTAATAAGTTGTTTGATTCAATGATTCTAGGACACCTGCTTCGAATCATCGAAATAGTCAAACATGTTACACGACAGCAGCTGGAATTCGTCATTGAAAGCCTCTAAAATTTTCTTGAACCTTTCGTTGAAACCATGATACGAAGTTAGATTGGAGGTAACATGATACGCTATTTGATCTTGATCGTCTTGTCTTAAAAGCATTCGGAACACTGAAGAATGAATAAAAATTAAAATTTTCAAAGTCGTCTTCACAGAACTTCAAGGAAGCACTTCGATTTCGTTTCAATTTTATTCTGTTGCTCACATACTTGTAAAATTCCGGGCCTGAGGAAAATTTCAAGGCCCGGGCCCGGTTAAAAAAGTCCTGTATTTTTGAGCCAAATTTTGAGCTCTCAATAAAATTTTCTCCAATTTTTTCGTTTTTTGGATTGTTTGTATGTTTTATCGAAAAATATAATTAAAAAACTCGAAAAAACAACATAAGGGTTCCCCTTGTGTTTTTGAAATTTCAAAAACTTGTGAAATGACAGGCCCGCCGGGCCGGGCCGGGCTTCCGAAATTTGGAAAAAAGCCCGGCCCGTTACAAGTATGGTTGCTCATGATCGTGCAAGTACGGTAGGTGGTCTCACAGCGCATGCAAAGTTTACTTGTTACGCGCCTTTCAAATTCATACAGTATCGGACGATCGGCGCAAAATAATTTTTTTCTGCTTGCCGTTGAATAGAAAAAAACCAGTTGAAAACTGATTTTTTTGCTTCTTTGCTGCTCGTTATTGTAACCTCACATGCATTTTTGTCGCACTTGTCAGTTTGTGTTGCAAGTATGGTTTTTGAACCCGCAAAAAAGGCGCGAACGCAAGCAATATTTGTCTCCAGTTTTTCCTTGCGCTTCCTCTAATTTAAAGTACCTTCTCCTTCTATTTACAAACGTTGTTTTGAAACTCATTCGCTGAGGAGTCGTATAATTGTTCTCTAAACAGTTATTATTCTTCTACAAATGTTGCTTTGAAATCCTTGAACGAAAAAAACATATTTTCAGATGACTGATCGGAACTTCTCCACTCCCATTGATAGGTCTTTAAATCGATTGACGTTGATTCAGCAAGCGGCACAACGAAGTGGAGCACTTCCCGCAGCTGGACAGTTGCGCTACAGCAAACTGTCACCTTTCGATGTCTCTCAAATGTCAGGAGTGTCCATTTCAATGGTATCAGACTTTAACTATCATTTTTACAAGTTGGTATTCAGGTCGAACGCGGAAAAATCAATGGTCACGAATACATTCGAGAACTTGAATGGCTCCAGAAGGAAACATCTCACCGATGTTTTCTGGACGCTGAGCTATGGACGAACGAAATTCTAGCCTATTTGCCAAACGATTGGTGCAATGGAAGCGACTCTGGTTTGTGGAATTCAGGAGTGAAACCGTTTTTGAACGATTCCTATTCATCTATATCTTCCCCAACGTCGTCAGCGGCACATGTGCCTGAGCACGCAACTAAATTGAAATCCAAATATACTTCGAAATTTGCTCGCACACTCATAAAAAATAAGGAATTCCGAAGAGCATCTACATTCCTGGAGAAAACAATGAAGGAAAATGTAGAAGATCTCTTTTTGTACTATAGAGTTTTTTTTTTGGCTTATTATCAAGAACATCTGGAGAATGACTGTGAAGGGATCGAGAGAAAAACAAGTTTTGCAGAAGAAAATTCGCCATTTTCCCTTCTCCTGCAGGTAAGTTAAGGGATTATTCAGCAAAACCGAAAGTAAGAAAACTCGGTTCTTTGGTTTTTGCTTGCCACTGAATAAGAAAGAGTGAAATCCTCAGTATTTTGTTTTTAGGTCAGCTTCAGAAAATCTTCGTAATACTGACAATTGGTTTCAGAAAATGGTAAATGAGAAACTTCGCGAGCATGAAGATGTATGGTTTGAATATCTTATGGGCTTACTGGAAGTGCAACTAGGGCTCAAAGTGGAGGCGGAGAAATCATTCAGAAGTGTGATTGTCAGAGATCCTAGGTTCGTTGGCATGTTCGTTGTAATTTTAAATTTTTCATTGAAGAATCTGGCCAGCATGGGAGGGTCTTTCCCTTCTCATCAGTGACATCGAAGACGCTGACAATTTCATTCTGAATTCTGAAATCAAGTCACTATGGATGAGTGATTGGTTTATGGTACTCGTTTTGCAACGATTCCAGCAGCATTCGATGGCTATTCAAAAAGCTGAGCAGCTAGTAACACGTGGTATGACTGGAATCCCAATGATCATCACAAAAATCGCTGCATGTTCGAATGCTCGTCATGATCATGAACAAGCGATTTCCAACTTCATGGATGTCAGAAAAATGGATCCCTACAGATTGCAAGACCTTCACTTTCTATCAGATTCGTTGTATATTCGTAGTGACCAAGTTCAACTGTCAAATTTGGCTATGGACGTCTACAAATCTCACAAATTCAGATGGGAGACGTGTTGTGTTGTTGCCAACTATCATTCACTGCGTCGTGACAGCGAGCACGCCATCAAGTTCTTCCAGCGGGCGCTCCGTTTGAATCCTGGATTTGCTGCTCTTTGGGTGCTCATTGGACACGAATTCATGGAAATGAAAAACAATGCAGCGGCGTGTGTGTCGTACCGGAGAGCTATTGAGATTGACCCGGCTGATCACCGTGGATGGTATGGGCTTGGACAAATGTATGATATTATGAGAATGCCCGCATATGCATTATACTACTATCAGGAATCACAGAAGTGCAAACCGCATGATTCGCGCCTTCTTGTCGCTCTCGGTGAAGTTTACACCAAACTAAATCGTGTCGAGGACGCTGAAAAATGTTTCACCGGAGCATATCTGTTTGGAGATGTCGAAGGAAATGCTTTGTGGAATTTGGCCAAACTTCATGAAAAATTCGAAAATAACAATCAAGCCGCTCAAGTTTTTGAAGTGTTCCTGGTTGTTTACGAGCTAGTCACATCTGCCGAAGAGAAGGTTATTTATTCTGTAGCTTTTCTGGCCAACCACTACTTCAAAACTGGTAATTATGAGAAGGCTAGTGAGTTCGCGACAAAATGCTTGGCGTACGATACGGTAAGAGGAGTGATGGTATGGACGCTCACACAATATTTTTTTTCAGATTTGTCAAGAGGGCAATCGGTTATTCAGAGCCATTTCCAACATCCAGCAACGCGAAAGCGAGCTCGCTGCTCGAGAAAAGCAACACGAGGGAAGTAGAAGTCCAGTTTCGGCTGCCGAAGAGCAAGGGTAAGAATAATTACAAAATGGACAAAATTTATTCAGCATATTTTCAGCGCTGATGATGAGATGTCCGAAGGAGAGGATGAGTTGTCATTCTGATGAAGAACTAGTGGTTTTCTTTGTTAAATTTTAATTCACATTGCTTGAAATGAATATTTTATCTCCATGTTGCTAAAGTATCAGTATTTAACTTATTAATGTATGTTGTTCAACATAGAATATTAACTCTCTTGTCTTATCTACTGTCTCAGTTCCGGGATATTCAGCTAAGTGACCCAAACATTAACAAATATAAAAACTTTTTCACAGGAAGACTACGACACTCCGCAATTACGCGTTGCGCGTTGTTTAGCGCTCAGCATCTCGGATACTCGCTTTCTGTGTCCACTGCTCGGATTAAATATAAAAAGAATGTCAGATGAAGAAGCTTTACCTGCACCCGAAGACGAACCAGTGTCGATTCCAATCAAAAGTGTAAAATGGTTCGTTTTACTAGCTGAATGTTGATTTAACCTCTGTAAAAGTTTCAGGACAGATAACGCCAGCTCACAGAAGGTCATAAGCAATCTGGAAAAATTTGTGATCAACCAAAACCTAGACAAAAGCTACAAGAAAATTGTAAACGAATTCTTACAAGTTTATGCCGGTTTTGAAATTGTATTTTTCAGGCTAGTGATGGGATATCCAGCAGCAAACGAACGTTGGAATCACTTCTGGCTCGTAACGGCGGTCACCAGAATCTTCTTAACGAAGAAATGAGCAACAAGAACAATAAAAACTACACATTAGATGCGAATGGTCGAGTTTGTCTTGTCAAAAATTCCCCGAACGAAACAAGCAGGCATCAGGAAGTACTTGATACTTTGTTGAATATCTACTAAAAACCCAAAAGTTCCAGCTCGTTCTCCTCCAAAAAGATACTGACGAATTGCGATGTCTCCGAGAGTATCTGATGCTGGCTCTCGAAACAATAATGCAAAATCATCGGCAAATGATGGTGAATTATGTGAAGAAAGTCAGAGAACGGCCACGACAGATCCCACAGTCCACTATTGACAGCGCCATGGTTAGTTTCCACTTTAAAACATGATACGACATAATCTTCGATCAAAAATCAATCGTGAACGATTATAGGAAAAAGCCAATACCCAAATCATCAATGATTTTGCTCAAATCACATTAGCCGTCGACGAATCGATTGCTCGCGAAGAAATAAGATCGGAAAACCGCCGAAAACTTAAGAAATCCATCGAAGCTGAAACTTTTCTTATGAAAATGATGTTGAATATGGAAGATATTCGCGAAGCGAACGTTAGCGACTTGGTAGCTTTATGGAGGTAAGACAATTGTTTTTCTGAATGTATTCATCGAGTCCACTTGTTCAGAAGCCACCTGCGCCCGCCCACTGATAAATCAGAACCGACCCAAGCTGCTGGAGATTCATCATTTTAACACCAAACAAGCCCTGCATCATAATATGATTTAAAAACAATCTCATACAATTTTCTTTGAATAGAATCTCATCGACTCGTTTATCTGCTTATGCAGTATATCTGTATCATTTTTCCCTCCCATCGAAAACACTTTTCAATCAATTTTCGCCCCGTGCTCCTTGAGTGAGTCTTTCGCGCGCAACACTGTCATTTGCTTGTATTTCCCCTATTGCTAATTCAAAAAACGTTTTTCTGTAATGTAAATTCTAACTCCTTGATTGCACTTGAATATAAATGGATTCAATCTAACACTGAGTTTATTTTTAAAAAATCGCAAAGAGAGTAATGCTGGAGTAATCGGTAATCGGAGCTGTGAAAGAGAAAACAATTGACCTTTGAAACAATTCTGGGAGAGGTAGACGTCGAAGAGAATAACATCAAATTTCATCTAGAAAATCAGTAATCCACGTTTTAAAAGGGTACTTTCTTCGATTTTTCGGCGAAATTTTTAGACCCTTTCAACTTTTTCAGCTATTTTTGACGATTCTTTTCTGATTTTTAATGTTTCTCCTCTCCACTGCGTGTCATGGAGAAATTATTTTCTCTAGTCCTACGCTGAAATATAAGACTACAAACCAAAATTATGGATGATACAGGTTTATTTAGGATAGATATGGTGTGTAAAATGTAGTGGTGCTGCTAACAGAGAAAGATGTACTGTATGTACGGGTATAATGACAAGGGGAAAGTAGTTATCCGGTGATAACTAAACAGCGGGGACATAAGAATTTTTGAATGGCACAAGATGAGAAACAAGCGATAAATTAGTGAGAACAAACAACAACATGAGAGAGAGAGAGACACTTGTTAATGAGAACAATAATATACTATGAAGCGGATAGATTTGATAAATAACTAAGAAACGTTTCGGTACTACAATAACCTGTTAATACGATTCTAACAAATATTACAAGATTAGCAAGCAATTGAGTCACTTAGACTTCCTTCTCTAGCACTGGTGGTCCATCGTCCTCTTCGGCTTCCCCTGTCACTTCCTTCTCCTCTGGAATTTCGCTGAGTCCCTGGGCCATTGGATTGTCTTGAAGATATCTCATCAAGCCACCTCCCGATCTCCACCGTCCTTTGGCTTTGATTTGCTCCAAAGTGAGTCCCTTGGCCTGAAGTTCGTTCGCCGATCCTCTTCTGAGCGCGTGATGAGTGGCGCTCACTCCTATCATTTCCAGACGTCTTCTGGCGATAGATGAAATAGTGTTTGCTGATAGCTTAACACCTTTTTGAAGACTCGGGAACAAGAACCCTGACGTAATTCCTGATAGAGAGATCCTAACTCTCCATCGCTTGATGAGACAATCCAGATCTCCTCCTTCTGGGCATTCCACGAAAGTGCTCCGTCCCAAACCTAGCTGACCGTTTTTGGCCGATCTGATTCGGACTTCTAGACGGTTCTTAGAATACTTGATATCTTCCCACTTCAGCTCTGCAGTTTCACTTGCTCTAAGGAGAGCGAAAAACGACAAGACCACTGTGTATCTCGCTCCGATTTTGGATCATCCGAAAGTGATTCAAAAAGTTTCTGGATACTCTCAAGTTCCACCATTTTCGGTTGTTGTCTGGTGGCTATCTCCTCTCTTCTCTTTGCTCTGATCATATCCGACACCATTTGACTTTCCAGAACCGAGAATGTCCCATTTGCCATTTGAAACGCGGAAGCGATCTTTGCCAGAGATCCGCTTGTTGTCAAAAATCGATTAGCCAAATAGAGAATCGTCGTTTTCTCGTCCAGAGGGAGATAGTTTGCGCTTAACCACTTCCTCCTCACATGATTCTCTCGGTCAAAAGCTTTTATTGTACTGATGGCTTTCGACTTTCTGCTGACGGTTTGTAGAAAATGTATGAGTTGGTTGAAGTCCACTGGTCCTCCATACTCAGCTACTTCCTCCAGGAATTTCAATTTTCTTCCTTCCGAAATACGATGTAACTATAATACTGTTCTCTTTCTTTATCACGTTCAGATTCTTGTGTCTCTACTCTACTCATTAGTTTGACTTTTCTGTTTGTGCTGTTGCATATCGTAATGTGGGGACTGGGCGGGCGGGACGTAACACACACGTAGACTGGAGACCCGATGGGCGGCGCTTCCCCCTCTCTCCCCTCTTTCGTGGCGAAATCTCTGGAGCGCGCAAAGGTCTGTACCTTTAAACGCGATCAACAAAACAACAACAGAAATTGGCCTATTTAGAGAAAACCAGCTAATCCCAGAGAAAACAAACAATTCTTTTGCCTGTAAATCAATGGGACGGTGTTAGCGAAGACTACTGTAGGTTACTGTAAAATGTTTCCCGCAGTTTTTTTCCACATTGTGACGTGATTATGGTTTTGCAAAGAAACTACAGTAATCTACAGTAATCTTGACGAACATCGTCCGGTCGAATTGCAATTTGCAAACAGAAAACCCAAAAAAAAATAAAAAAGAATTCTCAATAATAACTGAAAAGTGTAAAACATGTCTAAAAGTTTCGCCAAAAAATCAAAGAAAATATCTTGTTGACAACATTCGAACACAGTACGTGATGACCTAGAAACAGACTGTAGTTTGATAAATCCGGAAAATGGAAATATATTCAGGTTACTGTAGTTGTCGTTGTGGAACCTTCGGCCACGGCCACCGGCGTTTCTCTTCCACAGCTCCGATTTTTATATAAGAAGGAGTTTCAACCTAGAGAGGATGACTATACATCTGAAATTGAAAACGTAACTCATCGGAGCGAAAAATATTTTCGCTAACTTTGGCTTCTTTTCCCCTTTTCTGTTTTTTTGGTTCTAATCATTTGGTACTAGTCGGCACCTGCGTCGTTCCTTCCAACAACGGACTCCATCTAATTATGCAAGCAGCTGTGCTCTCCTTCTTTACACACACTATTCACGCTTTTCCATGACAACGGGGAGCACTGAAGCCTGAGAAAATGCTCCAGTTTTTCTGAGTCTCTCCTCTTTTCATTTGCTCAAAACTAGAGTTGTCACTTTTAACATTCTTATAACTTTTTTACATTTATTCTTTCAGCTAAATAATAAAAATGGATGAAATGAAAGAAATTGAGGAAAATACCGAAAAAGTGAATCTGGAGTCAATGGGAGATGGAAAAGAAGAAGAAGAAGAGTCAGAAGAAAGAATGGAGGATATGTGAGCTTTTAAATTATAATGAACATTCAAAAATCAATTTTTTTCAGAACAATTCCAGAACTTCCAGAAGGAAAAATTCTCGAACTTCGACTTCTTTCAAATTGGGGCGATCCTAACTTTATTGGTCTCAATTCTCTTGAAATATTCACATCGACCGGTGAAAGAGCGGATGTTGAGAAGGTTCGTTGATTCAAATTTCAAGCAGCTCACTGGATTACTGTAGGATTACTGTCAATATATCATTTTAGATATCCACCAATGCCACAGAATATAATGGTAACTTGGAATCTCTACTGACCGAGCAAATTCGTTGTAAAGATACGGAGAAAATGTGGTGTGCAAGGAAGTCTGATCAAGATCAGGATATCATTTTAAAATTGGAGTTGAAGGAAATGACAAAACTTGCTCTTGTCAGATTTTGGGTAACTTTTTTAGAACTTGTTAACTCTAAAACTTTTTCGAATGATTTCAGAATTATAATGCGTCTCGAGTACATGCACAAATCGGTGTCCGATATCTAGAAATGAGTTTCGAAGGAAAAGGAATATTCAGAGGAGAACTTGAATGCGCATTTTCAGCTGATTCAGAGTTTACACCTATTATGGGCGAGGTGATTAACTTCTGGGAAATATTTTTCTAAAATCAATATTTTGCAGACAGTTCTTTTCACAACTTCCGAGAGCATTCTGGAAATGATATCACTTCATGATGTGTGCCTTATCAATCTTCCAGAAGAAACAGTTCCAAATACAAGTCTCGAATTATTAAAAGCTGATCATTTGACACCGTACCGCCCATCGACCTGTGAAGAAAAAGATACTCCAAACACACCTGTTGTGAATCCAACAGCACCAAAATTTCCAGCTCCTCCACCTACGAGTTATAGGCAAGATGTTAAAGGTATTTTTTAAAAGACGAATTATTTTTGAAATTTTATACTTTTCAGTTCTTCAAATTGAACTTGTATCGAATTGGGGAATGAATGGATTAATTGGTTTAACTGGACTGGAATTGGTGGATGATCACAATCAGTTGATAGATGAATCACAATTCTCTGTAGTCACTTCTGAAGGAACCAAGGAGCAAGCAACTAAGTCTGCATTTTCGAATTTCAGGGTTTCTGGAATTCTAACTCTCCCAGTTTTGAGTTACAAAGTTTTCAGATTTCAGAATTCCAGAAATATTGAATTTCGGATTTTTTGAGTTTCTGATGTTTTGATATTCTGAATTTTTGAATCTCCAAATTATCCAAATTTCTGATTTTCTGAATTGCTGATTTTCTGAATTCCTGAGAATTTTTGAATTTTTGAGTTTCACGGTGAATTTTTTAGGACGTAAAGTAAATGCTCTCTAACGCGAATACAGTAGTTAAGCGCGCTGAATACCGACGCGCATGCTGAAAAGTGAACTGCTGAGTCGTTACGCAGAGGCGCCTGCTTTCCATCGGCAAAAGGCGCGAAAAAATTTATTTTGAAAAACGTTCCGGAAAGTTCACCGTGAGTTTCCAGATTTTTGAATTTCCGAAGTTTTAAATTCTAAAATTTCTGACTATCTGAAATCCGGAATTGGTTTTTCAATTTTCAAAAATATGAAATTTTCATTATTTATTTCAGATTGTTCAATGGTCGAAACCTGACTCGTGATCCAGAAGACATGTGGCTTGTTGATTTCGACTCAAAGACCCCAGTTGTCATAACTATTTCATTTCATGAGCCAATTAGCCTCAAAGCAATTTCACTTTGGAATTACAATTCAAGTTTTGAACTTTCATATGCCGGAGCAAAAGCATCAAAAATCTATGTTAATGGTAAAGTAATCAGAAATGTGTTATTCCGAAAAGCAATTGGATTTGTGTATTTTGATTATGTTCAAGATATTGTCCTGGATCCAAATTTTACGGAACAGGATTTTTTGTCAAAGGGTCCAAGTCAGAGCATTGGAGGATGTTAGTTCTGAAAGAAATCTTATTGAGAAAATCGTATAATTTCAGTTGTATTTCAAATTCGTCTTCTTTCCACATGGGGTGACGAGTTTTATATTGGTCTCAATGGTATCGAACTGTTCAATAGAAAAGGAGAATTAATGAAGATAAGAGAAAACAGTACGAGTTCGAACAATCATATTCCATAGTTTCAAAGCATTTTTTACAGATTTGGCAGCTTTTCCAGAGAGTGTGAACATTCTTCCCAATATCAAAAACGATTTGAGAACTTCGAACAATTTGATTGCTTCTCCAAATGACACAGATCTGTAAATTTTGCATAAATAAAAATCTTCTATCGAATTCAAATTTTCAGAGCCAAGCACATGTGGTTGACTGCTCTTCTACCAAATCGATGTGCTCGTGTTTTCTTCGTGTTCGACGTTCAAACATACATCTCAAAAATAGTAATTTACAACTACCGTAAGACTCCGGAACGGGGAGTGAGACATATTTCGGTTGGTTACAAAATGAATGAAAAAAAGAGAAAATTCTGATTTACAGCTGACGGTTGATGACTTGATCATCTTCTCAGGAGAAATCCCGCCAAGTACAGAGACGATGACTGGAAAATTGGAAATTAATCTTCTTGATCTTTGAAAATTGTGTTATTCACAGAAAGTTTCAAACTGGTGACTTTGTGATGTTCTTTTGATTCGATAAATGCTTTATCCAACTTTTTAATATCATGAAAATCGAGGATTCAGAAATTCTTGACTCGGAAAATCAAAACTTCTGTAATTTTGAAATGAAATGTCTCGCAAAATAAAATATTCAGAATTTTGAGAATTTGGATCATCAGGAATTTGAAGAGTAAGACATTTGGAAGTTCAGAGATTAGTAAATTTGGAAAAAGTTGAAAGTTCGAAAACTTTAACTTTAATTTAGAGAAATGTTTCAAATCTAATCCTTCATGTTATTATGATTTACTGAATTCTATAGTTTGGAAATTATGAGATTTTGAAAAACCACTTCTTCGAATTTTGAAAGTTTTGAATGTGGGAAATTCGGTATGTTTTAGAGTATGTATTTGAACATTTGGGAATCGGGGTCTCAGAAATCCCAAATTTTTTGGGAATCGGGGTTTCAGAAATCCCATATTCGGAAGCTTAAATTTCGGAATCCAACACTTCCGAAAATAGTATTTTCAGAATTTTATGAATCTGACAAAGTCTGAAAAATAGGAATTCAGATATAAAAAAATATATATATAAAAAAGTTCATGAATTAGTAAATTCAAAAATTCGGAAGTTTCAACCATAACATTTGAAAAAGTGTTTCAAATCCAAACTTTTAGGTTTTTCTTATTTTCTGAATTCCTGAATTTTCAAATTCTCAAATTTTCGAGTCGTCTAATATTGAAAATACTGCATCTATAAACTTCTGGAATAGATATTCCAATTTTTCGAATTTCGAAACTTCAGAATGCAAGAAATTTGATAACATCCTGTCAAAATGATTCTTGGAAGAATGATTTCTTCGAGGTCCAATACTTCGCATTCGCATTTCAGAGCAATTCCTTGGGTGATACAAGTGCAAACATTTTCGTCAAACAAACAGTTGAAGTCGGTTGCGTCCTTAGCCGTGGCACATTGGACTTCACTGAGTGTTCCTCGACGAGGTCTTCCCGCTTGAGCAGGCTGAGATAGGGAGTAGGAGATGTCCGATGGTCCGTCCAAGTTCATCCTTCTCAAGAATAGTGCTCCATGAATTGGGCTTGGTGGAATCGAGAAACCAGTGACAATCAGGGACATGTTATCCTCCAATTTTAGTGGAATGCCATGATCAACTTCGTAGACTGTGGTATTGTTGTTGATAGTGACACTGATTTCCAACCGTGTGTTCCATGTCGGGCACTGGAAAATTTCATATATAGAAAATGAAGTGGGCTCTGCACTGATTCTGGAAAAGAGACATGATGGTGAGCAACTTCCGCAATCACAGGTGACACATCCGCAGCTTCTGTAGCATCTACTGAATCCTGGTCCATCCATGGCTATTGCTGGGAATTCGGGAACGCCATCCTCTGCATTCAAGTTTTCACATGTAGATCCTTTGCAACTTCTCATACCGGCACATCGATGTGAGAAGAAATGATTGATCTTCATCTGGCGGGTGAAGTGATGGCTTCTTTCGTTACATTCGGAGATGATGGAGTTTGCTCGTACTTCGATGTTTTTGACTTCTTTGACGTTGTTGGAGATGGTGAAACATCCGACTTGACTGTTAGGACGGATGTTGATTGAGACGACTTTGTTGAGATGACAAGTTTTTCCATCGGCTGAAGCGGTGCATACATCATCTGTACCTTGAATAGAAGCAATTTCGTTGCAACATCTGTACCTTGAATAGAAGCAATTTCGTTGCAACTGTAAGATCCTTGAATCAGACATAGGAGTACGATGATGGTTGGAGAAATTTGATGGTGTTGACGACATTGTTTCGATCCGAGACGAACGATTGAGAACACACATTGAATGCATTTTTCGATCCACGTGAAGAGACATTGTAGTATGAGAATGAAGTTGATCCATCCATAAATTCCAAAGAACATTAGTAGAAACAATACGATAGTGATCCATTGATGAAGATAGCCGAAAGTAGTTGGTGATGAGTCAGTGGTGGTAGGTATCGGTGTTTTTGTACATTGACAAATTTCGAATCCTGATGATCCAGTAATGAGTGCCAAGATGGTGATTGCTGAGAAGAATTGAGTGGGCATCCTCAGTCTGGTTGATCGTCGTAGTTGCGGTCCTTGATTGTCTGTAGTTGTGGATTCAGTTGAAGTTGGGTTTGGAACTGAATCATTGGCGTCAGCTGTCGGCGTGGAAGATGAGTCATCTGTAGATTGTTGAACATCTGGTGTGTGTGGTCTTTCCAAGGGAAAGAGGAGTTTGAGTGGATATTCCACGATCCTTTTTGTTTTTCCGTTTTTGACGATAGCCGATCTTTCCTTGACTTCCAGAATTCTTGCAAGAGGCCAAGTAGTAGACTTGCTGGATGGTTGATTGATGAGGACGATGTCTCCAATTTCAGGCTGATAGCTAGAAGTCTTTCCTTGAGGATGAGAGAAGTCTCTTCTAGCTTGTAGAACGCTGATGTAGTCTTGGTGCCATTTCCTTTGGAATGTTTCCGTCATTGATGACAGACGTTGCCAATCCTCAGCCAATGATCGTTTCGATAATGGAAGATCGTCAAAGTCTTGAGGTGTGTTCAAAATGAGCAAGTCATTAGACGGCCGTCTTTGAGGGAATACGAAGTCCGTTGGAGTGAGTGGTTCGATATTCTCATCGGTGGTCTGATAGGTCAAAGGGCGCATGTTGATGGTGCTGACACACTCGGCAAGGAGTGTACGGAAGTCATCCAATGCGAAGAGTGTTGTTGAGGAACCAGCTCGGAGAAGTGCTCTCTTGATGAGTGAAATCATGCGTTCATATACAGATCCTTCCCATGGTGCATGAGGTGTGATGTAGTGAATGGTGGGGAACGTAGTTGAATCTATGATGTTGACGTTTGAAGAGATTTTGTTCTTGATCAATTTGAACACATCTTCTAGAAGTTTGAATTGTGAAGCGTTGTCTGACAGGAGTTGCTTTGGTGTTCCAAACAATGCAGAGAGTCGTCGGAGGGCGTTGAGATATGAGCTGGTGCTCATGTCTGTTACGACTTCGGCCCTGGTGTACCTGGAGTAGAGGCAAGTGAAGATGATGATCCATACTTTTTGTGGTGAATTGTTGATCTTGACGAGAAGGGGACCAGCATAATCGGTTCCAGTGCATTGGAAGGGATTGGAATGTGTTGTCCGTTTGTCCGGAATTGGAGGGAATGGTGGTTGAGTAAACGGAGTGATGTTGATACGGCGGCATCCAAGACATTGTTGACATACTCTTTTAATGTAGGAGATGCCCTTTGGAATCCAGAAATGTTGACGGATCTTGGAGAGGGTGAATGATGGACTTGAATGAAAGTATCGTTGATGAGTTTCCATTATCAGAAGATAACAAATGTCTCCTTTTGGAAGGAAGATCAGCGGTCTTGAGGGTACACGTCCATCGAACATCCAAAGGTCATTGTCTTGATCTTTGTGTAGTTGAAGAGCTTGGATTGTTTCAGGGGAAGGAGGATCGATTCGTTGGGCCAATCGGAAAATCAGTCGTTTCGAACGAGCAATTTTTTCTTGTGTTGAGCATTTTCCGCGAGTGATGAAGTGAATCAATATCATGACCATATGAAGGAGACGGTGGAATGAGCTGAATCTGGTAACGTTGATTGCTGGAGGGTGGGAGATGGATAGAGCAGAGGTGACGGTAGTTGTTGCAATTGAATTTGAATTGAGACGTAGTGGAAGTGGGTCAGAAGATTGTAGAAATGTCGGTCCTTCGAGCCATAACTCCGATTGTTTCAGCTCTTCGAATGGTAGTCCACGGGTGAGAAAATCTGCAGGGTTGATTTTTCCGGCAACGTGAGAAAAGATGAATCGTTCTCCGAGTTCGTTGATCTCTCGTACTCTGTTTTTGACAAATCTGCTACCAGAAGTCGATTTTGTGTGAAGACTATCAATGCTACAGAGACTGTCGCTCCAGACGTATGCTTGATGTATCTTGAGACCAATGTGTTGGAAGCAGTAGTTTCCAAGACGAACTCCAGTGAGAATCCCGAGAGTTTCCAGTTGTGGTATACTGTACTTGGACTTGACTGGAGCTACTCTCGATTTGGATAGAAGATAGTTGGAATCTGTTTTTCCATTCGACTGTGTGATCCGAAGATATGCAACTGAGCCGTAAGCAAGTTGACTGGCATCTGTGAAGATGTGTAGTTCCAATTGATCTGTCTTGATGTTGAAGTTATCGGGGAAGAGTTTCCTTTTTAGGCGCCATTCTGATCCTGTCCATTTTGTGCAAACATTTTTCCATGAGTCATGTTGATTGAGTGACAACGGAAGATCCCAGCTCTGATCTTTGGTAGCAAGTTGTTGGAAGAATAGTTTACCGTATAGTGTAACGGGTGTCAGAAATCCGAGAGGGTCATAGCAAGAAGCGATGATTTTCAAGATTTTCCTTTTCGTTAGAAGTTCTGTTTTGGGTACTGGAAGCATGAAGATCATTTCATCGGTTTCGGTGTCCCATGAGATTCCAAGAATTTTCTGGTTACGGTCAATCGTTGTATCCTTTTCATGCTTGACGAAGAAGGTGTTGACGGTTGAAGAATTCGAGCAGAATTGACATAGGTTCATTTGAGCTTCAGCGAATACTTTCTTGGCAAAAACGTAGAAATCCATAGCTTCTTCGGCGGTGTCCAATCCCATGAAGACATTATCGACGTAGAATGAGTTGATCATGGCTTGAGCCCAGGGATGATCATATGATTCCAAATGAGTCCGAACTGTTTTGTTGAGAAGATACGGTGATGGTTTTAGTCCGAATGGAACTCTGCGATAGCGATAGCAAATGAGATGTCCATCTGTAGGGTCTTTCCAGAGAAAACGAGTCGCGTCTCTGTCGGTTTGATGAAGCACAAGTTGCAAAAATGCTTTTTCGATGTCGCCGGAGATGAGAATGTTGTGTTGTCGAATACGAAGCATTATGGCAGCAATATCAGGTAGTAGTCGTTCTCCGGTATGAAGATGATCGTTTAGGGAGTGACTCACTTTGTTGGTTTTGGCAGACCCATCGAATACAATTCTTACTTTTGTTGACTTCGAAGTTTCTTTGATGACAGGGTGATGAGGCAAATAGGATACCACGGGGCCGTCTGAGATGGATTCATCAGGAACTTCTTCAATGAATTCCAAGGATAGTTGTTCAGTGAAGATGGCAGCATATTTCTTGAGCATTTCCGGGTTCTTTTCGAGTTGTCGAAGAGCACTCTGTAGTCGTCCGTATGCTAGAGCGCGATTTGAAGGAATGTTTCGTTGATCTGCATATGGGAGTCGTACTACATATCGTCCATCTGCTTGGCGAGTAGTCGTCTGATGAAAAAACTGGTTTGTTTCTTCTTCTGCTTTGCACTGAGGATCGATATCCTTGATTCCGATTGATTCCAGTGACCAAAATTTTTGAAGTTGCTCACATAAATCGTCCTTGGTGTTTTGGTTGTTGACGATGTTGGAGAAGGTGATGACGTTTTGTTGAGGGTGTTCCTTTCCAGAAAGGATATGTCCGCAGTCCGTGATGTGAAGTTGAAGTCCAGAAGATAAGCGAAGGGTTTTCACTTGTCCGAGAAGTAGAAGGTAGTGATCAAGTCCAATGAGCACATCGATGTCTTTGTGTTGGCGGTTCAATTGAATTTCCTCTCCTTGAAGGAGCTTGTCGCAGGTAATTTTATCTGCATCCACTGCGATTATGTTGCTGGCTATGTGTGGTACTTCACACAAATTGATCGATTTTGTTGATGTTTTCGTTTTGATCAGTACGTTGAAGATGTTGGAAATCATTGACCGAGTGTCGATTGATCCAAAAGTATTGATCCGAAGTTTCTTTGAACCGATTGGGAGAAGTTGTAGTCTTTCAGCGAATGATGATGAGATGTAGCTGGTATTGGATCCTGTATCCAAGAAGATGGTGCCGATGTGTTCATTTCCGTCTGGAAGAGGATTCTGCTCCAGAGAATCCAAAGGTTGTGTGTCCGTATTTGTTTCCAATGTAGCCTCTTGGGGTGTGACGTAGAGATGTAGTTTGTTGTCCGGATGGTCGTGCTCTGTGTTGTTGATATGAGTCACGGCTAGAATGTCGTCTGGTGTTTCGTCGGCAAAGATGGAGTGTGTTTGTTCGTGAGTCCGTGCGTGTAGTGGCTCTGATTTTGGTTTCGTTGAAATTGTCGTCTTTGATAGCGTTGATATCCGTTGGTGTCCGAGTTCCCAAATGAACTTCCATGTCCGTTGTTGTTTCCGTTTCCTTGGTATCCGTTGTTGTTACTATTTCCGTGTCCAGTAGATTTCCGGTGAGCATGTTTGCTGTTGGCCGAGATGAGGAGTGCTGCGTATGTGTAGGTTGACGATTGGCGTGTTGATTTTGTTGTCCTGTGATGATTCCTTGACGTGAAGATTGGTTCCTGGAGTTTTGATTCTGTCCAATTGATCTTTGACAAATGGACTCATGGTGATTTCCTTGACAGTTCCGGCAGTTTGATGAGCATCGTTTGGCAATGTGTCCGCGTTGCAAGCATTTGTAGCATAATCCGAGTTCGGTAATCCGTTCCTTACGAAGTTATATTGAGTTATATTTCCGGCAAAGGTGAGGGTGATGCATCATTCGTTCTTCGGCACACAGTGCGCATGGTATTTTGACTGGTTGTCTGGGTGGTTGATTTTGTCCATTGGTTTGTTGTCTGTGGTCCTGGTTTCTTCGGTGGTATTGGTTGTTGATTGCTGACATTGTGGTCACATTCCGGTGTCCGTTGGAGGTCTTGTTATGAATTTCCGCTACCAATCGCTCCGCTTTTGAGATTTCCTTAATTTTTTGTAGTAGTTCCTTTGTTGATTTGGGGCATTGGGATTCTCCTTGTCCGTACAGCTTGTGGATTATTCTTTTCGGAAGTTTCGATTGAATCAGTTCGCAAGTTGAGAGGTTGTCGATGTCAGAGTGCATGTTCAGTAGTTGTTCGAAGATCATAGCGGCTTGAATCGTGTAGCTTTGTAAATCGGCGGGATTCTTGTTGTTAGACAAATCTGGCAGTTGGCGAAGTTTGAGCAGTAAGGAATGTTTGATTCGAATTTCGCCTCCGTACATTTCTTCAAGTGATTTCCAAGCTACTTGCAAGTTTGATGGGATGATTGGAATGCTGCGGAGTAAATCAGCTGCTTCACCAGTGACAGACGTTTTGAGGTACTTCATTTTGGTGACATCATCAACGTTCAAGTGGTTCAGGATTGATTGGAACTGCTCCTTGAATTCGAGATACTGATCGATATTTCCGTTGAAAGTTGCCCTGCCTGGGTCACCATGTCAAAATGATTCTTGGAAGAATCTTTTTGAGAGGAGGAGAATTATAGATCGAGAATATAGAAGAATTGAATGTAGACCTTTTCCCAAATATAGATTTATTCGAATGATAAAGTATGGTCAAATCCAGAACTTATATACTATTACAATAAAAACAAAATAACATCATAAATTGACTCATGCGATTGATTTATGTGATTGACTCATGCGATTGACTCATGTTTGGAAAAACCTTCGATATTGAGCTCGACGATATCGACGTCGATACATCCAATGGCATCCATCAACCCTCTAATAGTGCCTCCCAGATCATCAACTTTGAGCTCTTAAATCTCGGTTCCTGTAAAAGCTATCAAGAAGTAATAATCTGTCAAAATATTTCTTACAATATCAAAAACATTTTGTCTGTTAACCACTTTTTGATATCTTTGAGAGGAAATGAGATACACGAGCCCAAAGCTTTCGGTTTGAGTGGCACTCTATTAGTGCTTATTATACCGTAAACAGCTTCATCTTAAACCATTTGAGCTTAATCAATTGAATTCAATTATTGTAAACTCATTTTCTCCCCCAACTTTGTCTGTGCACTCACATGATTCCTCTCTTCTCTTCACTCTCCTTTTCTCACTTTTCTCCCTACGTCTGTGTCTATTTCTCGCCATTGGCATTTTTTTTCAGACCAGTGAAATGTTCACTTACCTCGATATTCTCCGGGTCAAAGTCAAAGTTTAGGAAAATCAATAGATAAGAGAAATGAGTTTATTAAGCCATCAATCACCATTGGTAAGTGGCACGTATTCTATAAGGTGACAAATGATGAATTTTCCTTCCGATCAGATGCTCAATGCAGAATTGATACAATTGCTTCTGACGAATCAAGCAGCTGCAAATGCAAATTTAAATTTGCTGAATCCAGTTAATCCATTGCTAGGAGTCAATCCTTTGATTGGATCTTTCCCATTCACAACGGTATAATTTGATTTTCTCTCTTATTATTCTCAGAGGTACTATTCAATATACTTTTTTTTCTCTCAGACAACTCCTGCTACATTCCAATGTCTCCCACCACTACCAAATATTGGTCCGATTCCTCCAATTCCATCTACTCCTCTGATTCCAACTCCTCTTCCAATTCTTACGTATCCTCCCCAAGCAATCAAAGAAGAAGAACCAACCATAAAAACAGAACAACCAGATCCTACTCCACTAGAACCTGAAATTCCATTTGAGATGGGATCGATACCCATATCGACCTACTATCCAACCCATTTCATGTGTGGCACACAACTACGAATGGTTAATGGGGAAATTAAAAAAGTGGAAAATTTATCATCAGATGATTTTCTCAAATGTGCAGGCGAGCCTGACGGTGATATTGTAAATGCTTCAACTGTGAAGTCGATCAGATTCAATGCTGGAAGTGTTAGCATTGTTTTCGAGACTGGAAGTGAACGATTAAAGGTGAGAATTACCTTTTCTTTCAAAAACGAGATCTAGTTTGATTTTATAAAGATTCCTCTGAAGTGCCAAATCGAGCAGCCATTCTTCGTTCTTGGAAAAGGGTGGTGCAGTTGTAATCCAAGGAAAAGCGGAGAAAACTATGGTTTAGATTGTGAAACTCTGATGGTAAACTGAAACGTTTTGAATATTGTTTGAAAAAGGTGAAATGCAGACTGGAGATGTTTGCATTGTGTTGACGAAGGAAGAAGACGAAACAACAGAATGTGCTGTGGATATTGTAACCGCAGAACGGGATTTAGAGCTTTTCAACCAACGAGCGGCATTACGAGAGAAACTCGTAGATGTTTACTATGAGGTAGGACTAGTATCATTATCAATAATACTCCAGTCTTTTCAGCATGTTTCTGGACGTGTATCAGCTCCTCCAGAAGGAATTTGGGCTCATGCGTCCGTTTCCTCAAGACTACGACGAATCTCTGAATGCTAGTGATATTTGTATATGCCTGTATAAACATTTTTCACAATACTTCTTCGTATTGGTTTCAACTTGAATGCTGAAAATATATTTTTCAAATTCTGAAAATTAAAATATCTGCAGGTTACTGTAGTTGTCGTTGTGGGACTTTCAGACACCGGATTTTCTCTTCCATAGCTCCATTTTTTCATTGTTAGTTTTTAAAAAAATGCAGATAAACTCAAAAACAAGTCGCTCACGAATAACTCGGCTCCGTCCTCTTTATTTATGCCGATTTTTTGCTTGAGCCCGAAACTTAACTGCCGTATCTCGAAACCAAAGCGCGTATATTGGAGTGTTTAATGTGCATCATGTCCTAAGAGTGTTTGCGGTCATTTCCACTAGCCTTCCCACTTGTGACTCTGCTTCTCTGTTTCTCCTCTGTCTCGCGAATTCAGACGGTGTCCGATACCTTCTAATCAATCGTCGACGAAAGTTCGATAAACCTGAATGCCCCTTCTTTCGAAGTGCTTCAACTGCCGTATACAACTTCCAGAGGGAAGCAAGTAAGTCCAAATTGAAAATTATGCTGAATTTCGAATATCACATTTTTCAGTCACCTCCAATGTCCGAAGTGTGAGAAAAATGAGAAGAAGTACGGAAAGGTATACAACCATTCAAAGTTTCGCATTTTAGAGCATTTTTTCAGCCGGTAACTTGTCAATACTGTAAACTGAACGCTGCATTCCACGACCAGAAATGCGTTTGGTGTTCGGATTCCGAGAGAAAGTTCGGAAACCCTTACGAATGCACAAATTGTAAACTCACTTGTGCGTTTCCAAGACGCGAGAGTGACAAAGTGAGTTAGATTTTTTTTTAATCATTATGTTACAGCATGGTAAACGATTTTGAAAATGTTTATAGAACGACGATGTTGCTAAACTATGCCGAGTATGCATTATGCAAGCTCGCCAAACCAATCAAACGGTCGTGGCTGGAATTCCTGTTCCTCCAAACAGGAAAGACAGATCCAGGGAAGGCTCTTCATCTGAGCACCGCGATGACCGTCATCGTCGCGACTCATCCCGTCGTCGTAAGGAACGAACAGAACATCATAAGAGTGGCGATAAACGACATCGCGATCAAGATTACAAAGATCGAGATCGTGCAAAGAGGCGTCATCATGACGAGCCCATAAAAAACGGATCGTCGGGTGTTCCACCACTTGCTCCAAATAATGAGAATGGAAACGGTCTCCCACTGTTCGGAGGCCGCGATAACGGTGAAAACATGGAGAAGCAGCAAAGAATGGAAGAAGAGATTCGTCGCTTGAAGGCTCAGCTAGCTGAAAAGGAGGTGATGATTTTCGACAAAGATAAGGAGGTTTGTGCAATGCGAATAGTGCCAAAATAAGTCCATTTTTTCAGATAAGCAACTTGAAAGCTGACAAATACAATTTGGAGAAAAAGCACCGCGAGCGTGTTCAACAACTCGTCAAGGAAAAAGAAGAGAGTATTCGAGCTATTGAACTAATGAGAAACTCAAAGAGTGCTAAGAAAAACTAATAATTCCCTCTTTTCGGTGATGCCTATTGTCTAAAACCTACTAAACTAGTCACACATCTCAATTTTCATAACTTACTTGTAACACCATTCGCCATGATGCCATATTTTAATTAATGATATTGAGAGTTCTGTCGTTTATATAATAATCTGATCTTATACTTTTCTAGCTCCTCCTGCTCAAAAACTTCTGATAACTTGTAATACACAAATTACCCATTTCTCTCTCCGCTCTCCCGGTTGATCCGGTTTTGATTCATTTATATATATATATCTATTAATTCTGGCAATATATTCTAATCTGATCTTGTCATTCTTTTCGATCTAGTTGATTTTTTCCTTGTATCTAGTTTCCTCTTTTTTGTGATAAATTGTTTTTATTCTTTAAAGCGGTTTTGTTTCAGAAGCAATTTCAAAAAAAATTCTGTGAAATCGGCTCTTTTTTGATAATGAGAATTTTTCAGCAGGATCTATTTTCTCGAAATAGCGATCGAAAAGGAGAGTACCAGAAATGTTCCGAACTTGAGTTATTTAGACTACATTTACACCAATTCTTGCTTTTCTGTGAAGTGAAATTCCGGAATGTTGAAACTCGGAATTCTCGAGATTCCGAAAAATTCTAAAAAGGTCATTCCAAAAATTCCACTTCTATTGATCAATAATTAAAATCCTAGACTTCATATACTTCGTAGCCAGTTTTTGATCTCCCAAAAAGCCGCAGTTTTATTTTTAACCAAAAACAATGAAGATCTTTTTTTGATTTTTTTTCTCATCTTTTCAAAACCTACATTTCAACCATGCTGTCGTATCCGAATATATTGACAATAATTCCTCATCTCAGTTATAGTAAAAGGTAAGTAACTCGTTTATTCTCCTTCAAATTATTCTTAAAAATTCAGAATGGAAGTCTCAAAAATCTCTGTCGAGTTTAGAAAGTATCACCAACGATTCTCCTTCTCTCTGACCTCGATTCGTTTCTCTCAGAAATACGGCCCTGTTGATAATAATGGAGATCCGGAAGAAGTTGGTACGGGAAACTTGCATGTGGAATCTATCATCTACGATTTTACGTTCGATCCACTAACTAACCAAGTGAAAATCTCAAATACACTGACTCCCGGAAGAATAACAACATCAAATGACATAGCTATTGCAAGAAGATATTTACAGTACTATCTCAGATCATCAAAACGCCCTGTTGAGCATGTTCATATCGTGGTTAGTTAATGAAATCCTGAAGAGACATTTCAACAAAAAATCTTGAAGGAAACCGATCGCCCATTCCGGAATATGCATGATTTGCGAGTACCATCGTTGACGTGGCATTTAAATGGCAGCAGAGCTGATAACATTTTTGACGATTTTCCCAGAAACTACGTCTTTGAGAAGTTGGAACTCATCGATTGTTTTGGTGTACACCTTGGAGAACCCCTTGTAAACGGCTTGACGAAAAATCCATAATTTTAGAAGCGGTTTTTCAGGTCCAAAGAGCGAAGCACTGCATTGTCAAAAATATACCGATATATCAGGAATTTGTAGTTGGCACCGAGCCACTTTTCATTGCCGCATTCTACGTTCTGCTCCGGAATAAAGTGGAAATATTTTTGGGACTTAATCACGTTAGGTCATTCGTCACTCTTTCTTATGTGAGTCATCAATCTGGTTCAAAATCTGGAAACCAATTTTTAGGGCATATGCCAGAACAGTTTTCACATCGGGTCTTCATTCACTGGAATTTTCATGCCCAACTCGTTTTTGAAAGATTACATGTGGGAATATCTGCTAAGACCTGATGACGTGGTCCGACCTAATGGATTAATATCGTCAAGGGGATATATTAAAGGAAGAGAATGCGTAGTTCTAAAGACGACGAATGATTGGATCGCAGTTGTTTTCCACAACTATATCGATACTGGTGATAAAGAAAGTTTCACTGCTGTTAAACTAAAAAGGGAAATGGACGCTGAAGTGGACGGATGAAATATATGGTCAACTCATTAACTTCTTTAATTTTCATTGATAATATTTAACTCTGTTGTTGTGGACACCTATCATAATTTTCCTTTTTTGAGCTATTTTTTTAATTATTTCGTTTTTAAAACAGTTTACGTGGCAATTGGTGACACAATAAAAATATGACCTCTTTTTAAACGTATAAATTGAGATGACTCATGCGACCTGCTTTAGTCTACATATTTAGCATTTTGTTCGTGCAAGGAAGGCAAAGAAACTTCCATCAAAATTAGAAGAGATTCACCTAAATAATAAATGTATCGGTCAGCCAATTTTCCTCCAGCGGATTCGCCTACAGTACCACCTTTCTCTGCTTTTTTGTTATCTTTTAAAGGGACATGTCCTGAAACAGTTCAAAGGTCTCACAGTGGGATACGGTATGCGGGCGCCAACGCGGCATTTTCAAACGGCGCCGTTATCGAGCCTCTAGTTTGCTGCTCGTTTTCTGGCAGACCGATTAGCGAATTCTGCCGAAAAAATCGATCTTACGTAGTGGCTAACATGCTAATGGCACAAAAGCAGAGTAATGCAGAACAAATCGGTAAGTTATCAGAAATCCTCGAATTAAGATTCACAAAAGTCGGAGAATTCTTCGGAGAGTGAATTCTAAATGTTTTTTTTGTTTCTGTCCCTGTTTAATATCTCTATTCAGATGAGCATTCACGGCAAAGTCGGTCACCGTCGGTCGATTCTGTAAGACGTCTGCATCAGCAAAGTGGGGGCTTTGCTTCACAAAATCAACAGTCAGGTCATCAGAGCTCGCAACAAGGTCAGCTACACCAACGTCGCGGAAGTGTTTCCAACGATGGGAATAGTGGTTATTATTCGCAGCACAATCACAACAGTAGTGGATACAGAAAACGTACTCAATATTGTTTATCGCGAAACACATTTATTTTCAGAAAGCTTCAGTCAGCGAGGTAACCGCGGGATGAATCAGCGAAGCGGTAACAATTACCAACAAAACGCCGACAATCTCGGAACTAATTTTCAACAAGGCTACCAATCGAAACAACAGAGGAGTTATCAGAAGTAATCCAACCTTAAAAAACCTAACTACTAATTTCTTTTCAGTTATCCTCAGCACAATTCCAAGTATTCGTACTATTACCATCCTAGACCAATTTTTAATTCAACGCAAGGTGAGAATTTTAATTTTCCTCTCTAGTGTAGGTTGCGGGACAATCAGCTAAGTATTTTACCGAAATTTGTATCATATTATTATCATTATTTCAGAGTGTGGTGCCTTCTCGGTCAGGCGTCAGTCTCCTTCATCACCGTCTTCGCCTACTCCGCCCACTAACTCCTCCACCAGTCGGAGCACGAACCCCGCTCCAATTCTTCTTCGTCATGTAGAGCCTACCCAGAATGACAAAATGTTTAATGGGGGCAGTGAGCAGGAACAACAACATCATGAAGCGAAAATCCATCAATATAGATCTGCGGGGACTGCTCCTGGGGGATATTCCAATAGGTATTTTGTTGCACTGTGCAGCCACGCCGATGATCTTTCTTCACAATTTCAGCTCTTCTCCATACAAGCAACAAACCCTGCATCAGCCTACCACCCCTGTTGCTTCTGACAAACGTAATGATACGGACGACTGGGCGTCTCGTTTCCAACACCCTCCACCGGGTATTCAGTATCAGTTCAGACGTATCTCATGGTTTTCTATCCGATCAATCAAGCCAACTTAATTTCAGGAACTGATAATGTACAAGCACCCATTGAACTTCAACGCAAAAGCCAAGCTCCTTCGGCTCCAATTGATATCGTTTCCAACAGTTTGCCCACAACACCATCTCCGAGCGAAAGGAACTCGCAATATAGAGGTTTTTTAGAAATTCGAAGATTCTTTATATAACGCGTTTTTAGCTCCGTTAAAAGATTCTCAGTTGACGGACAATGTTGATGCCAAGCACCCATGTTTCGCTGATGAGCGGATGCACAGTGCTCTTTATGGGTAAGATTTGAGAGTTCTTCTCTTTACATAGTTGCCAAAAAGTACCATCAGTTAAAAATGGGAAATCGATCATTTGGGTTATGCGTAGAGTTGTCGTGTATGCCAGAACAGAAAAAAGTACCTTCTAAATTCTGAAGAAGGGTTGAGTCGAAAGTAATTCCAAACATATGGTGTTCTATCAATCTGAAAGTGGCTTTACAGTTTCCCCGCAATCATTAAACTGCCTGGTACTGTTGGGAATGTGTCCTCTGTCCTTTCGTCATTTTGCCGATAGCGCTTTTTTTTGTTTCTCACATTTTCCTGTATTGTACAGATGCAGAAAGGGTGTTCGTCATTTTTCGCTTTTTCTACAAATATAACCAGTTCATCTGAACCAACAATAAACTGAAAGAGACGACTGAAGAAAGATTCTAGCTTTGGGGAAAAGCATGTTGATTGCGCCCCAAGTATTCGACGATATTAGTGGAAATTGAATAACATTTCGATCCTATAATTTATTATATTAGCAGCATCAACAATTTGGTAGTGTCCTGAAATCTTTACAGTATTTCTTTGCAATTTTCTGATTATCGGTTTTCTGTAGTTTTGAGTTTTCGAAAATAGTAATTTATCCCACAAGGATTTTTATGAAATTAGTTGAGTTCAGCGTCTTTTACAGGTGTGTAAAACTGGAAAACGCTAGTTCTTTCTTTCCTTGTAAAAGGTTTAATCTTCGTTTTTAGGTTTTCTCTCTCTCTCTCTTTCAACTTCTTGTGTTTTGGTTCGATGCAACTGTAACATCGTCTTTTGATCGGATAAACGGAAACTTCGATATTTACAGTTACTGACCGAAAGTTCATTTAGGTTACTCTGAGTTCGTTCAAGTTTAAGTGTTTCATGCAAAGCTCACCATCTTTGATGCTCACAACGACAGCTTCAGTGTAGTGGTGTCTACTGTAGTAACGTTGGCTAAACACCGTTTAGGATACTCTCATATTCTCCAGTTATTGTAGTTCACAGGTGGAACGAATACCATGATGTAATTCGTTCGCTCACTTTACACCTACAAAATCTATCTCACTTCTTCACTGCATTTCTCAACAGGAAAAGTGAAAATCTGCTGTCGCCCTATCTCTCTACGATTTTTCTTTTCGCTTCCTCTTTTTCATCGATATGACATCTGAGGATTGGTGAAAGGAGGAACGTTTAGTCGTCGTAGAATTTAACATGCAGTGGTCCATATGAAGCTTTCTCTACATTTTTTCTTTTCAGGACTCATGAAATAACAATCTCTAGTGGATTAACTCTTTTCATCACTATCATACTGAATACTACATCTCCTCTCCTCTCCTGAATCCCATTTCTATCTGTTCCTTAGAATGTTAAAGGCATCTAATCTGGCTAGGAGAAGCATTCATTGAAACATGGATAGACCACCTCAGCAACGTAAACAAAACCCTCATTCTTTCAGTGATTGCTCACAGCTGCCCAAATTTTCGAAATTGGAACGGTGCTTCAGTTTTTTCGTAATTCGAAATATGTGGTGACTACGTAAATAAAATGGACCGTACAAACAAAAGAAAACGAAAAAAATTAGGGCTATAGTGGCTAGGGAAGGAAAAAGTACAATTTTCATCCTGATTCGTTTCAGAAATGATTCTGAAGTCATGAGCCATCGAATTCTAATAAATAAAAGGACGTCCCTAATCAAAAATATACCCCGACCGGAATGGGTTTTTTGTACCACAAAAGTGCATATTTCTTCATGAAAAAACCTACTCTGTTAGATCATCGCCATTCTTGCCCCCAAGTTTCCGAGGGAAGGACGGGATGCTTTACGTGCAGTTTGCTGTGGTCTCTTTTTTCTTTCGGCGCTATCTCTCTTCACTTATATCTGTGATCTCTCTGTTTTTCAAAAAAGAAGAACACACATTGTGTTTTTTTCTTTCGTTCTTACTTATGACTCCTATCTTCCTATATCTTCTATTATCTTCGTAGTAAAGGTCAGAGAGCATCCAGTGCCCGCTTCTCTGTTTTTTACTGGTTTTGTTGTTTTGAAGTGACTGCAAGAATTTTTCAGTTCCTCTTTTTCTTTCAATGACTCTCATTGTTCGTCTTTACAGTAATAACGAACTTTCTCTTCTTATTTTTCAGTTATTTCAGTTTAGAAGAGCTATGATCGCAGTAGATCCGTAGAAAGATTTTTCGCGTTATCAAGATCATTTGCTTAGCCGTTCGGGTAAACTGGTTAACTTGAAAGTTCTGAACTAGGTTCACATTTATCTTTGAACCTTTTGCGTGAGAAGTAAACTCTCTATTCTATAATCTGCAGATACTTGGTCATTTGTCGTCATAATTCCCAATTAAGCGTTCATAGTGTTAAAAATGAAACATGTCAATAATGTTTTTCTTTTTCTTTTTTTTGACCGACCGTTAAGAATGAGATCGAGTTGAAATCAGACAACCTGAAGTAAAACCGTTCATAATCACATGAAAATTCTATCAGAGCGGAAGTAGTTCTCAAACCCATTTGTATTGGGTATACATTGGCTGGCTATCATGTCTAAAATTACACTTTGAGAATCAGAAAGTGACCTTGTCACTGATTTCGTAGTATTTTAAGCTTTCATTGTAAAACTGGGCAATGGAGCCATGCAAGAAGTTTTGATTCAAAAATTGTGTTACAAGCTTCAAAAGAAGAATAGATTGAAGTTGAAGACATGGCTTACGAGCAGAATAGATTGAAGTTGAAGACATGGCTTTTTTATTAGGTCATATATCGCATATGTGTCAACACCAACAGATTCCACTTCTTCTTTCTTTTTTTTCGTTGTGTTTTCAACTGTTTTGTGGGCGAATGGCAATGTGTGTTGATGGCACAGATGGCAACAAACTGTTTCATTCGCGATTTCTTTGTTATGTCACCGAACAAATCCGCAGATGAAACACATAATAAAAGCCCCACGTGGCTCGAGTTTGCTCACCTGAATCGGCGAGACGACGGCTTGCCAGTCCGTTTGCAATCATTCAACACCTTCATTCACAGCCGCTTCATTTTTTAAATTCCTGATGACAGTCTGGATGAATAGAGTTTTGAGAAAAACGTTTAGTCTTTACTTCAAAAATACATGTTCTACAAAGATGTAATTGTTTAAGAATACTGTAAAAAAACTTGGTTTCGATCGAATTCAAAACAGGTAATACCACTAGACTGGTATTTTTGAGTGATATGTTAATTTTGCCACCGTTTTCTCTTTTTCCTTTTCTCTCGAAATACGCAATTGCACACAAAAAGAAACAGTGAGAGGGTGAGAAACTGGTCTGTTTTCTGTGCTTAGTCTTGCTCCTCCGCACTGTTCTTGTCAGTTTTTGATTCTCTTCAACCTATACGCACTCTCAACTCTCGGTCCTAGAGACTGGACTATCCGCCAGTGAGGCTGACTATCGATGACGACTTTCGGAGAAAAAAAAGAACATAAAAAATGATAGGAATATTCAAATTTTATCATTACTTTGATAAAGGATAATGATAAATGGGTATCAACCTGGAACATGCCACAATGCCATCAGGTGGTTTGTTAGAAAACGAAGTTTGGGGAAAAATTATTAGAAAAAAATTCTCAACTACTATTCTATAGTAATTTTTATGCTTCACAAAAACGCTATCATCGGCTTTCTTCTTTCTAATCGTCACACAGGTTTCCCTCTTGCCGCTTCCCTGTTGTCTCATTTCCCTCGTACGCTGTGATTTTTTTCCTATTTCTTATCTGAATACATAATGCGATGCGTTAATTTCTTTTTTCTACTCGATGCATATTAATATCTTAGCTCAAAGCTCTAGAAAGTTCCTTTTTCCTTCTCCATAACCATTTGGTTGGAAACCTATATATGCTCGTCTTCTTCTTTCTCTATATTTAATATTTTATGAAGTGTGTTGTTGGCGTCGTTATGTCGTCCACCGATAATCCAATCAGTTTCATAGCTTTCACTTTTTCTGTGAAAATTGACACTTTCTTGGTCCGACCCGTCAATTTCCTCTATCTTTTGCCCCCTTCTTTTAACGTCCATTCCTTTCATATTGACCACTCCACCCTGATTATCGAATATCAGTTCGATTTTGTTCTCTTCTATGCTCATCGTCTCTTACTTTTATCATTTTGCAAAATTTATATTATTGATACATTTTTAGAGCCTAAACCCTATTCAGCTGCGTGTGCTGTGTCGCCAGTAAATCATGCCACTCTCCACGGGTTCCGTCGATTCTGGTTTCTTCGGGTGTTCTACTAATAACTCTTTGAAAAAAGGAGATTCAGTAGATCTACACAAATCATCGCCTCTATCCATGACAGACGAAGAAGAAACTTTATCTACGTCTTCTTCTGGATTCTCTAGAAGTTCGGCTCCTGCTGGAGAAGCGGCTCTCTCTTTACCATCAGCATCGATTCAACCTCCTGTATTCTTGGCTTTGAATTCTGGAATGTTTCCCAGAAAACCCAGAGCCCGTGTGCGACGATCAAATCGAAAGCTGAAAAGACTCACATGCCCAGCTAAATCAAGATGTGATTCGCTAACATCTTTATTACCTGCAACCTCCAGCGTTTCTACTGGAATCTCTTCGTGCTGTCACTCAGTTGCTGGAAGTAGCCGAAGTTCAATCTCTTCTTCCCCAAATTCTCATAGCTATTCAATTGACGAATTAGCTTTACGTCTGTACTTTTACTTCAAATCTCTCCTTATTTCGGTGAATAAGCAAAAGGCAATATGCGAGAACATTGCGTATCTTGTGAGAGATTTTGATGCTCGGTGGGGTAACTCTGGTGTCAGGAAGAAGGCATGTGACCCAAAAGGCTGCCTAGCTCCTGTTTATTCTACAAATCGATTTAACAATGAATCGGAACAAAAACTGGTAGCTCCTGCGAAGTTTCCCTTGTGTTGGGCCGTCCCTCAACCTGCGATTTTCTATCAGTTGATGGCTAATGATGTACTGGAGTATATCAAGTTTCTCGAACGGTTAGAACATTTTTCACATTTGTAAAATGTTGACTCCATCGGTTCATTTCATCAGTTTCTAACTTGGCCTTTTTTCAGCGTATCTCCACAAATGAAATCTCAACACCAGCCGTCGGGACTACCGATCCAAAACGAGCGAGAAGCTTCTGCTTCAATGGAGGCCTTAAAAGCACTCCAATATCAGCAGCAATGGCAGCACCACATGACGCGCGGCGTTTTTCGTTAGTTAGATACTATTCTTTTTCGTGTATCCATAATTGTTTTTCTTTTCAGTCCCTCAGTTCGTGTACACTACCATTGACAATCAGATGAGACAATTGAAAAATCGAGATCATCAAAGTCAACATCAACATTCTCATTTGCAAAGAGTTCCATCGTTCGATGGCGAATTTCCCACTGGAAAGGTATATTTGTTCCAGCACTTTGAAACCATAATTTTTGTCATTCAGGAATTAAGAAAACGGGATTCTTCAAATGATTCTCAATGCAGCAGTGAAGCAAATCCCAACGAAATCCCTCAGATGATGGAGAAGTTGGATGCTGATCTCGACAAGACGCCGGTAGTCGACGAAGAAGGAATCAGACGATCGAGAAAAAATGTTGCGAATAGCGGGAGGAAGGATCATCGTAAAATGAACGGTGGGTAAACTAAGTTCTCTTATAAATATGGGTGCTAAAAATTCTAACTATCATTACTCTTGTCTGAAATCAATGCAAGTTGAGAGTGTATGCCTAGGTGATTTTTTTAAAGGGTGAAGAGCGGACTACGGTAGTCTTTGAACCTATTTCGAATTTTGTTATCCTATTTTCTCAACTTTTCGACAAGTTTCCTCATTTCAACTCATTTTTTCCCGATTTACCTTGGAAAACCGGTAAAAATCAGTGAAAATCGTCAAAAAAAAAATTAGAAAAGTAGAAAAGGAAAATTTTCAGTAGACTCAAATACTACTGTAGTCTTGCGCCTCCAATAAAATTATTTTCAGACAAAAGTTAGACTAAATTCTGAAAAGTAACGAAAGCAGTTGGGATCTTCCACAGGTTGATCGTAATTCGTGTGACAGACAATGGGAATTTATATAGCTTCTTACAACTTGCAGCTTGTTAGGTAAAAAAAATTTCCTTGGATTATGGAATCACATGGATCTTACCGACCTTGTGACTACTATCTGTCAATCTCGTAAATATTATGTATCTTCTATACCTCTCTTCTCTATCAATGTGCTTCGGTTGTTCTGCTTCTCCTCGATATGCGTGATGCATTCGAATCATCAACTGATTGAACTCTCTTCGTTCTCCTCTCTGTCTTATTGTCTCTCCAACTCTCCGTGATTCGATATACTATTTCAATAGGTGTCTACCGTTTCTCTTAGTTGGCCCACTTCTCTGACGTCTCTTCCTGTCTTGTACTCACTTCCCTGACACTGCGCCATCGCACTCTGTCGCTTTTTCGCACTTTTTGTTCCCATTTTGAATACGTTTTCCACTTTTCCTCAGTTGGCTCTCGTTCAATTTTCTTAATCTCAGACAATATGAAACGGTCGAAATATTAGGGACTGGTTCGGCTAAGTTAAGACTGCGATTAGATGTACTGTTCGCAGAAAACGTTGGTTTTAGGCCAAGTGAAAATTTACCTAAAAATAGAAAAAGTGCAAAAGTCAACTATGGGCAGTTCTGGTCTATTTAGAATCTATAGATGAAAGTTCCAGATTTAATAAGCTAGAAATCACAAATTTCTTCTGTAGATGTATAATTTTCTCGAAAAAGCAATGACATATAACCATTTCGTGTTGAGTGAGGCATTGCCATCCAAAAAAAGACGGCGTTACTCATTTTCATAATAAATGTCATTATTCTTGTTTTATATAGGAACTCAAAAATTTTCTCCACGCCGTCTTTGCCCCGCTCATTTATCTTCTTTTTCTTATTCCTTTTCTTTTGCTTATTTTTCTTTTTCTCCAGAATTTTCTCGTTCCTTTCCCAAACTTCTAGGTTATCCGCTTCCGCGAACAATAGTTTAACAGAGGTTTTCAAAAAAAAAAAATCAGCAATGAATAGTGGAACCTTTTCATACAACAGTGTTTCAATGTTGCTCCAAAAACAATAAAAAGATGGAGACTTGCTTGGAGATATTTTGCTTCATCTAGACTGTGACAAGTTCTGATTTATTGCTTCAAGAATCTTATGCAGCAAACATATACTTAGTCGAAGTAGAAAAGTCTGATGATTGGCAGCTAATTGGCACAGACGCGCACTGTTCTCTTTTTTCTAATACTCTTTTTTGTTGACATATATGCATCGTATGTATCTTTGTGAAAAGTATTGGACTGATTATCAATGAGCCCTTTTTCTTGTTGATACTCTATGTTTGCGTTTGTAGTGGTGAGAAACTTCTCCTTAAAATATCAGTCATCTTACTTCAGATAAAAACAGAGGAACCATTTATTCGGTTGCATTTTCAATAAAACAGCTTTTTGGTTATTAGCTGTCAATCCTCATAACATACGAGGCATTTACCCTATACTAGTACATCAAAAAGCTTATTGTTCTTGTATATCCTCAGTTATTCGTCACATTTGTTACTGAGATGGACTTCAAAAAACGTATTCTTTTTTACCCTTTGATTTCCATTTGTCATGTGGCCTTTGACATGCCTTCTCCTCCGTCATTCTGTTGCGCCGCTTCTGCGTTTGGCTTGACCTCCCAGATGTATGTTCCTATACCTTTTCTACTTTTTCTTTTTTTTTCGCATCTCTTTTTTCCCTTCCTTTTTTCGTTCTTCATTTGAACCTAGATTTTTTCATCTGACCCTCTTTTCAAAAAAAAAAAATAGTTTGACGACCATGATTTTCCAACAAGTTACTGTTACTGCTCGTAAATCCTGTTTTCAACATTGGTGCCATGTATCTTGTTTATATTTTCTTTTCATACACTCGTGGCTATTGACTAGGATCTTTCTAGCTGTGATCACAAAAATACTGAAACTTTGTTTATTTCGAGTCTTGTGACTCTACATGCCAACTCAAAGATTTTCTGTTTTCTAAAATTTTACTATGATGGATTCATCTCCTGAAAGTTTGAAATCCTCTCTATACATGTCAATTCTTCTAAACCCAAATGTTCAATTCTTTCCCTTCAACCCAGGATTTATGAGTGTATTGACAACCTTTGTTCAATAAAAGTCTGCCCAAAAGTGAATAGTGAGATGGTGCACGTGATTCGCATCCTTCCTTCTTTTCCGTTCAAAAATAGTCAAATGAGAATGATCTAGATTAGTTTTTTTGCTTGTTGGCGGTCATCCAACTCTGGCGGCGGCAATCAACGGTGGTATGTGAGCGATTCAATTCACTAACAAGCATCGATCTGTCTAGTCATCAATCTCTCTTCCTAAAATTATAAAAATGGTTTTTATGATTTTAAATTTATCCATCACACACATTTTTATACATTCACAACTTTTCTTCTCAGTTTTCCTCCGTACAGTCTTTCTCTCTTACCTTCCACCTCAAAGCTTGCAAACAACTTGTTTTTTTAGTAGTACGTAATTAGGACCTGGCGAATGAGCTAAATTGGCTGGTCCCGTTGTCGAAATGCCGGTGACGATGTCATCAATGATTTGTAACGTGTTGCATGGTGGAGATCGAACTGTAGCGGGAGAAGATTCCCCAACTCAGTCATCTCCTTCTTCAAGAACCATGAACGACGGGTTTAACCACACTTTTTCAACGAATCGAAGAAAATATTACAACTCGATATCTACACAGTCGTCTTCCTCAACTACGACTTCTCTCGACAGGATATCAACCTCCACATACACGTCATCAGTATCCTCAGCTTCGGAAGCGTGCATGTCTAGGGCTGAGAAGGATGTACAAACAATGTTGGTATCAGATGCATCAGTTGAAGGGGATGATGAAAAAGAAGAGAACGACAGCGACAGCTATGATTATGACGACGTTGAGTCCGATACGATGGGAACTGAAGAGGATCACATGGGGGATGAGGATGCTGGAGAACACGGAGAGGGAGATTCAATGGAACCATGGTCTTTCGCAATGGGACAACAGCGTTATATGATCAACTCAGTTGGAGAAAAGGCGCCAAAGTCAAATGTAGAATCGATGGAAGACTGGGAATTAGATGTTGTTGAGAGAGCACATCGGGATAGCCGTCTGGCTGAACTGTATTCTGATCTTGCTTGGAGATTTTATACACATCCTCCGACATCTTTCTGTCTGGCGCGAGTATTTATGCGTCATGGATTATCTGGAAATGAGGGTATAACTGTGTGGAGTGAGTAGTAACCTGAATTTAAACGTTTTTGTAATGATGAAAAACTAAACCAAAAAGATGGATAATATAAGCTAATTTTCTCATTTTTCAGAACTTCCGCGCAAAACGAATCGACGGGATTCCATTTGCTCCAACGCTTCGTCTGCGTCTGATGTATGCTCGCCTGTTCTGGACGAATCTACTCTCACAAAAGTTTATCCAAACGAAGAATTCCGCGGAGGACCAGGTTTAGCTTCTCCATCTCCGCCAGCCGCTCTCCTTTCTGAACCACTATCTCGAATGGACGTTGTAAGTTTGCTATCTTTGAAATATTATTTACCCCGCCCTTCTCCCGTGGGTTCTTCACCCCCGTTTTTCTCTGCGCTCTCTCGACACATTTAGCGCAACTGGGAAGAAATTGGCCGCTGTTCGCAATGTGTTAGTTCGATTCCTGTTCGAGCCATTCGACGTCTGAGAAGATGATATTGTCTAAATGATAATATCATTGGTTATCTCGTCGAATAAGATTACCCTCTGGAGAATGCCAGTCACTATTCCATGTAGTGACGATGCTCGAGAGGGAAACAATCTATTTTGATATAAAAAAACACATAAAATCAGGTGTACAAATCGAATAAAACATGACCTTTTTCAGCTGAGTGAGAAGATATGGGACTACCATAACAAAGTGTCACAAACGGATGAAATGTTGCAAAGGAAGCTTCACCTCCGTGATATGCTTTATACGGCTATCAGTCCTGTGTTCCCATGTAAGTTTTTTTTCCATAAAATCTGTATAAGAATATGATTTTCAGTATCTGGATTGTATGTGGTTGGGTCTTCTTTAAACGGATTCGGTAACAATTCTTCGGACATGGACCTCTGTCTGATGATCACAAACAAAGATTTGGACCAGAAAAATGACGCGGTTGTTGTTTTGAATCTCATTCTATCCACTCTACAGTACGAGAAATTTGTGGCGAGTCAAAAACTGATTCTGGCGAAAGTTCCAATTCTTCGGATAAAATTCGCGGCACCATTCGACGATATCACCGTTGATTTGAATGCTAACAACTCGGTTGCTATTCGCAATACTCATCTTTTGTGCTACTATTCATCATGTAAGATTTATAGATCAGGAGCTTTTGTATTCAAGGTAATCTTTCAGATGATTGGCGTGTTCGTCCATTGGTCTCCGTTGTCAAAGAATGGGCAAAGCGTAAAGGAATCAATGACGCCAACAAGTCGAGTTTTACCAGCTATTCACTTGTATTGATGGTTATTCACTATTTGCAATGTGAGTTTTACTTGCTTAAAATTACCGTTTACTATATTTTAACATTTCAGGTGGTACAGAAGCTAGAGTTTTGCCTAATCTACAACAATCCTATCCAACTCGTTTCTCAAATAAAGTCGATGTGCGTACTCTCAATGTGACAATGCCACTGGAACCGGTTCAAGACGATATCGACCCATCATTATCTGAGAATACTACTCTCGGAGAGCTCCTCATCGGATTTCTTGATTATTATGCAAATGAATTCAACTACGACCGTGATGCGATCTCTATTCGCCAAGGGAAAAGAGTGGAAAGAGCCGCGCTAGCTGTACGGCCCAAAGTGCATCTGAGTAGCGAAGGAGAGAAGGAAGCACCACTTCCATCATCATCTGCCTCATCTTCATCTGTTCACAATGGTATTGGGGTTCCGATGCATCATTCACTATCAAACCCTCACTTCTGGAGATCACAGTGGCGATGTGTTTGTATAGAAGAACCATTTACGAATTCCAACACAGCCCATTCAATATACGATGAAATGGTATTCGGCGCCATCAAAGAAGCTTTCCGTGAGGCTCATAGCGAGTTACAAGACAATCGAGACCTGGACCGTTTGTTGGAATGCGAACCAATAAAGGCGTCTACAACTAATGCAGGGTAAGTTCTCAATATTGAACAGCCATGGAGAAATGTTCATTTTCAGAGCAGCTGTTTTTGCTGCTACATACGAAGGAGAACGCCCTTCGGCTCAACAACCAACCTCTATTGCATCCGCCAGTCTTCGAACAATGAATGTGGTTCCAACTCCAGCGGGAGGAGGTCATTATCACTACCAGCAGCAATCGAGCCAACAGGTGTTAAAACAACAGAGATCTGGGAACAATCAGAGTTATCCATCGGTAAATCCCTTTTTAAGATTTACTTTTAGAGTATTACGTACTTTAAGAGCAACAACCGATCATCCAACAGTAACCAGCAACAGAACCGACGAGTGTACAACAGTCAGTCTGCATTCAATGGAAGTGGATCACGCCCGTCGAAATCCAGCGACAGCTTGAAAGATTCTACATCTAATTCACAACAGAGTCATCGTCAACATCATCATAACCAGAGAAGCAACGCAGGCTCGACAAAGGAAAACATAGCTTTAACCAGTGGCGCCACATCTTCTACTGATAGAAAGAATTCCACCTCAAAGAAGGATGAAGGGTGCGTGAGCTAGAACAAACTAACTTATAAAGTTAGAAATTTTCAGAAGTAGAACGAAACGGTCATCTATGATTCAATCGCCTGAGCCAACGAAGGCAAAAACCGAAAAAACGGCAACGACTCAAAAGAAAGAATCCCAGTGAGGATTCCTGATTATGCTTCAAAACATATAACCAAACTTATGTGATATAATGTTTGTTGTCTTTTCTCATAAATTCGTGTTGCTTTTCCTTAGTAAATTGAGGATCCACCTACCCCTCCCTCTCTTCTGTACCAGAATTTTTTTCCCTTCCAACCTTCCATATTCCATAGTTTTGACCTATAGAAACACTATTCCTGTTTTGTTGGTAAACGGGGATGATTCCTCTCAACTACCACTTTCTTCAACCTGTTACCTGACTGTTTCGTTCTTCATTGATTAACTTAAGATCCTACTTTTTCACATACCCCCACCACACACCAATTCTCGGAAATCATCTTTTTGATATGTGATGATCTCAAATTTTTGTTTAGTTCCCTCCCTATTCTGACCGCACACACCCACAACTTCCTGTTCTTTTGACGATCAAAACGAGGTACAAGTTTCAGTCCTTACCTTCCCACACGACCGTTCCCTTTATTTCTTAAAGATTGAATTATATGTACAAATTCCTGAAAAATCCAAAAAAATTGCAAAAATTTGAAAATCCCGTTGATTTTGAGAAGTTTTCAGAACACTTTGACCAAAAAGAGGTCCCCCAGCTTCTGAACATTGACGTTACTGAAAATTTCCAGAACAATAAGATCCAAAAACAATATTATCTACTTTTTCGTTTCTTCCCCAACCCTTCTCATATTATTTTTGTTTAGCATCCCATATGGCCCCGTAGCTACAGTATCCCATCTCCATGTCTTTTATGAATGTACCATAAGGACCACTCCCCCCGTTTCCCCCTTTTCCCATGAGTTCGCTCTAAAATATCATTTTCCGGTAGCACAGTTTATCCGATTTGTTCTTTTGGTTGCCTCCCGTCTCGCACTTCATTTTTTTGTAATTATTCTATCTTTTTCTCTAAACAAATGGGTGTATCTTCTTTTGCCTTTCCTCGGCTCGTCTTAGAGTTCCCTCAATTCATGTCCTGTAATTCCCCAATCCTCTCTCGTCTCTTCGCTGTCCTCTCTCTTTCTCTCATTTCCTCTCGGTTTCGGTTCGAATTTCACTTTAAGTTATGAAACAAAACAATGGTTTATGAATGAACGAGAAATCTGATGAGTATTTTTGTATTAGAGAGACATGATGAAAGTTTCGACGGGGGCGTATAATAAATATGTATCGATACAATAATATACATATTCGCAAGAGAAAAAAGAGGTACATTGGGATATTCGGACCCGTTGTTGACAGTTGTTTTCACAGGTATTTACATATATCCCAAGATCAGTCATCCACAATAACATCATCTTCAATATCTTCCATAGGTGGAACTTCCACGTCTTCACGATTCGTTTGATGCCGTTCACGAAGTTCCTGAGCAGCCATTTTATGATAATCACCATCAGAAAGGCATCTGCAAAAAAAACTTTGTCAAAAATTTGTTAGAATAATTATTCATCCTACCTTCGAACGTTCCGATGTGTACCTAACGAAGAAGGAGGAGCCACTGCCTGATGTCGAGTAGACATGTGACGTGTCAATACATCACGTCTTCTCTGAAAAAACGGAATTCTGACCCAAATAAACTTTTAAAACTAACTGCTGAATAATTACAAACACAACAGTGATATGGTTTTTCATCAGTATGTGTTCTTCGATGTGTTCTCAAATGATCTGATCTTGAGAAGAATCGCCCACAATCTTCACATTTGAATGGCTTTTCGCCGGTATGTCGTCGTGTATGTCGAGATAATATATCCGGTCGACGGAAGTCCTTTTCACAAATGAAACAGTAATATCTGTAATGATAATAAAGTTTTGTTTCTGGATTTTCTAACAATATTTCCATACTGTCCAGGAACGGATCCATCGGCGGTGGCAATTGATGTTGATGGCTCGGTTTCTAGGATAACTTCACTTTGACTATTTCGAGTATTGTTCGAAGAAGATGATCCAGATGTTCCTAATCGAACACGTTGAAGAATCTCTTCAGCACTTTGATGATGAGATGAAACGACTTCAAACGCTGATCTTTCATGCTCAATGGTACGAGCAAGACCTCCCGGGGACAGTCCAGGTGGTCCAGTTGAAGCAGTCGCTGGAGTTGAATTTGTCGAAGATCCAACAAATGGAATATGATCGAATGTGAATCTATTTTGATTTCTGAAAAAAACATTCTATGCGAAATTCTTCTGATTTTTTTAAATACCTAATTAGAGATGAGGTAGACGATGGGGTGGATGCAAGTGAGAATGGAGATCCATCATTGAAATTTAATGGAGACAATCCTGGAGGAGATAGTGCTAGGGAGCTAACTGATCCACCTGGCATTGGAGATCCGAATCCGATTCCTGGAGACGTTGATAGAAAAAGAGTGGATTCGACTGCCGCATCTTCATCGTCGGTGCCTTCCTCGCGAGGTGCTTGGTAGGCTACCCTACAAATTTTGAAAGGTTTAAACTTCTGAATTTTTGAATTTTCGAAATTCTCCAGTTCTGATATTCTAAGATTCTGATTTCCTGAATTTATGAGTTTCTGATATTCTGAACTTCTGAAGTTCTTGAATTCTCATATTAGAAAATTCTGAAATTCTAAACTTCTAAAATTCCAAATTTCTGGAATTCTGCAATTTTGATATTCTGAAATTCGGAAACTCGGGAATTTTGAAAATCTGAATTTTTGAACTTTTTAAAATTTTTGAAGTTTTGAAGTTCTGAAATCTGAATATCCAGGAAATTTCACAATCACGAATTCCTGATTATCGGAATTTTTGCATTCTCAAACTTCTGAATTTCTCAATTTCTGAAGTCCGAATTCCTGAGTTTCTGAATAGCAGAATTTCGAAACTTGGTTTCTCAATTTTTCAGTCTCTTAATTTTTAACGGTCGGAATCCCTGAAAATGTTCATTCTGAAGTTCTTAATTTCTGAATTTCTGAAATTTTCATATTCTGAATTTCCAAATTTTGGGAACCTCTGAATTTCTGAATTTCTCGGTTTCTCAATTTTTCAGTTTCCGAATTTCAAAGTTACAGAATTTCTGAATTTCAAAATTGGAGAATTTCTGAATTTCTGAAATCCTGAACCTCCGATTTCCTAAATTTCCTGGAGTTTTGAAATTTCGGAATTTCTGAATTAAAGTCAGAGTTTCAGAATTTCAGAATTTCAGAATTTCAGAAGTTCTAAAATTCAAAAATTCCAGGAAATTCAGATTTTTTCTGAACTTCAGAAATTCAGAAAAAAAAACGTCTGAATTTACTGGAATTTTCAAACGCTCGAACTTCTGAAATGCTGAAACTCTGAAATCCTGAAAATTGAAAATTCCGAATTTCCGTTTTTCTGACTTTTTGAAATTCTGAATTTTCGAAAGTCGGGAATTCGGAATCTCTGAAATTCAGAATTTCTTAATTTCCGAGTTTCTTGGTCTTGGGGTTTCAACTTTGACTTTCTGAATCTTTGGAATATCTGGAAATTCTGAACATCGGATTTTTTGGAATTTTTAAATTAAAAAAAATAGTTTCAAAAACAATTACTTCGACACTAGGAAAAAAAACACATACCATGGCAACGATGCCATCGCTGAACGGGTCGTCGTCGGAGCGGCGGATGCTGCAGCTGTCCGATGAAGATCGACGACTCTCCGACGACTCGGTTCTGAAAAAAGAAACATATTTTATCATCTAACGCAATAACTGATTGATGCACAGAACAATTAAAAAAATGCGAAAATTCAAAGAGTTAGGGAAATTTGGGGAATTTTTGTGACGTACAAAGCCCCCCGAGGCAACTGAATACTAATGAAATGAACGAAGCAAACGCATACTTCTCCCTTGTTTTTTTTTTTCGGTTTTTAACCCAAAACTAGGAGGTAGGAATGACGTAAATCCTCATCCCAAATGGGTTTTCCAGAACGGACACTCCCATGATTTTCAGATTTTCAGATTTGGAATTAAAAATACCGTAATCCTATCGTCACCATGATATCATTTTACACGAGAAAGCTTTCTGCAAACGAAAATGTAAAACGGAAATCAAAATCGAAAGTGAGAAGAGAAATACTGGAAATTTGTAAGAGCACGGAGTGGGTGGCTCTCTGGCACTATGCCAAATAGTACGGCATTTTGAGAGAATTCAGAGACGTGTTGCTTATCAGAAGGACAGTCCAAAAAATGGGGTTATCATCGGTTTGTCCCAAAAAGAGAGAAAATCGAAAGGTTGGTGTGAGAGAGTCAATTTATCAGAAAAAATTTTATCACAATTTTGCAAGTTTTTAAAGAGAGTGAAAGTGGGAGAGAACGTCGCAGAATGAAGAGACTATATTGGAATCGGAAATGAGCATTACAGACCAAAAAATTAAACTTGCAGAACGGGTTTTGAATTTTTTGGAATTTCGGGTTTTGGTTTCAGATTTTATGTCGGGAGAGGGTCAAGAATAGTTCTTAACAGGTAGACTATAAATGGAAGAACTCAAACAAAACTTACAAGGGAACTTTTTTGATGAAAATTTTAGAACAGGTTAAGTATTGCTCATCTAGATACTTGTTAAACTTTTGAAAACAGCTCTCCAGTTTCAGCCAAAGCATGTCCGTTTCAGTACCAAAAGATTTTTATGCAAAACCGGCAATTTTCAAATGTGATTTTCTCCAATTCTAGAGGCTCACTTTGAAACCGCGACACTCCGAAACCAGTCATTTCGAAACCGGTCATTTTGAAACCGTGGTAAAACAGGTGAATTGATCCATTTCAGACTACAAAATCAATTTTAGGGTTTTCAAGTATGCTTTTTCTGATAGAACACATTCTAAAAATAGAAAAAATCCAACATTTAATGTTTTCAAATGATGAAAAATTCTTGATTTTTTTCGATTTTCAAAGTAACGCGGAGCCATTCTAGAAGGTTTCAGAACTTGAAACTTTTTGTACTATACTTTTAATTATGTGAATTTCATATTTCAACATTTTTCTCAAAAAAAATCGAATTCCAATAAATTATCCCACCCAATGGGTAGACAACGTTTTAAACTTTCCAAAACTTCTCCGAAAAATTTCATCTTCTGAAACCTACTAGAATTTTATAAAATTAGATTTGAAAATTGACTATTTTGCAATGAAAATGCGATTTTTTGGTACTGAAACTGAAATTTCAGCACTTTGAAGCATCTTAAATAAATTCTGAAAATTCAATGCATGAAAAGTTGATAATCAAAAATGTTGGAAACGAAATTTGGAATATCATTTTCTCCAATTTTTAGGTCTTAAATTCTCGCAGATCGTTCAGACTGACTGAGTGTGTTTTGAAACCATGATTCCCTCTACCCTTCTAATCCAACATCCTTAACCCCCTGCTCATCTCTTCCATGAATCTTCTTCCTTTCCATTAACCTTGATGAGTTTATCTGTCTCACGAGGGACATGATACTAGATTTGAAACGTCATAACGTGTCTAATAAAAGAAAAAAGAATGAGGATTATGAGTTTATTGTAGAAGGTTTGATTTTCTATCGAGGATTAGTTTTGATTTCCGAGAAACTTGTATTATACTGTAATCTTTTGAAAGGTTTAGTAAAAAAACAAATTCTCTTTTTTTTAATAGTTCAAACAAACCTCAGAATCAGTTGATGAAGATGGTGTTGCCGTGTCGATGATTGTAGAGATTTCCACTGTGGGAGGGATCATAATACCCGGTCGTTTGTTCATTATTATCTGAAAGATACTTTTAGAGGTGACACTGAAGCTGAACCATAAATTCTGAATTTCCTTACTTGGCTTCTCCAATCTAGCCAATGGTTTTTTATCTCTGTTTTTTGGTTCATCCTTTTCACTAATCCTAATAATGAAATGATGTAACAAGAGTAAAGGGCATGAAACCTTAGAAGTATAAGAAAAAGATGTGTTGTTATTTGACTACTAGATTAGGACATTATTAGACTTCAGAGAATATTGTTTACCTCATCCATAGCTTCACAGATCAACTAAACAGAAATATAACGCTCAAAGACTAAAAGTAATACTGCTCCTCTACCTACCACCATCTAAATCTATTTTTCCAAGAAGCATGTTTCTCTACCGTAATCCTTCCCGTAACTCAGTGATCAACTGGGGGCGGTCAGGTGTCCGTTTGGGACGCCCACCCAGAATCATGAAGTGGAAATTGATAGGCGGAAGAAGCAGTTGTTGTCTTTTCCCCCGTCAAACAACAATTTGCTCATTTTCGCCGAACAATGGGTTGTTAGGTCTCGGGATACTGTAGATTTCATTTCTATCGTTGTTACCGTAGACACTCTAATAAAAGGCCACTTAAACCGCTAATTTTTAGCCCATATATCTCGTTGCCTGTAAAAGATTTTTAAAAGTTGTCAACTGTCAAAATGTTCACCATAATATCAAAAACTTTCTTTTCCGTTGAATACTTTTTGATATCATTTACAAGAACCAAGATATATAGGTAGTCTTGAATTTGGCGGTTTGGGTAGCTTTCTATTAGAGTGTTTACGGTAATTTACAATTTAATGGTTAATTTATTAGGTTGATAAGAAAGTTTCTTCCTTTTTTAGCAAAATTTTTGATCAAGTTTTCATTAAAGCAGAGTGGGCAAGATCAATGAAAGTAAGGTCCATAAGCATCGATAATTGTCTGGTAACGCTCTGACAATTTCGTGGTTCCATCGGCCCAGAACGAGGACGGCTGCGGCGAGGACGGCTGCGGTTGAAAACATAAGTCGACTCCTTTTTTGTGTCATCTTTTCAATTGAATTGTTTTCTATCAAAATGATGTTGAAGAGCCCCCAACGACCATTTATCCGAAAGAACAAGGTTCGGAGAATACGATAAGTGCAGTAGAATAATTCAGCCAAACGACATGAAATTTTAGCTGACCAGTCTAGTAACGGGGGATCTCGCACTGTCGCCCGAAAGGGAAACTTTGGTATTTTCTTCTTGTTTCGATTCGACTGCCAAAATCAATTTCTCTGATTAGGAAAAATATAAAGTGGCAGTAATAATGGTACTTTCATCTAAAAGTTCCCAGTCTCCATTCCTTTGGCAGACCATCAAACTCATAGCATCCCCTTTTTCACGGGAAATTTAGGTTTCGGGACGCCCAGAGCTCTTCGTAGTCAATCTACTGACCATTCCGTACATTGATAGAGTCACTTACACACTTATCATCTAAAGTAATTAGATCATCCACCCAGCTGAATGTGCAAAGAAATGATTCGAGAAACATGATCATGTCCACATGGAAATCAATATCGGAGTCCTACAAAACAGTGGGTACGAATCGACCAAGTTTTTGACTTTGCCAAGAGACTTCGATCCGTTCACAATACTTGGCTGACTAACTGACAATGCCTTTGACATTTCACAAGTGGTTTCAATTGGATCCCCCTACACTACTCTTAGCAATTGATCGAGATCCGACTCACTAGTCCATTGCCATCTTTCAAACTGAACTCCCATGGGCGGAATTTTTCGAACCAAACGTCAATTGTAGGATATGAAGGAACATGTTCTTTATATGCTTCCACAAATTTATTGCGGATACCAGGTGTTTGAAAAGAAAATAAAAATAAATGTTGTCATGTTGCGTATGTGCAGGCGGATAGGGACCAAGAGAATCGTCATTGCTCCAACATGAAGTGAGATAAAAATTTGAAAATCTACGATCTAATAGACATTGAACACAGCTATCCAACAAAAAAACATCCAGCCTGGTACACCACTTTGGTAACCAGTAATTGAAGCTCAAAAACAAGCTTGCCAAAAAGGAAGATACTTTCTTATCAACCTAATACATAACTTTGGTTAACTTAATGTAATATTGAAAACTCGAATACATCAAATTTTCAAATCTCTAACTTAATTATCTATGTTATGCCCTTTTAACTTCTTTTTGTATTTTTGTGAACTTACCTAAACTTGTATGTCAACGCCAAATAATCAAACGAGAAAATATTGAAAAACAAATATCTGGGATTGGCTTCTACAAATCCAAAGAAACTCGAATGTCGGAAGGATTAAAAAGAAGAGACATCTTGAAAAAGAGACCGAGGGAGAGAAATATTGAGATTCTCAGTGCTTTTGTAGTCGTTTCGAATCTGGAAAAATAAATAAGTAGAATTGTGCATGAATTTTGTTCTTCTGATTGGATAAGGAAATGAGTGATGTTGAATCATTCCAAATATGGAAAATATAGAGAAAATTAAAAAAGGGTGCTTTGAATGAAAAAAAAGGATGTTTCAGATAAATATGAAGGATATGAAAAAGAGAAGCCAGAGAATTTTTGTAGAAACTAAATATTGGATATTGAAAACATTTTAATCCGATGTTAAGTTTGCAAAAATAGAGGAAAAACGGAAAAATGGAAGAGATAGATCAAGAATTTTATGAGACATCTGATGAAATACGCACTTCTTGTTTAACAAAATATGAAATTTTCGATGACTGGATAACTTTTGTAGTTAAAGGTTTTTTTCGAGTTTTTGCGTATTATTGAGATACATAGTTGAGCTCAAACTTGACAGTGTGGGTGCCCTTCTATTACAGGGTTTACGGTAAATTTTTTCTAATTTCTAGGAATGTATTGTTATACTTTGAACTTCTGGTAAGAGTTGATTACTCACTAATAACTGACCAGAAAATACGTATAATCGAATTTTGTAGTTTTTAAATCAATTAGCTTCAAGGGAGACTTTTGGGGTCAAACACTTACTTGAGATGAATTATCCCTTATCCAAGTTTGCTAAAAAAATCACAAGTTACCGTTAACACTCTAATAGAAGGCCACCCTACACTCGCACTTTTAGCTCCATTATCTCGGTACCTATAGGTATATATGAAAGATATTAAAAACCTGTTAATTGATGAAATGTTTTTCATAATATCAGTAATCTTTCATCAGACGTTTTTGACATCTCTCGTAGGAACCGAGATAATCAAATTCAAAGTGCAAGTATAGGGTGGCCTTCTATTAAAGAGTTCTCGGTAATTCCATTCTCTTTTGATTGATCAAACTGTGTAAAACAAGGCCAATAGGGGAAAAAATGCATTTCCAAAAAAAATGAGGAAGAAATTAGTAAACAGATTTTTTCTTCTTCCATTCTTCTCTTCCGTTTTTTAGAGATGCCTGGATGCCTTTGTTCACCTTTATTTTATGTCCTCTTGCTCTCTTCCAGGAGAGTCAACCTCATCACTTATTCGCACGCCGATTAGTCACTTTCTTAGTCACTTTCTCTCTCTCTCTCTCTCTCTCTCTCTCTCTCTCTCTTTCTTTCTTTCTTTCTTTCTTTTTTTATCATCTACACTCTACATTTCTTTCGAAATGCCTGTGCATGTCGACTGACATATGAGGGAAAAAGGCTGGCAAAAAGGTGAAAAACGGGAAAAAAATGGGACAAGTTTGTGGAAAAACGAGGGGACAAGGATGAAGGACAGAAAATAGGAATGGGACGAAAAGAAGGAGGAGGAGGAGGAGGACTTGAATATTTGATGAGGTTAAAGAGGAGGAGGAGGTAAGGAGCAAGAAAAAATAGAAAAACTTTGACTTCATGTAATGGAATTAACAGATCAAAGTACGATGAATTTTTTAGTTGTAAGAAATTCGAAGCCGCAAATTTTCAGAGAGGATTTCTTATAGGAAACAAGATAACCATAAAACCTGTATTAGAAGGACGTATCCCATTTTTCCAAATTCCTATCGTAGGGTCATTTTATTAGAGGGACCCATCTAATACAGCTACGAAATAAAAGAAGTTTAATTCAAGCTGCTCAATAGACCAATTCATTTTTAAATTTTTCAGGACTGTACGACTTGTGATATGTTCATTTTTATTAGGAAAACCGAATAAATAAAACTAAAATAGATTATGAAACTCTTTTTATTGCTGAAAATTTCAGCAAGTTAAAAAACAAATGTTTAACGAAAGACGTAAAAAAACATTCAAAACAAAGAACTGGCTTTTTGGGCTCCGGTCATAGCTCACAGTAAAACCTGTAATAGAAACCCCACACTGTCAAGTTTGAGCTCAATAATCTCAATTGCTGTGCAAGATATCAAAAATGTATTAACTGATGAAACATTTCTAATATCGTGATAAACGTTTTATTAGTTTACAACTTTTTATATCTTTGACAGGAGCTGAGAAAAATTCGCTCAAAGTTAAAAGTTAGACGCCCTTCGGATTTATGGTGATTGCACAATAACTGTAATTCTATTCTGAGCCGTCTGATAGTGAGCTTTTTGGGAGTTTCAGTTTTAGTTACAAGATATTTCCAGGAAAACTTCCGAACCAAACTACATTATCCACAAGTCCTATCCTGAAAATGACATGATATCCTCGTCATAATCTTCCTATTGCAACACTCACATCGATTAAGTCGGAAACGAGATCTTGAGAAGACACTTGCATGCATGATGTGCTCGATTAGAAAAATTCGAGTTTTAAAGAGGAAATTTAGGAGCCGATCCAGATTGAACTAGCTTCGAAAAGACCCCGATTTTTTAATCAAAACGAATAAAGTTCAGTGAAAGATTATCTTCCGGTTATTCTTTGAACGTTGCTACTCTTCTCTTCAGAATTTCGAAGTCAAAAACTCTTTGGATTCGACTTTTTGTATGCTTTTTATTCCGGAAATTAAACAAACCACCGTTGAATTTTTTTTGTCTGAAATTCGATGCCTTCTTCCCTAAATTTTTTCCTC